GCTGAGGGCTTTTCCTTGCCAGTGTTTGTCTTATTCTTACTCCAGTTTCCCTGTCCTCATAATTTCTATTTTTTTTACATTTCCTTTTATTTCTCTTAGAGACTTTTTGTTCAAATTTGGATCATGTTTAGTTAAAATTCAGACTTTAATTTTACTCCAGCATAATGTCATAAGAAAATTCAGATACATAGGTGAATAAGTCAGGTGTTGTGGAATCTTAGGTTGTTTTCAGCCTTTTTCTGTTACAAGTACTATTATAGTAAATGACCTTGTGTACTTGTTACTTCATGTACAGAACATGTAATCTCCTTCTGGAATAATTAATATTATATTTATGATGTACTACAGTGATATTTATGAATTTAAAAAATTGACACCAGAGCTGAATTAAGATGAGATTGAGCCTGACTTGAATAGATATAATTTGGATGCCTTTATTCTTTTGTGTTTTTGGTTTTCCTTGTGACATGGCGTTATTTATTTAGGTGGATGTTGCAAGTTGTGTTATGTCGGTGTTAGTTACTGTTGTCTTACTACTGTGTTCTTACAGGTAAAAATGTTGAAAGGGAATTTTCCATGTGAAAATTAAAATAATTGATATTAAAGTACTAGTATTTAAAAATGTTATACAAGAGATGAAATGCTGCTAGAACTGCTGAGTTCTGCTCATTAGTGAGTGTGTCCTCAGTGAGCAATTTCATGTTGTACATTGCAAACATTTAATATGCACATGGATTTTCATGTCAACCTTTAAAAAGAACATACATTTTGCATGGAGTATTAGTATCACATCTAAAAGCCATGCATTTAGGAGAAATTTTTATTCCCTTCAAATACCTAGTGCCTTTGTTCTGGGGTTTCAGTCTGTGGTCACATGTGCCTTGTGTACTTTTGCTGTATTTCCTCCCATACAGCCAGGTGGCCAGTTGATACAGCCTACACAGTGGCAGTTATAGCAGATGCTGTCTTTACTACTCGTGTTTCACAGATGAAAAACTAGGAAAGAGAAATACATTTGTTTCCTTCCCTCCTTTGGTCTGTTAGTGCTGTAAGTTTTTGTTTGTTGGTTTGTTTGTTTTTTTAAAGACAAGGCTCAGGCAGGCCTTGAACTCTCTATGCAGCTTTAGATGACCCTTGAACTTCTGATTCTCCTGCCTCTACCTTCCAAATGCTGGGACTGCATCTAGTGTGTACAGTACTGGGAACTGAACCCTGTACTCTGTTCATACTAGCTAATCACACTGCCACCTGAGCCACATACCTAGCCCTGTATTTGTAATACTTTTATATTTAAGATTTTAACTTTAAGCCAGTTTTGGTGGCTTATACCTTTAATTCTAGCACTTGGGACGTTGAGGATTATCATTAATTCAAAGCTAGTTTGGGTTACAAAGTTAAACAGCTCCCTACCCCTTAAACTTTAGGGCTGGAGCATTTGTTTAACATGTAAGATCCTAGGTTCAGTCCTCAGAACTGTCAAAAACTTAATAATAATTAATTTTATTTTGTTATGCTAGTTACATTTGAGAACTGTAATAGCAACTAGATGATATTTGAACTTAGTTTTCCTTCAGACACATTTTTCTGAGCAATTAATAGTTTGGTGCAGATTCCATCAAACTTCTCCCTTTGCTTATTACTAAATAGAAATAAACACACATGGAGACAAACTTTTGGCAACAAAACTGGTTTAATTGATTTTAGTGTGTATGTGATTTTATTTATAATTGTAAATTGCTTTTTCACTAGATAATATATCCTTGATCTTTTCTAGCTATGTATTTAGATCTACTTTCAGGCTTGTTTGTTTGCTTTGTAGCCCAGGGTAGTCTTGAACTCAGTTTGTACCCTAAAGTCCTTCCAAGAGTCTCCTGTTTTTGTCTCCCAAGTGTTGGTTGGTATTAGAGGTCTTTGCTACCCCAAAACCTGGTTCCAGGTTTTAGGTTTTACATCTCCTCCCCACGTGTATGTCAAACCCAGAGCCTGTGCATTTTAGGTAAGCATCCCCCTACAGAGCTATAATCCCAGTCTATGAGTTGTTTCCCCCAAACTGTTTATTGCATTTCTTAGTTTAAGAAATATAAATGGCCTGTTTTGTTTCTTTTTTTTTTTTTCTTTATAAGTAGAAATTCTAGGCCTGGTGTGGTACAGGAGGCAGAGGAAGTCAGGTCTTTTTGAAGTCAAGATCAGCCTAGTCTATATAGAGAGTTCCAGGCCAACCCAGCTTAAACAGTGAGACTTTGTCTAAGACAAAGAACCTACTACATTAAGAACAGAATGGAATTGTAGAGTGTGGTCTCCCAGGAATAGGCTGAGAGATCAGTAAGGGGTGTCCACCCTCATTATCTAAGGAGTCTATGTTTTGCAAGGTGGAAGTATTTTTCTTTGACAGATATTTAAAATGGTTGAGTAGGTAGAGTATGTGTATTTTAACTCAGTGTAGTAGTAAAGTAAGTTTTGTATAAATATAAAGTAAATGGTAGATACTGGACTAAGGGTATTTTTAATGGAAGCTGATTAGCTTCGTTAGTACATCTGAACATGTAAGTAGAGCTGTGTTGTTTGTTTGAAGCCAAGAGTTTGTTGTATTGTTTTTTATTCTGGCAGTTGTACAGGCTAAATGAAAGCTTGGATGGGAGCAGTTAATCCCTTTAGTGTGGACAGTATGTTTTCTCTTAGGACACAACCTTGGCCTCTTGCATTTAGAAGAGAGCTTGTTAGTTGCAGGATTGGTGCATATATGAACTCACAAAGACTGGCAGCTTGCACAGGGCCTTCATGGGTCTAAGCCAGATGGAGCCCCAGCACTGAGAGAGGGGAGTTGACACAAGCCCTATACCTGACCCAGTATCTCCAATTCATAACCTCTCACAGAGGAAAAATAAATTTGCTTCAGTGGAGTATTACTGGGTATACAAACCACTATTAAGGACAGGCCCCATGCCCAGCAGTCGATGACTAGCACAAAACAAACTCAATGGCATTTTGGAAGATCTTTGTCTCCTAATGCTTAATCCTGCTTTGTTTCCGTGGTGTTCTCCATCCCTTCTGGCTCTTACACACTTTCTGCTTCTTTCTGCAGTGCTTCCTGAGCCCTGAGAGGAGGGATTTGATGGAGACTTCCTTTTTAGGACTGAGTGTTCTGACACTCACACTCACACACTCCAGCTGTGGGTCTCTATTTGTTCCCATCTGCTGCAAGAACAATGATGGCTGAACAAGGCACTGATATGAGTGTAGCAGAATATCATTAGGAGCCATTTTATTGGCTACATTCCTTTAGCAGAACAGTGGTCTTTGGATTTCCCCTAGAATCCTGTCCTCTGAGGTTCTTGGCTACCCAAGCCGTGTCACACATGAATTCCATCTTATGTAGGGTCTTAAATCCTATCAGATATTACTTGATTACTCCTACAATTACACCAGTGCATCTTGCAGGCAGTTCACCGTTGTTAGTGGAAGGGTTTGTAGCTGGGTTGGTGTTTCCCATTCTCCTCTGGTAGCATGCAGAGTACCTTCCAGTATCATGAACACTAATAGCAGGGATGAAGACTCTGTAGTAAGGCACCAGCTCAACTTCTCCCTGTTCAATAAGGTGTGCAAGTGCTGTATTCAACAATGGGGCCTTACCATCAGTTTGTGGGGAACAACCAAATGCCTTGGCAATAGGCTGGGTTGTGTGAGGGTGTCTTTGGGTCCTCTTTGGCCAAAAACCCAGTTATATTTTACCCTTTCCTGAAACTGGAAATTTCATTTAGTGACAAGAGATGTTTTATTGGTTTTTGTAGTTTCTCACTCTTGAGCTGTTTTGGGGCCTGGTTCTGTTTCTGACTTTGGCCCTATTACTAAGGAAGTCTGGAGAACTTATACTAATCAGACGAACTGGTCTGTTTTTCTCAGTTCCTGTTGAAGAGTAGAGCCCTAACAAGTCATTTAACTTCTTGTAATTAACTAGAATACTACCCATTCAGAGATTGAGTTTTTCTTTGGGTGGTTAGCTTTAGAAAGTTAAGTCTGGATAGCAGAAAGTCTGTATTTTCTTGGAATGCTATGCCTAGTGCTGATTTTTGTGGATTAGATAGTGAGTTGGACTAGCAAGAAATTTATTTGAAAATTCAAGCAGACCAACCCTGTTCCTGAGTTTAAATAGTGAGACTTTAGGGAGATCTAATAAATAGCTTGTTAATTTATTGTGGGTATATGGAAAAGCCTACAAGCTTCTTTTAACATGGTACAAACTATTTTGTAATAAAAATGCTTGCAGAATATATTTTTGTAGAGCTGGGGATGGGAGCAATGTGAAACTTAAACTTGATTTCCCTAGAGGTTACAACTCTGACTTTTCCTTTGTAGGGAAATTAAATGTTCTAACTTACTATATTTCACTATATCACTTACAAGTAATAATGGTACTATGCTTTGAGTTCACCATTTTTGTTTTTAAATATTTATTTATTTATTTGTATACCGTGTTCTGCCTGCATGTATGCTTGCATATCAGAGTAGGGCACCAGATCTCATTACTGGTAGTTGTGAGCCACCATGTGGTTGTTGGGAATTGATCTCCGGACCTTTGGAAGAGGAGCTAGTGCTCTTAACCACTGAGCCATCTCTCCAGCCCTATCATCTCTTATTTTTGACAGTTTTGTTTTTATCTATAATGCATGGAAATAGTTGTTTTCCTTTATGATTTTGGAGCAAATGTCAAAACAAGCATTCCATTCTGACACTTTAAGACTTATCTTTGGTCTAGGGTGTATTTTATTGAGGATAAATTTAGTATTTTTTTTCAAATGGTTTATAGCACTTTTCTGATTTCATTCTTACCATGAGAATTATAATTGTGAATTTAAAAAGCTCCTATAAACACTTTTGAAAAGATACAGTTGCTCTCAAACCTTTACTTTGTGAGAAGGTATCTGCTTTTGGTTCTTTCAAATAATATAGAAGAGGTCTTCATGTGCATTGGTTGATAGTAAAGGAGAATTCCTTGTTTCTAGGGTCCTGATGAAGAAGCCATTGTAGATCTTGGCAAAACTAGCTCAACCGTGAACACCAAGTTTGAGAAAGAAGAACTAGAAAGTAAGTTCATTTAAAATAATTTGTTATACTTTGCAGAGAAATGACCAACTGATGCCTGTCAGTGTTAAGTTTTACTTACTTCTTCTGGAAATGTTGTTTGGTTAGTGTTTGTTTATAAGACTACTGAATACTTTTCTAGTGTAGTACAATGAATAATAATGTGGAAGATATTCTTCTCTGTGGTCAAACTATCTCCTAATTATTTGTTCTTTGTTGAATTGTTGACATAGATTTCAGAAAGTCTTTCCCACTTCATTGATAGTTGCTATAACTTGGAAAAACTATAGGTAATGATTACAAAATGTATTCCTTTCCCACACTTTTGATAGACTGCCTGGAGTACCAGATTTCAAGTCCCACAGTGTCACTAGTTATCATCAGTTGCTCGTTTCATTGGTGCTGTAGTAACCACCACTTAGATGGGAAAAAATCCTGTTAAATAGTTTTCTTTATTTTGTTTTGGAAATAGTTTTGGAGTTATAGAATGTCAGTATACATAGTATAGAACACTTCTGTGAGCACCTTACAGAGGTTCATCTAATGTTAAGAATATTAATTGTGAAATCATACTATTTGTGAAAATACAGAAGTTAACAATAGATAACTAGATAATGGTTTACTTATAGCTTCCTAAGCTACAGCTTATATTTGGAGTTCACTAGTTATTCTCCTAATGGCCTTTCTGTTCCAAGAACCCAATTGACACAGTGTAAAATTTGTAGCGCCTTTAGTTATGTCTGCCTAGTCTCCTATAATCTATATGGGTTTCTCATTGTGACCTAGTTTTCATCACAGTGACAGTAGAGGGGGACTGAGTAGGTTTGTATTTTGTACAGTGGTCCTCTGTTGGCAGTAAGTATCCCTTCTCTGTGCAATTATGTCTGTGGGTATGATACCATGTGCTATTGGTGAATTACTGTGGAACGTTTGGCTAAACTGGTGTTCATGGCAACGTTTTCATAGACACTTTAGGGACGTATGTTAAAATTTGCCAGTGCTATATCAGACTCTTAATCTGTTGTTGTTAAGAAAGAGATGGAATCCCCTGTGTTTTATTCTAATTTTTCTGCCTCTATCTCCTGAGTGCTAGACTTATGTCTGCATGAGCTAACATGCCTGACAAAAAATGACTTAAAAGTCTATTAAGAATACCATATGTAATGTATTATAACATGATACTAAAGACAAAAACAGAAGAAACAGTAAGACTGTCTTCAGATCCTTGAGATTTAGTATATTGTTACTTCTTGTAGCCTTTCTGCTATGAACTCATATAATTTATTTTTATCTTGGTATGTTGGTGCTAGTTGGACCCATGGGATTGTAGTCTTAGAACACAGTGATTGGAGTTGACTCTTTAGTTACAGTTTTATTAAAATACAATTGTAAAGTCAATGAGTTTACTTAGAGTTTTTACTTTAATGAGATATAATTTACAGTACAGTAAACCACTCAAACGTATTTAAAGTTCAGTGTTTACATGCTATTGCCATATAACCATCAAAGTTTTAGTTCTAAAACATACCTGCCATTCCTGAAGAAACCATGAATAATTAAGTTTTAAACCTGTAACTTCCAGTATAATTTTTCTAATAATTGAGTTTTAATTTCTGTAGAGATGTATGAAGTTCTTAGTATGCTAGGTAAAGTGCTTAGGTACTAGGAATTATTTTCATAGATAAGTTTGGTGTGTTTCCATAATTCTGGTCACTTTTACCTTAAAAGTTGCCCAGTTACTTAATGTGCCTCTCTCTTTTAGGCAAGGCCTTGCTGTGTAGCTCATTCTGCCCAGGGACTCATCATATAGCCTAGGTCTGATGGTCAGTCTTCATTGTCCACTTGACTAGAGTTAGAATCACATAGGATCCACAACTGTGAGCATGTCTGTGAGGGTATTTCTAGAGTGTTTTAACTGAAGAGGGAAACCTACCTCTAATGTAAGTGATACTGTCCCATGGCCTGGGATCCCAGACTGAAAGAAAGGGGAAAAGGAAGAAAGACAGCAGGGTGGCGAGGAAAAAGGAGAATGCTGGCAGAGGTTTGAATCCCGTCTTTGCTTCCTGATCTGTCACGATCTGAGTAAGAGCCGGATGTGTCTGCTGTCATGCCTTACTGGGTCTGATGGACTTATATATTCCCTCAAACTAAGATGAAAGCAGTTCTCCGTTTTTAAAGCTGCTGGTCATGTATTTGATCTCAGCTCTAAAAAAGTAACATGAGAGAAATAGCTAATATACCAGCCTGGCCTTGAACTTACAGTCCAGATTCACCCTCCCAAGTGCTGGGATGATAGGCTGTGCTACCTGGCCTAGACACATTTACTTGATTGACATGAATATTTTGACAGCTGATACATGACAACAGTATTGGTTTGGAAATTAAAACAAAATTTTAGGGAGTCAGCAGATTTGCAAGTAGGAAATAGACATGCTTAGGATCAAATGTAGTTGATAAGGACCAATTGCACTTTTAAATTTCATCTAAGAGGCCAGGCATTGTGGTACGTTACTGTAATCCCCATCTGTAGGCAGAGGCAGGAGGATTCTGGGTTTAGTGCTAGTCTAGCAAGACCTGTCTCAAAAGGGAAAATGAGGACAGAAAATCTCATCTAAGGATAAAGAGTTTCTTTGAGTATTTATTTCTTGACTGTCTTAGGAATTTTTGTGTGTGTGTGAAAAGAGTATCATTAGCCTAATATTTCAGCATATTCTTTATTTATATATAAAGGCAAAAAGCAACTCTTTGTCAAGAGGCCCCCCCCACACTCCCAATAATTGAGTTTTTTGAATTTGTAGTGAACTGTTTAAACTATTTGAAAAAATCAGTTGTTACCTTAGTAGTGGACACAGTGTTGTTAGCTTTGTGTAAGTAGTCCATTTCGTTTAGTGGACAAAGTAGAAATTATCTTTGTGTTGCTTTGGGGGATTAGAATACAAAGGATAATACTTTCCCAGTAGTTGCTTTTCTTATTCTAAAAACACACAGTAATGGTGTTATAAAATCTTTTCTGCTACTCTGTATATAGATTTTAAAGATATATTTAGCTCTTTATGTGTTTTGCCTTTTTGTATGTATATGCATCATGTGTATACTGGTGCCTACAGAAGTTAGAAGAGGTTTTGAATCCCCTAGAACTGGGGTTGCAGATGGTTTTGAGTTGCCATGTAGGTACTAGGAATAAACCTGGAAACTCTGGAAGAGAAACAAGTGTTCTTGACCATTGAATCATCTTTTCAACTCTAATTGATGTTTTAAAATTATGTTTGAATTTTGTTCTGATTCTAGTTTTAAAAAATCTTTGAAACAATGAAAAAATAGTAAATAAACATTTATTTAAATGTTAGTACATTATGATATATGAGTTACTTAATAACCCTTAAGATATATTTTAAGATTATCTACTAACTTGAATTGGCCATGAATGTACATAGATATGTATATATGTATGTTTTTGTGTATGTATCCATAAACACTTAGGTATTTTTGTTTATTTTTTTGTAAGTATATAGTTTGTTTTGTTTGCTTGTTTCTTACCTCTTTAAAGTCCAGGTTTACCATGAAATGTAAATCTTCCTGCCTTAGCTTCCTGAGTTCTGGGATTGTTCCCTTTTAAAGTAGAATAAATTTATCTCTATATTGTATGGTAAATCTAGCTTTTCTTGGTTGACCTGAGATGACAAGCTGATACTTACCGCAGTAGTCTATGTGGCTAGGTTAATTATCAGTTAGTAATGTAAAGCTCTACCATAACATGTAGCGCTTTAAAATAAATCATTGAAGACCGCCATTGTTGACGTCATGAGTTTACATGTAATTCTTTGTTTCTAAAGTGTGATGTGCTTTCTTGAATGTCATACAGGCCACAGAGCTGTATATGTTGGCGTTCATGTACCATTTAGTAAAGAAAGTCGTCGGCGTCACAAACATCGAGGGCACAAGCATCACCACCGGAGAAGAAAAGACAAAGACTCCGATAAAGAAGATGGACGGGAGTCTCCTTCTTATGGTAGGAAGAAGTTGCTTTCCACGGATGGCTTAAACTTTTTTTCTAAGAAATATGTTTTCACTTCATTCCTTTAACTATATATCTGCAGTAATTGGGATACATTGGGAGGGGGCCAATAAGGCCTCTCTGAGCAGCCCAGCTGGCCTCAGACTTTTAGTCTTCTGAATGCAGGCACTATAAGGTATTCCACCAAGGTCGTCCCCTCCCCTCCCCTCGCCTCTCCTCCCCTCATCTTCCCTCCTCTCATCTCCTCTTTATCTCATCTCTTCACTGTCCCTTCCCTGTCCCTTTTCCTTTCTTTCCCTTCTGCTCTAACATTCCTTCTTTCTGCCTGCTGGATAATTAAATCCAGGGCCTCTTGCATTCGAAGTAAGCGTACTATTGCTGAACTATTTCCTCATCCCATAGGATTTTTTTTTTAATTAAGAAGAGTATTGGCTAGTAGCGTAAGATCTCATTGCTATAAATGGGGGTCATGGTGGCAGTGGGACCCTTGTTTTCTTTTTAAGACTTTGAATTATAAAAATTGGTCCTTGTTATTCAGTTCTCAAATTAGTGTTGTTTTATATCCTTTACTCTGTCATATACTTCACTCCTTGACTATACATTAAGCAGACATCTGCAGGACTAAAGTTCCTGGAGAGAGAACACCACATTACTTTGACTTCTTTGCTCTTTTGAGACAGGGTTTCACTGTGTAGCTCTACTGGGCCTGGAACTTACTTACTATGTAGACCAGGATGACTTTGAATTTGCAGCTGTCTTCCTTCCTGACTCCCATTGCTGAGATTACAGGTGTGTCACCATACCTGGCTTTCTTGTTTCTTTTTTTTTTTTTGTTTTTGTTTTTGTTTTTACGAGACAGGGTTTCTCTGTATTGTTTCAGAGGCTATCGGTCCAGCCTGGCCTCGAACTCACAAAGATCCGCCTGCCTCTGCCTCCCGAGTGCTGGGATTAAAGGCGTGCACCACCACCGCCCAGCTCTTGTTTCTTTTTAAGCTATATTTTTGGCTAGAAGATTTTAATTCCTTGAATACCTGGTTACCTAAGGAAGAAATAGTGGTCTGATTTGTCAGTATTGTATGTTTAGAAGGACAAGAGGTTTCCCTCCCTCCCTCCCTCCCTCCCTCCCTCCCTCCCTCCCTCCCTCCCTCCCTCCCTCCCTCCATCCTTCCTTTAATCCTTTCTTCCCTCTCCTCCTTTAATTCTTTCTGTTTTGTGTTTTGAGATGGAGTCTCTCTATTCTGGAACTCATTATGTATGTAGATCAGGCTGACCTTGAATTTACATAAATCCTCCTGTCTATGCCTCCTAAGAATTGGGATTAAAGGTGTGCACCACCACATCTGGCTGTAGAAGGTCAGATTTTTATGTTATTTAAAAGCAGAATGCCAATGGAATTTAGAAAGCAAAAGGTATTTATAAATGGGCAGAGGACAGAGAAACATATATTTCCCCTGGATAAAGATAGACAGAGTTGGGTGGTCCTGAGACTCATTGTATCTGAAGGGAGACTTAGATGACATGTGAGACATCCCTGGTGTCTAGTGAGTGCTTTCTAAGAAGGCTGCATGAGCTGTAGGGTTCTCTGAAGCCTAGGCTGGCCTGGGGCTCACTATAAGTCAGGGTGTCCTTAAGCTTGTGCCCATCGTTTTGGGATCTGGGATTACAGCTGTGCCACAGCTACACCTGTCTTGAACTTTAGGTTCTTGTGTGCTATACTAAAAGTATGGATGGAAACCTGCTGTGTATATGATCATGAAGCCAATACTGCTGGCCTGCTGAATATTTATATGTGCTTTTTAATCCTGGCTCCTCCCTCCTTTTTTTTGTTGTTTCTAGGAATTGAACCCACTAATTCTTGGCACATGCTAGGCAAGAATACTCAGCTACATTCCCAACTCTCCCAGTAGTTTTAAAAGATGAACATTATTATTTTCATTTCATAAGAAAGCTTGCCTAAGTTTTGACTCAGAGAGGCTAATTGATAAGAATTTCTTGAGCTTTTACGAAGAGGAAATAGCGATCTAATAATATTAAACTAAGAGGTTATATACTGAACAGAGATCATGTAGCTAGCAATGATTAAATGAGGGGTTGGTAAGATGGATCAGGTGGGTAAAGATGGTTGTCCCCAAGCCTGATGACTTGAGTTTGATTGCCAGAACCCACATGACACAGAGAGAGAACTGACACCTGTCTTGGGATATTTGTACACTGTGTGAAGGTGTATTGCTGTGATTGGTATAATTAAAAGCTGAACGGCCAATAGCTTGGCATGAGGTATGGGTGGAACTTCCATCAGAGAGAGAACTCTGGGAAGAAGAAAGTCTGAGTCGCCAGTCAGATTTAGAAGAAGCAGAATGGGCAGTACAGAGATGAGGTAATGCCATGTGGCAGAATGCAGTTTAATATAGATGGGTTACTTTAAGTTTTAAGTGCTAATTGAGAACAAGGCTAAGCTAAGGTTAAGTTTTCACAATTGCTAAGTCTCCATGTCATTGTGAGACTAGAAGGTACTGCTACAGACGCTTGCAAGTTGTTTTCTTGACAGCCTCATGTTTGCACCGTGCACTTCTGCCATGCACACATTCACTCAGAAAATAAGTAAGTTCATTCTGTTAAATAAATTCTGTAAAATGGAATCTATTCTATAAAAAATGAATTCTGGATTTAGCAAAGATCACTGTGAACCTAATTGGGACATTAAGGGAATGGAGAAAAGACAAATGCGTGGACACAGAAAAGCTGAAGTCAAGTGGACTTGGCTCTCTGATGGAGAAGCTGCAGCAGCCGATAGGCCCAATGTGCTTATTATATACAGGTGGGCAGGGAGGCAGGATTATTGCATAAAACTGAACAAGAAGACATATTTGGCTAATCTGGGTAGGAGCAGTCTTTTGTAGGGGAGCAGGTTTTGATGCTGAACTTCTGGAGATGGCAGAAAGCTACAGTGGGTATTTCCTGCTTACTGTGAATGTTTGCACTCTGACCCATTGAAGACTTTGCCACTCTGATGGGCCTGAGCATTGGAGTGCTTGATGTGACTGCTGCTGTCAGTAGCACACATTCACTCACCCCTGTATAGCCCTATTAATCATGCCACTGTTGCATTAGTGAGTCTGTCTCTCCTGGTAGATCCGTATTGTATCACTCAACATCCAGGAGGGGTAAGCTAGCCAGCAAAGAGAAAACTTTCTGGTCAGTTCAAGATTGTTTTCTCTATATCCCATAGCCAAATATTGTGATGTCTTCAGTGATAAAATCTTATGTTCTAGTTATGGTGGATAGCCAAGAGTAGTTGTAGTAGCCTTTGTTATTTGGGTACTTGATGCTGTAACAGTAAACGGCACACTTACTGAAAATAAAACTAAGTATTTATTGTAGAAATTACTCACAAGATACCAAGCAAGTAACCCAGATGAGCCCAGTATTTTTCTGCTGCCGAACCGGAAGCCGAAATCCGGGAAAAGAGACCAAGACTTCTTGTGTGCTGTCTTTTATGCCTTCCCCCGTAACGCCCCCTAGCCATGCCCAAAAGTGGGCCTGGCTAGTGATGTAGTTCACTGCCTATGTACGTATACGTCTTTACGTCCGTCCGTATACGTCTTTAGTCATGCCTAAAGTGGGTGTGGTTAGCGGTGTGGTAAACCACTCTTTTATTACCTCATCTGTATGCGCCTCTAGTAAGTCACATGGTTAATGGCGGCATACAGGCTTTCTCCTACAATTCCCCTTTTAGTCTAAAAAGGACAATTAACTTGTGTCAATGAACAAATTGTATCAAACATCTATTCTATCTAAACCTAAACTTATCTGAAAGAAACACCCAAATCTGAACACCTCCTTCCAATCCCAACTCTAAAATAATTGAAAACTAACACTAACAGGTGTAAACTATCCTATAATATCAATAGTAGGGAGAGGGGGCGTGGAATTCTCAAACCTACTTCCTGCTGAAATGGGACGATGATAGTCTCATGGGGACCTGTGAGAAGAAAAATGTTAGTGTAACAAAATCTCAGTAGATCAGACAGTCTCTGTATGGTAGGAGATGCTTGATTGAAGTTCCTGACTGGGGTTCTAGTGTTGATTGAAGCTCTCATCTGAAGCTCTGGCCAGATTGTAGAAGATGTGCTGTTTCAGTTTCTTGGTCCGGAGTTGTGTAGAGTGATGTAGTTTCAAGCCAGTTTCAGGATAGTGCTTGTCAGGTGGAGTCAATGATGTGGGGCAGTTCAGATGCCTCCAGTTGAATCAGGTGAAGTCAAGGAAGTGGATCCTCATTCTCTTTCTGAAGCAGTTGAAGATTGCTGTCAGGAAATCCCCCTTTTCTCTGGAAAACTCAAACAGTAATGTTAACAAAGAAATATTTTAACTTTTATATGTATGCATACTGGAAGAGGTGACAATAGGGAAGATGGTAAACCTGAAGGAAATTAGACTTTTCAGAAAAAAAAATCCACAGATAACAGTCCCTAATTTTATTTTTCTTCTGTCTTACATCAGGTACTCTTGAGGCTTTCTGGCCAGTAACTTGGTGGGAGATAACTTATGCATTATCCACTCTTGCAGGAAAACTCTGTTGAAGCTTTTTAAAATACATATATTTATTTTAATTGTCTTAAAACTGTTTTCTTAAGACTTCCTCATACATCCTTTGCTTCGCTCACTCCCCATCCTACTTTTTCTCCCATCCTCTGCCTCCAATCAAGCTGTTTGTGCCCTATCTGTTCTCGAGTTGGACAGAACTTGCAAAACGATAGTTTGGTCTCTGGGTAGCACATAGCCCAGGCTCTGAATTGTGAGAAGAGATGAGAAGGATTAAGTCCAGTGCTTGCCTGAACTCACTGCTCAGGAACTATTTTCTGGTGAGGTGCTGACCAACTCTCAGGAATCTGGGTTAAAGAAGAATCAAAAAGCAGTGAAGTGTTTCAGTCTTGTTGAGAGTGAGAACCGTACAGGCAACAGAGGTAGAGTCTTGCATAGCACAGGTATGACTAATAGCAGATTTCATATAGTGCAGGACTGTGTGATCCAGACTGTACCCAAAATTGTCAGGTGCAACTAATATAGTGCTTAGAGACAGGCCATTTTGATCCTTATATGTTAGAAAGAAGGAATGGGAGTCAGTGATACCATGCTCACTTAAGAGACTAAGGGAAAAGGTAAAGCATATTAAGTTCAAGGAAAAGAACAAAATCCAAAAATGGAGAGATGTCTCAGTGAAGAGAGCTTGCTGCTCTTTTAGAGGACATGGATTTAGTTCCCACCACTCACCTCAGGCAGCTCACACCTATCTATACTACCTGTAAATCCAGCTACAAGGGATCTGCATCTTTTTCTGGCCTCCCTTGGCACTGTATGCATGCACATGGGTGTTTTGGAGACTGTCCTGGAACTTGCTGTGTAGCAGGCTGGCCTCGAACTCAGTTCCGCCTGCCTCTGTCTCCCGAGTGCTGGGATTAAAGGCATGTGCCACCAATGCCTGACCTTCTGCAAGAATTTTTGTGGCTGAACTTTCCCCAACCGGTGTGTTCATGTTCTGCCTTTGCAACACATGTGATTTGTGCACCTCATGCATAAGAACTACTTGATTGTGCTTAAAAACAATCAATCTCAATGATTTAAGTAAATTTACAAGTTTTGTTTTGGGCCACATTCATAACTGTCTTTGGCCACATGTCTTATCACCTTTATACAGTGATGTCCTGGAACACCTAACCAGTGGAGGAGGGAGGGAGGGAGGGATGGGGGTCGAGTGTATATGACACACATGCATTGCAATGAAGGAAGAAAAGTCTCTCCGTAGATGTAGGGCCATGGAGTAGTAAATCTAAGCAGTCTGCAAAACTATGAGACTAAGTGAATCAGTCGCAGTAGAAAATCAACTTTTTCTCACTAGTAGCAATGAATACTTGAAGTGGAAATTAAAAATACTGTTTACAGTAGCACTAAAAACAGTTCTTAAGTAATAAATCCATTAAAAACCACGCAAGTCCTGAGTGTAGGAGCAGTTGACCACAGTAATATTGCTTTGGCCTCTAGCATTCATTCAGCACAACACCTGTGGAAACTTTTGACATATTTTTTATCTCAATTCTCCCAGTTGTTATATTTTCATTTTTCTGGAGGGTTCCTATTGGACTCTCCTCCTTTGGTCTCCAAATCACTTAATTTTCATTTTTCATTGTGTCATTTCCTTGTGTCTGCCATTTCTTTTCACATCTCTCTTTAACTTTCCTCTTCAAGGGTTTTGTTTGTTGCATCCACAGGGTCCTGGAGGATTGTTTACATAGGTGTCAATTTTAGTGTGAACTCATTTCTCATGTACAGCAGATGGTTTTCTGCTACTGAAGAGGTAGTGTCTATTCTGCTAGTATGTGTCCTGCAGTGGCTTTGGCTGAAACCCCAGCTAATGGTTACATTTCTCTACAGCAGCTGGAAAGCCGGCTTGCACTTATTGACAGCTTGAAGTTTCACATCTGTTTCTGAAATGTGAAGGCTTCCTCTTCTCTTAATTCATGAACTTAGCTCTCTTAACCATTTTATCTAATACTTCCATTTATACTATATGACTTGAATATGTATACTGTATATTTTGGATGTTGGAAGTAAGATTTGTATGATCCTGTCTTGACTGGAACTTCCTGTGTAGACTAGGCTGGCCTAGAACTTGAAATGATCTTCTTGCCTTAGTTGTCTGAGGCCTAGAATTATACTTGTGAACCACCAGACCACACCAAAATCTATTTTATGTGACAGAAGTGTTTCAGTTTCAAAGCTTACCCTTAAAAGTATGTACTGTTTTGTTAAGACACACCGTCACAGAGGGTGCAGTTCATCCTCGGGACTGAAGACGATGATGAGGAGCATATTCCCCATGACCTCTTCACAGAGATGGATGAGCTCTGCTACAGAGATGGAGAAGAGTATGAATGGAAGGAGACTGCCAGGTAACACTGTTGAAATTACAAGATACAGTTGGTGATTTGTTTCTTCGATTACTTATTTATTGAGGCAGGGTCTTGTTTCATAACACTGGCTGGTCAGGAATTTAGGATGAAGTCCAATCTCCTCTTTCTACTACTTAGTGCTGGGATTGTAAGAATGAGCCACCTTTCTGGTGCTTTAAATTAGAGGATTTACTTGTTAATGCCTGGGAATTTCTTTTTTTTTTGTTCTTTGCTCATAATTTATTTCCTTGAATGTGCTCATTTAGTATGTAATAAAATTGTTTGTATGGTCGGTATTCAGATGTCTTTGAACACATTGGAAGCTAAAATCTTACATTGTGAAATGTTGCAGTTTTCGTTTTGTAGTCTTACTACTTTAAATATAATTTCATTTGTCACACAATGGAACAAACTATGATGACCAATTTGTATGTTGTTAAACTGCAGGCTTACCATGTGATGTAGATGGTGGTAAAGGCAATATATATACCATTGTCCTAGTTTGTGGAAATGTGTCTGAGTATTTTGTTCCAGTAGTGATTTCTTGTTTTTTATTTTTTTAGATCAAGTTTATGTCATTAAAATAAACAAATGGGATGCCCATTTTTCAGTTTTTCTATATTATTCATTTAGGTGGCTGAAATTTGAAGAGGATGTTGAAGACGGTGGTGACCGATGGAGTAAACCCTATGTGGCAACTCTCTCCTTGCACAGTCTCTTTGAATTGAGGAGTTGTATCCTAAATGGAACAGTCATGCTGGATATGAGAGCAAGCACTCTTGATGAAATAGCAGGTTATATAGTAAACTGACTTTTATGTTTAAGATAATTAAACAGAGAAAATAAGGTGTTATTTTAAGATACTCATTTAACAAATTCTCTCTTCAGGGGCAATGTAGGTTTGTGTAGAGACTTACAGGTTAAATTAGCAGTATGACCACTGTCATCAGCACATATGTGGTCTGCCTTCTGGGAGTTTTCAGGAAAGTCTTTCATGGTGAAAGTCCAGTGAGAATATTATGTGTCTACCTCTCAAATCAGAGCACCTGGACCTAAGAAGCAGGTATATAAGAGAAAAGACAGTGTTTATGGAGGAGTGTGAGCAAGAAGAAAGTTCCAGTGCGGTGTCAACAGTGGGACTTGGGAAAGATAGAGGGCTGATAGTTCAGCCCTGTGTGCACAGTACTCACCTAGTATGCATGAGCCCAGACTAACTTCTCCCTTTGCCCAAAACAGGGATAGATTGTGGTCCCCCTGAGTTTTTGGGCTGAAGCATTGATTTTATATGGTGAACAGTGAGCATTGAGGTAGTTTTGATAGGAAAGGAGTAATGCTGATATGTGCTTTCAGAAGATTATCCTGGTCAGAAAATGCAGGGTAACTGAACTAAGATGCCGATTGAAACAAGACGTCCAGCTATTTCCTTAGAGTTGTATAAGTTAGTGAGGCAAATGTTAGATATAGTAGTGGAAACAAAGGATTATGGACTTGAAGGGTTATACCGAGGGAGAGAGGAAAAGTTGTGATTATTTGACGACTTTGGTTTACAGATGCTCAACACCAAAATCATGTCTGTTTTAAATAAGCACAGTACTGTGTAGTCACTGAAGATTGCTTCCACAGAAAACATCCGATTGGTTATTTTGATTTGTTAAGAAAGCCACAAACTTAATTGTAATTCTTGGGCTATAAATAATTTGAGTTTTACCTGATTGTTAGATTTGACTCTGCTCCAAATCTTTAAATTGTCAAGTCCCATTCTTATATGAATGACTGAAAAACTGAGTATCGTGTATGGGCAGATGAGTTCCCCTTTCATTTTATAGTTGTCACAAAATAGAACTCTTACTTTTAAAAAGTTTATTGTTTTAAAAAGAATATTGTTACTTATTCTTAGGCAGTTTCATACCTATAGTGTATCTTGATAATTTCTACTAGTATGTCTGCCCAATCCTGGCTTCTCAGTCCCCCTAACATGCCTCCTTTGACTTTCCCCTTGTCTGATGGGTATGAGTGTGCTGCCATTCTCCAGAGCACAGAATGTGATGCTTTGAGAGAGTGTAATCAAGCACTCACTTGTGTGATGAACTGTGATTATGCTCGCATTAAGAATTACCCATTTGGTTGACTTTTCCATTTTTCTTTTAGGGTAATTTTATCATAGTTTTGAAGATTTGACTTAAAATGATCTCTAACAGGGTAGGGGAATTAATTCAGTGGTAGAGCATTTGCTTAGCGTATATAAGGGTTCCATCCTTAAGAGAAAAAAAAAAGCAACAACAAAGAGAGCCACCGTACCAGGCTCTTAGTGCTATTGTTTAAAAATCTGTTCAGGGACTGGAGAGGTGGCTCAGTGGTTAAGGGCATTTGTTGTTGCAAAGGACTTGGGCTTGATTTCCAGTACTCTCACCTGGCAGCTCACAACTGTCTGTGACTCCAGTTCCAGGGATCTGATGCCCTCTTCTAATTTCTACAGGCTCCTGCAAGCACATGATACACGTCAGGAACGGACACAAATTTGTAAAATAAATAAATACCTTTTTTAAACTTTGTGCCCTGAAAGTATGCACAGTAATGCATAGGATGGCACTGGCATCAGTCCTTCCGTTCTCGCATTCCTTTTATTTCTCGACAGAATACTTCGTCTGGATTTTTTTTCGACTTCATTGTTCTGTACCTCTAAAAGAGTAAGAGCTACCACTTCTTTACTGCCCTATTCCTAGCACAGCACAAAGAATTGGAGGAAATCATTGGAAGCCCATGCCATTGAATATTTAGCTAAATAGAACCAACTACTCTTTCATTTGTTAACTAGAATTTTCTCTGTCTATATGGGAAAGCAGCCTCTTTAAAAAATACTACTTAGGGAAATAAGGTCTTGCTAACTATATTTTTTTGTTGTATTGATAAAGTTCATATTTATCTTTATACATATGCTTTAATAATTTTATGTAGTAAAAATAAATTTTTTTCCATTGAATAGATATGGTGTTAGACAACATGATAGCCTCTGGCCAGTTAGATGACTCCATAAGGGAGAATGTCAGAGAAGCTCTCCTGAAGAGACATCATCATCAAAATGAGAAAAGATTCACCAGTCGGATTCCCCTGGTTCGATCTTTTGCAGATATAGGCAAGAAACATTCTGATCCTCACTTGCTTGAAAGGAATGGTGAGATAAGTTGTGGTGTCCAGTTTTTGCTAACATTTCTTAAATGGCATTGCAGTATAATTAATATATGCTTCAAGAAAAGTGTGGTATTTCCAGCTATCATTTTCATTTATTCAAAGTTATTACATTTACAGTGTTTCTTTTTTGTTTGCTTGGTTTTGTTTTTTGAGACAGTCTCTATCTAACACAGGCTGACCTGGAACACTGTGTAGCCTTTGCTGACCTTGAACTTGGATTTCTCTTCTTTAGCCTCTCAAGTGCTAGAATTATAGGCCTGTACCAACAGACTACTGTGAGGTAGAAATCACTTGAATGAAGAAAAAAGTATTCACTGTTACTAAAATGTCATGAATTTTCCTTTAGCAATCTGTAAGTACAGTCACTATTACATCTGCTTTATTGGTTTGATTTGAGGTTTCTTGTGTATTTAAAAGGCATAAATTGTGATCTTTAATTTTAATGTTTGTAATTCTAAATACTGAGTTTGAACTTTGACTATATCAGATTTTTTTCCCTCCCAAATATACTAGAAGTACTTATCATAAGCAAGTGTTTTGGAAGCTGGTTTTGGAAATTAATATACTTTGTGGAAGGTTTCATGATAAGTCTATCTTATACAAATGGCAGACAAGTTGGTGCCTTTTAATCCATTGAAAAGGGCTTAAACCCAGGTACCGAGATCCAGTTCTACTCTTCGTTTCAGAGGATGGTGGCATATTATGTAGAACTTGGGGGAAACAGCATTTTTGTTTTTTAAATTTTACTTTTATATTATGTATGCATATGTTTTGCCTACATATATGTATGTGCACCACTTGAGTGCCTGGTACCTGAGGAGGTCAGAAGAGAGAGTATTGAATCCCCTGGAACTGGAGTTAAAGATGGGTTTAAGTTACCACGGGGTGCCAAAAGCAAAGCCAGTTTCTGTGGAAGAATATTAGGTCTCTTAACTGCTGAGTTTTTACTCTCTTCCTCACCAACCTTAAGAAGTTAGCTGTCAGTTTCTTAGGACTGAAGCACATTGAACATTTGCCTTTCCTTATTGTATGGCTTTCACTTGACTTAAAACAGAGCTGTGATAGCAGAACCTGGAAAGACCAGATACAGAAGCCGATGAGGGACCTTACTGCCTCTAACTGTCATAAAAGAAGCTTAGAAGGATTGCAAGTTGTGACAAATGAAGTATGGGACTCAGTAGCTTTTGTCCTCTTTCTGTCCCTGAATGCTCTTAATTGGTCATCAGCCATATGTGCAAGGCCTTGACGTAATAGAAGTTGACAGCAGCAATTATTTGTAGCTCAGGCTAAGATGTTTTATTTGATCGTTAAGGAGTCTTTTAATCTGTTTAAAATTAGGGTGTGGTACATTTAAGGGACCTAAGTTTAACTTAGAAACAAGTTGTACATGTTTCTGCTTTCATTTTCATTTATTGTATATTTTCTACTGTGGTGAAGTAAATTTATGTACCTCAAGGGCTCTACTAAACTTTTACTCACCATATGCAGTGTTTTCTCTTTATTCTCTTTGTAGTTTAATTTCCTTTCATGTAAGACAATGGCTGCTTTCTTTTAAATGTAATTTTATCATGTTAATTTTGTTATAATTAGTAAACTTTTCTGCATGTAGCACTTTAAAAGCTAAGTGATTGCTGTTTATGTATTAACAGTTGTTTCTATTTATTTTAGTTGCAATACAAATAGTGGGTTTATCACATTCTTTATTTTTGTTACATTTAGATCTCATGATCATGTAGCTTTGATTCCTTACGCCACAAGAGATTGTTAGTTACATTTTTTATACAACTACTATTTTGTTTTAAAAGGCTATAGGAGAAAGAACGTTTCTCGTTTAAGCCTCACTTACTAGTAGTACCAGATATTTTAAGTATTAAGTATTCCTATGCTTTTGAAATATTCTAGACTTACTTTTCTATTGCTCTTGGTAAAATGCTAAAATGCTTTGTTTTTAGCTAGCTAATGCAGCAATTGTATATAGTTGGTTAACTATACTATGGTAGAAGTAAGACATGTGATTTGGAATATTAATTTAAAAGTTGATGATGATTCTTGTAATTCCCTTTGTTTCTCTCCTTCTTTTTTCTTTCCTTTTTTTTTTTTTTTTTTTTTTTTTGAGACAGGGCCTTACTGTGTAATCCTGGCTGACTTGAAACTTGCTTTATAGACCAGGCTAGTCTTGAACTAAGAGATTCACCAAAACTGACTATAATTTTATTGAAAGATAATTCTTATAATTTGTCTTATGCCTTTAAATCTTACTTAAGAGCACTGACAAGCTCCCTGAAAAACATTTGATTTCAGTTTTAAGTTAATTATTAGGTAATGCTAATGTGGAATCTTGTGAGATAATTATCTATAAATGTTTCTCTTTAGGAAAAATGTTTTTTAAATACATATTCAGTCACAGAACTGATTTCAGTTAAATAACTTTTTAGTGACACTATAACAACTAAGAATCTGACTGACTTGCTAACCTCACAGAGGAATTTGAAGCTTGTGATTTGTGGTTTGAGTTGAGTTTTGTGTTTTCTATTTACTTAATGCAATGAACATCATTTTTTACTTACTTGTTTTATCTCAGGCGAAGGCCTGTCAGCCTCTCGCCACTCTTTGCGAACAGGTCTGTCTGCCTCAAACCTTTCCTTGAGAGGAGAATCGCCTTTATCTCTTCTTCTCAGTCATCTTCTTCCTTCTTCGAGAGCTGGAACCCCTGCAGGCTCGAGGTGTACCACCCCAGTGCCCACTCCCCAGAGCAGTCCTCCTTCCAGCCCTGGCTTAAGTCGCCTGGCCTCCAGAAGTTCCCACCAGAGTCAGCCTCAGGCCCCAGAACTACTGGTGTCACCCAACAGGGATGATATTCCCAGAGTAGTAATTCATCCGCCTGAGGAAGACATAGAAGCACTCAAAGCCCAAGAGCAGAAGACTGAGGAAAATGTTGACTTCACTCCAGGCAACTGTGCAGAGTCCTCCACATGTGGTGCTTTCTGCCTCTGGGTCACTTGCACTGAGAATGCCTGTCAGCACATAGCTTGAGCAGCATATGTAGATAATGCTTATGATTTGACTTCTGCATGTTTTGTTCTTTACAGTGCATCACAGGAAAGAATAAAGTTATTAAAACTTAGGTTAAAAAAGTAGTATGAAGAAGGCTGTACATAAGTCGAACCCAAAAATATACGTATATTTAGAGATTACAGTATTTGGGTGACTTAGCAAACATATTGTTGATGTGACTCTTAGAAGGGTGGATCGTGCAGTTTGCTTGTGAGGAACACATGATGGTAATGGGATGAGGTGCCCTTCAACTGTCTGATGCTTTTCTTCAAAGAGTGCACTGCTGTTTAGCCTTCCTAATATGATAGGATGCCATGGGTTTTTTTCCCCCCATTCTCTCTCTGACACACACACACACACACTGAAATTCTCTAATAATTTTGTGGAGTCACTATTTCAAGAGGAGTGGTGTAGCTTGGAACAGACTTCAGTTGTCTTTTATTTATGACTATGTGTTAGTCCAAGTTTCCCTGATGGTTTTCAGGACTGCAAGCTCTATACATGGGATGAGTATCAGAACTGCAGGCTGTAGACTCAGGGTGTAGACCAGCACTGCAGGCTCTATATATGGGGTGAGGACCAGACTCGGTGAGAATCAGAACTGTGGGCTCTAGTCTCAGGGTGAGGACCAGAACTGTAGGTTCCAGATTCAGGGTAAGGACCAGAACTGCAAACTCTAGACTCAGGGTGAGGACTAGAACTGTTAGGCTTTATACATGGGGTGAGGATCAGAACTACAAGTTCTGTACTAAGAGTGAGGATCAGAACTGCAGGCTCTAGATTCAGGGTAAGGACCAGAACTGCAGACTGTGTACTCAGGGTGAGAATCAGAACTGCAGGCTCTATACATGGGGTGAGGATCAGTACTGTGGACTCTGTATACAGGCTGAGGATCAGAACTGCAGGTTCTGTACTCAGGCTGAGGATATAGTTTTGTAAATGGATTACAAAACTTGCTTATGGGGCTGCAGAGGTCCCTCTGGGTAAGACTGTATACTGCTCTTGCAGAGGACCTGACTGATTTCTAGCAACCTCAGTCATCTGTCTGTAACTCTGTAACTCCAGCTCCAAGGGATCTGATGCCCTCTGCTGGCTTCTTCAGACCACTAGTGCACATAATCACAACACACACACACACACACACACACACACACACACACACACACACTAAAATTGAGAGAGAGAACTTCTGAGGCAATAAAGGGTTTTGTTAGCTCTGAATTGAGGTACACATATTTTTAATACTATGAATTTTTATGAAAAGATACATCAGTTTTTCTGATAAAATTAAAATGGTTGGATTTCTGAAGACAAAATAAAGCTGCTAATTACTGAGAAAAGTCATAGGACCAGTTGTCATCACTTCCTTTATAACTGCTGTTTGCATTAAGAATATGCAGCCATTTCTAGCAGAACTCTCTGGAAGCTGATGCTATGTAGAGGAGAACTTCTAGAACTTGACATAGCTATACAGTGGTAGGAAGCTTCATTTTCTGCTGACTGACTTGATTCTCAGTCAGCAAAATTAGTATCAGGAGACAGTTTTAACTTAGCTGAGACTTGGAAAGAATACTCAGAGAGAATCATGGTAGAATGCTTTAGTTTTTTTTCTAAGAACAAGGTTTCAAGCTAGCAATGAGCTTCTGATCCTCTGTTTCTACCTCCCAAGTGATGGTGTTAACAGGAATGTGCCATCATGCTTGGAAGGTGAGGTGTTCTTAACATGCACTGGCCATTTGAAAACAGGGACAGGTTGAAGATGACCAGCATAGCCAAGTCATTTAAAATAACTTCTACCTTTGCCACCATTGAATTTTACTTTATTTCTCCTTCCATTTCTACTGACTTTCCCCTCCCCCACTTCTACAAACCTCTTTGTTCTTTGCTCTCAATTCCAGTGGCTGAATCATTGTAGAAACTGCAGTATGTTCTTCTTTTGATTATCCGTAGAATACGTAGTTTCTAGTACTCAGAGTTGTCACCAGGGTTTTAATAATATGTTTCTTGATTTTCTTGTGTGTGATTCTGTTGAAGTTACTTATAAAGATAATTCCTCCTAGCCTCCTTAGGCAAGGAAGAGCCACTAGTCTAGAAAGCATAGGGACAAAGGTTAAAAATGAGGAATCTTAATAACTTTTCCATGTTAAATCAACATTTTAAAAAGTATTTATTTTAGGAAATAATTTTTATTACAGAATTGTTTAATTTGAGAATTACATGGCTGAATCAAGTGCAGTGCTTTTTATATGAATGTTTTTCACTTACATTGATACTCCAGTTTGTTGTCAAGAAAAGTTAATATCGTAGATGACTTAAATGCAGAGTTGAAACAGCGAGCCCAAGGCCTGAATTTTGTGTTCATTAGTTATAGTTGCTGTATTCTAGAAGAATAAACATAGATGGATGTATCAAGTACATCTGATATGTTTGACATTGCAGAAATGGTTACTAATTAACAAATGACTGATACTGACAAATACTAACTGAATTTCTGTAAAACTGTAGATTATATTATATAGTAGTCTCTTCATCTTAAAATTTTCAGTGTTTTTAATGTTAATTAGTTTATATTCTTGGACTAGAAGGTTTTTTATCTTATAAGGAAAAATGAGATATATTTAATGGTAGAAATCTGTATGATAAAACTTGAATTTAAAGTTTTTGAGATTTGAGCTTTTTATAGAACTTTTAGTGGTAAAGATAGATTAGTCTAGGTGATGCTTTTAAGCTGTCTTACTATGAAATGCTCTTGTAGAATTCACCTGAAGTGAATATACTAACATGAACATGCATCATTTATAATACAAACAACAACTTGTTAGTCACATGCTAATTTATAGACCTGTCAGAACCATGGAGGTTGAGTGAAGTATTCAATCACTTGACTATAAATGATGAGTATTATTTAACCCAAATCTCTTTGATTATGTACTATTTATCTTTGTACTGGGAAAGCTTGTTTATGGCCTTAGGTTTCTTAGGAAGAATGATAGTAGAAATTAGATATAAATACTCATAAAAAATCAAAATTCTTTAGGAAATATGATTAAGGGAGACTAAAAGTAGCTTTTAAATTTTCTGAATTACCCTTGTAATTTATCAAAGAATTCATATTGGTGTTAATCTGAGTGTTTTAGGTGAAGTTAAACCTCACTAAGTTCCATACAATTCACAAGAGCTAGAGATACTTACCTAGAAGTATTTTTAGTGATAAGACTGATTTTAGTTAAGATCTTCTGTAGTTCCACACTGACTCACTTCTTTTTAAATGGCTCCTGTGTATATTCTATAATGCTTTAAATATTAAGATACACAACTTCATCCTGTTCATGTGTTCTAATTCATGTTGCTGGTATGAAGCTAACATCTGGCACTTTTTAACCTCACATTTGCTTTCATAATAAACCATCGCTTTAAGGATATGAGCAGAATCAGGCCACACAGCAGATTTTCTCCTTACCAATTTGGGTTTCTGTATTTTCTTAAATACAGGGATTTTGGCTTCTCCACAGTCTGCTCCTGGGAACTTGGATAATAGTAAAAGTGGTGAAATGAAAGGTAACGGAAGTGGAGGAAGCCGAGAAAATAGTACTGTTGACTTTAGCAAGGTAATTCATTAATTGTAAATTTTCAGTAGCTTTCCCACTGAGAAAATAACTAGTAATGTGTTGCTTTGTTGCTATTGCTTACAGAATTGTTTAGTAGACTGGTGTTTACACATTGTATGGGATGCCTGTGAGGTCTTAAGGACATAAACTGGGATAAGCTCTTAGTTCATAATTACATGCTTAGAGTTTCAGTGTTTGAGACGAAAACACTGTAAACAGGATGAATTTGTCTTTGTACCTTATCATAGGAACCCTGAAACTTGGGTCTTATGAAGAGGTTTTTCTGGGAGCGGCATTGCAGCACTTATAGAACCTTCTCCTGGGTTGTACTGCATCCCAGAATTACTGACTAGTGGAGTTAGGACCTTCTGGAATGCTCCTGGGAAACATGGGTATATAGAGGTGTGGTTTAAACACCAAAACCAACAAACTCCTATGAATTTGTTTTTTTTAATGAGTAATTCGTTGAAATAAAGGTGAAAACAACAACCACAACAACACGAAAAGACCTCTTGAGCGGCAGCTGAGTTTTGAAAGTACTGGTTGGGAAGTACCTTAGTTTTGCTGCCTGCCACTTTACTATTAATGCATGGAATATTAACATTTCTACATCTTATTTCTAAGGCTTTGTTTTAAGTGTCAAACCGGATCCATTTTTTTAAAAACTTTTTGTTCTATTTCACAGTGTGTCCACAAATTATGCACACTTCACTGAAAAAAAGTTTGAATGATTTGTAGTTTTGTGGAGCTTTGTACTCTCACATTATAGAAAGACTGGCCATTAGGGATTTTGACTATTTGGAAAAAGTGTTCTCTTGGGCATGATGGCCTATGCCTATAATCCTAGTTAACCAGAGGCCAAGGCAAAAGGATCTCAAGTTGGTAGCTAGCCTGGGTTATATAGTGAGCTCTAGAATACCCTCAACTAAATAGCAAAGTCTTGTCTTTAAAAACAAAACAAACAATTCAAGGCCGTTACAGTTGTCATTTCTAACTTATCTTGTTTTCATTAGTGCTCTGTTTCAGATCATCAGAAAGTGTTCCTAGCTAAGGTGGAATTTACTGTTCTGAATAAGTAAATTAGTGTCACTTGCATTGTGGGTCTTGTCTAGGCATGGCCGTTGCGGTTGATCTTTGTTCCTCTGTCAGTCTCATTTTTTTACTGGACTGTTCTTGTATGCCCTCCCTGTCTCTTGCTGGGCAGGAGTCTGCCTCCTGGCACTGTAGTTGTGGCACACTGAGAGTGGGACTCAAGAGGCCCTTTGTAAGTGCTGGTTTACCTTTTAATAGATAGTCTTGCTAGTGGTCGTTTAGTAACTTGTGTGAACCTGTGTATAAATGAGAGCTTCATCTACCCTGGTGTCATGTTTGTAACTGTTTTGTAATTATACACAGGCAGCTGAGTTTCCCTTGCACAGTGTCTGAACTAATCAAGGCTATAGATTTTCATTGAGAATAACATTTTTTCCATTTAAAGAAAATACTAGGAAATGGTAATTTTTTTAAAAGGAGAATTTATGAAGACATATGAAACAGTGAGACTTAATAATGGAAAATCAAGCAATGAATATGTTGTAGCACTGTGTATAATTTCACGAGCCATTGTTAGTTTGTGCGCTGTATGTCCTCAATAGTTTTAATGAATAGTCTATTCATTGAATAGTTTTAAAGTTTATGTTTGATAATATAGAACTCTAAAGTAATAAAGATTGTAGTAGTTAAAACAATAGGTGCTAAATTATGCCTGTACTTTTTATATTTGTCTACTCCATTCTTTATATCTGTGGGACTTTTGGCATTTATACATCTTTTAGATCATAAGGTTTGATTGGCAGTAGTAGTTTTAAAGTTATTCTTTCATTCATCTCTAAGTAATCATTTCTAAATTGCTCATTTATCAATAGGTCGACATGAATTTCATGAGGAAAATTCCCACAGGAGCTGAGGCTTCCAATGTTTTGGTAGGAGAAGTGGACTTTTTGGAGAGACCTATCATTGCATTTGTGAGACTGGCTCCTGCAGTTCTCCTTTCCGGGTTGACAGAGGTCCCTGTGCCCACTAGGTAAAAAGCAGCTCTCCTTCATATAGACCCACTGAAAGAATACTTGGCTATGTATAATAGAGGCACTGTTTAATCACTAATTAATTCAGTCATTGTACTAAAATGCTTTTGAGTATTAGTGTAAATTATCCTCCCTCCTCCAGCTTTTACCTCCTTTCATTCTGCAGCTGACCTGGAACTTACTATGTAGTCCTTTACACTCCCAAATGATGAGATCGTAGCTATGAGTCGCCTCCTGCTGTAATAATATTGTGTGAAATCAGCTGTTTATTTGTATCTTTATTAGAAGTTTGGTAGTTTATGAGCTTTTGTTTTACAAAGCCAGTAATTGAGATTGATTTTTGTGCTGGGGACTCAGAAGGGGGCTTGCTCATGTTCAGTTCTCATTTTGTCCTAAGCTATAAGCTCCAGTTTGTCATTCTAGACATGCCCATCCCTTGTGTATGCATACAAAATTCTTTGTTCTGACTTGATAGAGATTTTCCATTCATGTACATTGAGTGTATAAATTAATCTGGATTGAGACCATAAAGAATAATTACAAGTTGTGTTAATCAGTCCATGTGCTGTGAAAAGGACATCTCCACAGGTCATTAATGTCAGAAACTTAACTGCAAATGTGACTTGTTTTTGACAGTAACTGTATTTTTGCTTGAAGGTTTTTTGTTTTGTTTTGTTTTAGATAAAGTCACTTGTGTGGCAAAGGTTGACTTCTTATCCTTGGCAATCCTTCTGCCTCAGCCTCCTGAGTGCTGAGCTTCTGGCATATGCATCATACTAGGGGAATTTTTCATCAGGGAGGCTCCACAGTACCATGAAGAGGTGTGGTTAATAATGTATTCTCATGACTGATTCAGTAGTTAAGATAATAATTAATAGGAATTTGATGGAGGTATACTTATATATCACTAATGATACAGTATTGATAAGTGAGGAAAAGTATTTGATTACTTCATATGTAAATTTTCATAAAGCAGGAGGATAAATATTTCAGTAAGGATATTAATATTTTACATAAAGTTGAGGAGATAATGATGAAACCCATTATTTTGTATGTTAACCTACAAAGATAGTTAAAATATTAGTATATGCTCTAGTGTTAACAGGATACAACTAAGTACTTTTTATTTAACACCAAAATAGTAACAGGTCTGATATTGAAGTTGTAAATCCTTTTTCCTCCCAGATAGGTTACTTGGCTGGATGCCATATTTACAGTGATCCAAAATAGTTTCAGACTGCATATTTTTTGTGTGTATGTTCTGAACTATTTGATTCAACCTTACTTTCAAGAAATCAGTGTAGGACAAGGGATGTGGCTCAGCTGGCAGAGAGATTGCTCAGCATGCACAAAGCCCTGGTTCAGTTCCCAGCACTACATAATCCAGGTGTGGTGGGGCACACCTTTATCCCATCACTTGGGTAGAGGAGGGTGCAGTGGAGGCAGGAGAATTCAAAGTTCAAGGTTTCCTGTGTCTACACAGTAAGTTCCAGATCAGCCAGGGGTACATAACCCTCAAAGAAATCAGTGTGGTGCTGCAAATCTATAACCCAACACTAGGAAGACTGAGCAAGGAGTTTGAGGTCAGCCTGGGTGACCTAGGGAGACCCTAAGAAGGTCGTTACAACCTTGCTGTTTTTATCAGTTTAGTCCAGAGTTAATTGGTTAATCCAGAAGGATATTTCCTTAGTAACTGTTTTGCACTAAGGAAGCTGCGAAATGAGTAAGTTAGTAGAGGTAATTGTGAATGCCTTTTATAGTTTCATGATCTGAATTTTTTTTTTTTTTTTTTTTTTGGTTTTTGAAAATAGGATCTGCTGTAGCTTGAGCTGAGATGATGACTTTGAGCTCAGATCCTCTTTGCCTCTGCCTTTCAAGTGTTGGAATAGCAGGCTTGCCCACCACACTCAGTTAAGATCTGTTTTGAATAGAATTGCCATTATTTTCTTGATTCTTGTGGGTGATACCAAAGGTCTGAGTGTTGTTTCTGTGTTTATGATAGAATCATTTTTAAAAGTTTCCTGTATTTGTGTATATATGTTGTTTCTTTTAAAATATGCATATTTTAATCTTTTCTTAGGTTTTTGTTTCTGTTACTGGGCCCAGCAGGGAAGGCCCCACAATATCATGAAATTGGGAGATCTATAGCTACTCTCATGACTGATGAGGTTAGTAAAATACAGTCAAATCCCTTTGAGCTAGACAGTGAATATGCAGTTATAGTCCTACTTTTTTTCTCACAGTAACACTTATAAAATTATCTGTGATATCTGTACTATTTTATATCATATTTGCTCTTACAACACATGCATTTCTTGGCGGTTTTAATACCTATTTCTCAGGAATAGTGGATAGTTTTTCATCTATTTTGTTGCTATTCTTTAATTTGACCTCATTGACTACATTGACATTTTGAAATTTATTTGGTCCTAGATTTCAGGATGTTACTTCTTTGGGTTTCCTTGGAAACTCTGTTCTTCTTCTCTCTCTTGGTTTTGTGATGTCATATTTGGCTCCTTAGTGATCAGAACTTCTGCTTCTTTGAGGGAGATTTCTAGCAGTGCTTGCTAAACATTCCAACACATCTATGTAGGGCATCAGAAAACCCTGTAAATCTGAACCTGATCTGTGTCAGCTACTCATACATTTCTATAATCACTGCCATTTCTCTGATTTAGACTCTGACCCTTACTGTGGCAAGTAATTTAATGGGTTTTTATCTTTGGAGTTTTTTTTTTAACCTATATTGACAATAATAAATGTAGATATGACATCTCCCAATCTATAGCCTCATTACTTACAGTTGTTTTTTTGTTTGTTTGATTTTGTTTTTGTTTCTGAATTGTGGTTTCTATATAACCCACGCATTCTTCAAACTGGCTGCACAGCTCAGGTTAGCCTGACTCTTGGCAGTCTTCTTAGCTTAGTCTCCTAAATACTGTTTTACCATCCACCATAACCACTACCTTTCTTGATTTCCTTTCAGATATCACCTCTGTTTTGCTTTTTGTTTAGTTGGTTGGTTAGCTTTTCTTGTACAAAGTCTTGATGTATGTCCTGGACTCCCTGAAACTCACACCAGTTCTCCTCCTGCCTTACGTTGCTGGGGTTATCAGTCTCCTCAGCAACATTTTTGTTTGGCTGCCTGCCTTTCTCTTGTCAGCTTTCCATTATGCACTTTGCTTAATTTTCTCCTTGTTTGACCATTTGTCCCTCTTGGAAGTTTGTCCTTCTGTGCAATTACTTAAGTCTCTGTTCTGCCTAGAAAGGTGGCAATGTTTTTTTTTTTTGTAGCACACAGCAGTGTGCCTAGCAAATCATAGGTAACCAATAAATATTTATTAAGCAAAGTAACTTCTTTTTCTATAATTATTCCTTCAGGATAAATAACACTTTAATGACAGAAACAGAATGACCTGACATTATTGTAATGAGTTAATCTGTAGTGAATTGATTTTTATCTTTGTAATGAATTACTATTTATCTTTATATCACTGTATCATTTTCTTCTGTTGTTTGTTGTTGATTGATCTGTTAATACTAATGATGGGCTGACTCTTGCTAAGCGAGGTGAATGCCTGCAGCTGATGAGAACTTGTGTTTTTTACTGACTTTACTTTTGTTATTTTACATTGTATGCACATGTGGGTACAGGTCCCAGGGTGTCCACAAGGTTGTGTCATATCCCTCAGAACTGATTCTGGGAACTGAAAGCGTGTCCTCTGCTTGCATGCTTACTGTTAACTATGGTGCCATTGCTCTAGCCCAGTGTTTCTGTGTCTAAAGTACATTTTAATACAGGTAGATCTTCCTTTCCACTGTAAAATCCTTATGCTCAGTATCTTCTTTTCCTTAGATTTTTCATGATGTAGCTTATAAAGCAAAAGATCGAAATGACCTCTTATCTGGAATTGATGAATTTTTAGATCAAGTAACTGTCCTTCCTCCAGGAGAGTGGGATCCTTCCATACGCATAGAGCCACCAAAAAGTGTTCCTTCTCAGGTAAGAATCTAGATATGTTTCTCAGGTTGTTTTCTTTTTTAATAAAAAAAATGTAAAGCCAGAACTATTTCCAGTGGATGTGGCTTAGTGGGTACACTTTGTCAGTGTACCTGAGACCTCAGATTTGAACCCTAGCACTGAAAGTAAAAGCAGTAGAAATCAGAGGTAGATCAGAGAGGAGAGGATGTCCCTGTGGTACTATGTCCCTTATGTGCTCTTATCCCAAACAGATGTTTGTCTCCTGTCAGTTTTGTGGTCAGTCTGATAATTATCTGTACCTGGACATGTGAATGTTTTTACTCTGCCTGCTCTTTGGTTATTTCCATAATTTTAAGTTGATCAGTGGGGGTGAATATGTACATACACATGTTTTAAAAATCTATCTTCATGTGTTAGTACATTTGTTTCACACAAAAAAATGTCTGGGGTGCTAGTTCTTGAGTGCTTTAAATAATATGGAATAATTTGATTTTACAAATTTGGGAAGTTTCTGGTGTACATTTCTGAGCTATATCTCTTGACCAGTGTGGACTTCAACAAGTTGCTTCATTCTTTTATGATAGTTGATTTATGTGAGCTTTTCTTCTGTCTCAGGTCAGTTCTGATTCAGTTTGCCTGGTATCTCATCCATTTTGCCCAGATTTTAAAATGTCTTGGAAAGTTTATCTGTTAAACTTTCCTTGGTTTGTGTAGTTACAGCTTGACATATCTTGGGTTTGACTAATAGATAAATTATTTCTTATATTTTTTGAAGAGTAGTTCATAAAATTATTTTAGATTTTTTTAAATGTGGGCTTTTTTCTACTTTATTTTAGCTGATTTACTTCCACTATCCTTCAGTAAAGATTTATTTTCTCCTTTTTTGCCTAACATATTTAATTACATTCCTTTTAAAGTTTTCCTTTTTTACATTTTATGTATGTACGTACGTATGTATGTGTACACACACACACACTCACTCAGACTCACACATATGAGTATTTTGCCTGCATGTGCACCACATGCGTGACTGAAGCCCAGGATCAAATAACCCAAAAGTGGAGTTATGCATAATAGTGAGCCAACAAGTTAATGCAGGAAACTGAACACAGATCCTCTGAGCTGTCTCTCCAGCCCCATCTTTTAAAAATGTTTTTTAAAAAAAAGAAAAAAAATTTTTGTTTCGCTTTTTGCTTTCTGTTTAGGGTCAGTATTTTGAGTAAGTAGCCTAGAACCCTCTATGCAGGTAAGACTAACCTAAACTTGTAGTGATCCTCCTGCCATAGTTTCTCAAATACCAGAATTGTGGTGATCTTACTTTTTATCTAAGTCTAGCTACTCCGTGTTAGTAAAGTGTTGTGTTTCAGGTCCATGGGAGCCTTGGACTTCAGGGGAGCACTTAGAACCACACATGTCTAGTGTGTCTGTCTTTTGTTCCCTGCTTATTCCATTCTCTCCCTCCTTCCATCATGTGCTTGTCTATAGATAGGTATTTCTTTAGTCAGTTCTCTCTTGAGGTAACCTGTGAAATACTCCTTTTATGTTTACATGGGGGAGATAGTCCTAATCTTAGAAATGGTTTTATTGATTTTTTAATAAGATATGAGAATACTGAAGGAATTCCTGTGTTATTTTTCTAAGGAAATTGTTAGTACATGAAAAATGTTGCTTATTGAACTCAGGCTTTCTGCCTCAGCCTTTTGAGAGCTGGTAGTGCAGGTGTGTAGAGAAAGTATCTTTAAAATTAATGTAAAATTGGTTCTTGGTAGTTAACTGTGAGTATTATTATAAATATTTTGGTGAAAAATAGGCTTCTTTGGGAGAATGTTTATTTTCCTGGCTGGGCTGACTGGTGTCAGCTTACCAAACTTGAGTTATGCAGGAAAGAGGGAATCTTCCATGACAGCGTGCTTCTATAGGCTAGTCTGTAAGGCATTTTCTTGATTGATACTTGATGTGTTAGAGCCTAGCTCACTGTGGATGGTGCCACCCCTTGGCTGGTGGTCTTGGAGCAGAATCTACACAGAGAAACCCTGTCTCAAAAAACCAAAAAAAAAAAAAAAAAGAAAAGAAAGAAAGTAAGCAAGCAGGCTGAGCAAGCCATGAGGCACAAGCCAGTAAGCAGTGTTCCTCCATTGCCTCTGCTCTAGTTCTTGCCCCTAAGTTCCTGGTCCTGACTTCCCTTCATTAAGAACTATGATGAGGACATGTGAGCTGAACTTTTCTTCCCCAGTTTGTTTTCAGTCATGGTGTTTTATCACAGCAGTGGAAACTTTATCTAAAACAATAATTATTGCAGAACAGGAATTTGAAGTGGTATATATGAGTATATCTTATAGTACACTGATGTTAGGTGCAGAAGCTAATTGTAAATTTAAATTTTAAACAGAAATCGATGTTAAATTCTAACTTACATCTTATTTCTAAATGTTATTAAATGTTATTATTTTAAAAGGTTATACTAGGAAGCTTTTTTTCCCAAGCATGCTTGTGTAAAGTCCTCATGAGCTGTAATACTCCCTCAAACTATCTCAGATATTTCTGAAAATTGAATTCTGAAAATATATTTTTGTGGAATTCAGGAAAAGAGGAAGATTCCTGTGTTTCCCAATGGATCTGCTCCAGTGTCTACTGAGCCTCCTAAGGAGGCTGCTCATCACGCTGGGCCTGAGCTGCAGAGGACTGGACGGTGGGTACAGATGTTACTTTGGGGGATTAGGCACTGATTTAATGGAAAGACACCAACAGTCTTCTCTTTTAACTCCTCAAATATTTGGAACTGAATCTTGTACATTATTTCTTCTGTGGTTTTATAAAAATACATTTTCTTTAAGATATCTGACTTTAATTTTCATGTGCTTTAAAATTAGTTTAATAACATTTACCAATATTTACTTTAAAATGAAAACAATGGGACATATATTCAAGATTGTAGCTATTATAGTATGTGGGTTTTTGGTGACTTTTACAGAAGGTTCTGAGAGGGAGAAAAGATTCTTTTCCTATTTAAACAATTATGAGTTGAAAGAGAAATTACAGTGGGTGATTTTTATACATTGTGCATGGATTTAAAACTTATGTGAACACTACTTTTTGAAATACTGTAAAATTAGATGGACAAGCCTGATTAGACCTCATCATTGGCATCTGGAAACTTTATTATAGAAATTAGAAAGTTAATTTTTAGAGTAAAAGATAGAAATGTTGCCTGGTAAAATGTAATAAAACATGTTTAAAATCCTTCATACTGGACGATTGTGGCAGCATTTCCAAACTGTAGTGAAGTATAGCTATTGCATGGGGTACTGGAAGTCTTGTGGAGTTGAAGGACCTGGAGTCAGTCCTTAGTAATTAAACTAGGATATCGTACACAAACACACTGTTGACAAGAATCAGCACCTAGTATATTTACACAGACTTCAGAGAAGCTTAATTTCACAACCAATGACTAGTGAATCTAACAGAAGATTTTCTCTCTGCCAATAGTGCTAGTCTCCTATTGGCTGTAATCATTTCTTTGTTCTTTAGAGATAGAAGTACCTAGTTATATGACCATCCATCTCAAGCACCTGAGAGCCTCCTTTGCCACCTATTAAGTATTCAGTTGTTTATTTGATGATGGAGATTCATTTACTGCATTGCCATTGGTATCTTTGTAAGCAAAAGCTGATTGCTTTTGTGGCAACTTATATAAACACTTCTACTTATCAACCTACCTTTAGGATTTATTTTAGTATTTAGCTTAAAAAAATTAGAATGGTAAAGCTTGAAGCATTCAAACCCTCAAAAGCTTAAGTTTAATATTTATTTTCTTGCATATGGTATATACATAATCACCAATTTCTTGAGTCATAAGATTGTTCAGAATTTTTAGTTCAGCAGTATTTATTTGGTACCTTCTGTATAACAGGTAGGATTCTGCTAACTAGAAGCATTGCCTGCTTATATTTTATTGGAATATTTTCATTCTAAATATATCTAAAAGCCTAATTTTGAAAAATTGAAATTGTATCATTTTGATGTTTTAATGTAAATATAGATTTTTAATTCTCACTAAGCCCTCTTAGTTTTACTAATATACACATTGTATATATTATAATATACTGAAATAGCTTTTAAGGGTTTTTTTTTCTGGACAGAAATATTCACATAAATAAATCAAAAGATTTAAAAATCATTAAAAATAGTTTCTAGTTGACTTCTGTATTAAAGCTTAGCATACTACATTCACTCTAAGGACTGTAAGATATAATTGTTCTCTCTGTATTTCTGTCCATTGCCTTTCAGATCTATATTACAGATAAGGAATAGTTGCACATTTACATGAATGACTGATTAGGTTTTGTTTATTGTGTGTTTTCTTGTATATATGCATTCAGGGTTACAATTACTCCTATAAAGTCATTTGCCTGCAGCCTTTAAGCATATAATCCATGATACAGTATTATGTTTCCGTTAACTTAATGAAATCTATCTGTCCTCTGACATCATTTCATTAGAGTCAATGAGTGTATCTTCTATAAGTTATACAATGATTTAAATTTTTATTGGCAAAACAGTAAGCACCTACAATTTTATGTAGCCCATAGATTTAGCTTGAATTAGTTAGAATCCTCTAGTCTACAGCTTGACGAGTTTCATCTCACCTATTTAGGCTTTTTGGTGGTTTGATACTTGACATCAAAAGGAAAGCACCTTTTTTCTTGAGTGACTTCAAGGATGCATTAAGTCTGCAGTGCCTGGCCTCGATTCTTTTCCTATACTGTGCCTGTATGTCTCCTGTAATCACTTTTGGAGGGCTGCTTGGAGAAGCTACAGAAGGCAGAATAGTGAGTACAAAAGATTGGTAGTGGCCAGGCTCCCAGCTCCTCAGAGGCAAGTGTCTGTATGCATTTGTCTCCCTATTCGTGCTTGTATTTGAAGAGTCTCCCCACAGCATTAACCTGTCCCAAAGCAGACTTCCCCCAAAGGTAATTGCTGTGGAAAACATGGGGAAGCCATTTGAACAGGAGAAGATGCACAGTTGAGGTAAAAACAAACAAACAAATAAACAGTTTATCCTACCTTGCTTGATGAAATGGTTATAAGCTGAGTAAGACTTCCATTGTCTTCTGGGGGAATGGGTGGTTTATGGGGAGATTAAGTGCTCTGGGTGGGTCAGGGTGGGAAATTTACTCATGGGGATTCCTACCCTGTTAGTTACCATAAGGTTAGGGTAATGGCTATGTTTAACTCCTCAGCCCCAGCTGGTGACTGGACTGAGACCATTTGAAACAGCAAATATCATTGTAGAGAGGATAGAATTTTAAAGTTATGTTTGTTTTCATTTTGCTATTTAATCTATGCAAAAGTAGCCAAAGCTTTTATTGCTGACTCCCTTTTCCCATGTGAATGTAGAATCCTGTTTGCTGTATGTGCTAGGAACTGGTGCTTCATAAAACCTTGAATGGTATTTTATGGGGAGTATAAATATATTTTCATGACATTTAAGTGACATGTTTTATAATTCTTGATTTCTGAAGTTTGCTTTAATAATATTTACTCTTGAAAGAAATTTTCTATTTTTACAGATAAAAGGTTCAAACAATAGCTAAATCTAAGTGGTGGCATTTCAGTTATAAAGTTATATCTTTTTTTGAACAAATGAAAATTTCTAATTCTGAATTTACTTTTTACTATTTAGATTCCTTTTTACCCTTTCCTTTAGTCATTGTTCATACATGTTTTCAGCTGCTATGCTTTCAAAAATAGTACATGTAACTCTGCTGGGCACTGTGGAAATGTGATTTAGCTATTACCTCTTGGAAATACTGCTGCTTGTCTCATGGACTGTCACTGTCTGTCTTCTTTTTCCCTTTGACTGCATATACCTAAGATAGTGTGTTTTGCACTTGACCAAGAAAAGAGACAAATGTAGCAGAGGGAGCCTAACAAGAAAGAGACAGGAAATGGTAGCTTGTGTTCCCTAGACTGTTTGAATGAGAAAGGACAGCTGGGGAATTGAAGAGACAAAAAGAGAGGAAACAAGCATCTTACAGAGGTGTATGTTTCCATTGGCTCTATAGAAATGGACTTCTTAGGAGCTGACTTTCAGAAGCTACAGAGCAGCAGGAGACCATTCCCATGCCAATGAGGAGGAAATTGCCATTTAGTTACAGGGAGGCTAGGAAAGGTGGAAACTCAACTGATGATAATAGAAGAGTAAAGTGGTCCAGCAAGCCTTAGAATGAGGAGTGTATGAATGTAAAGCCTTCCTTAGTAGGGAAAGGTAGTTTGGGGGTCTTATGGGTGTAGGTGTGAGAGTGGTAAAGGCAGAGATTCTGGTGGCAATGTCCACATTTTTAACTCACAGTTTGGGGAGAGGCCTATAGTTTATGTTCACCTGCTCCATTTGAGTTTGTGATGTCCCTCTTTTTAGTTTTTGTGCTCCACCCCAATTTCACTTTTAACTCAAGCTCATCCTAAATTCAGTCTTAAAGTATACATATTTTAGTATAATTAAGGAGCTGGTGATAGCATACCAGTGTTTGTAGTGAAGCCCTATTTTCAGAGACAAAACAAATTTATTCTCTATGATTAATATGCATTATTAATAATAGATACTTGTTTTTTACTGTTGCCATTAGTTCGTTTTGTTTTATTTTATTTTGTTACTTTATGATTCTGTTTTGGAAGATGCCATTAGGGTTGATGGTGAGAAATGCTGTCTTTGTGTGATATGCCCTAGGTGACAGACAGGGTTAGTGGGTGCCTTCATAAACACCAGTGGGCTTCTCCTAATTATCATCACCCCATTTAAGAATGAGAGCTCTTAGATACCAAGTTGCGCAGGGTTGCATTCTAGGTACTGGCCAGGCTTCCAGAGCAGCCATGGCCTTGCTTGCTGTTGTGCTGTCTCTTGTTTCAGGGTCTTTGTTTCTCATAACTTCTTGTCTTCCTTTACCAATCCTGGGCTTTCTCCCTTCTGGATAGCACACCCCAGTTGGCCTTGATGCTTAAGAATGGTAAATTCTTTTCCTTTCTCTCTGATCCTACCCACCCTTGTCTAGTGGCATCATGCATTGTGGTTGCTTCACCATCTAACCTCATTAGCAAGGCTATAATGCTGATAGTGAAATAAAACTTTACTGTATCTTACTAAGAACTCCTCTGAGACTTTGTTTTCCCATTGGTCTTGTTCTGCTGAACTTTAATAATAAAATACTCGTTGTTTCTGTGAACTTTTTGCACAGTGCCCCCCCACTACCTTGTTTATGTTACCTATATCATTTTTAAGTTAATCAATTAAGAGTTATCAGATTAATTTTCAAAAAATAGATGGAAACTGAGGGGGTTTAAATCACCATATTGAGTATTTAATGTGTTTTTTATTTTTAGAATGAAAAATACCTATTTCAGTCATATAAACAATAAAATAACACACATGCATTTCTGCTTGCCTAAGCTTAGAAATAAAACACCACAGATGAAATTGAAGCCCTATATGTTTCTCTTTGCGCCTTGTGTCTTACAGTATTAAATGCTGAATTAAGGATGATTGCCAAAAGTTCAGTTAAATTTGCAAAAAAAAAAAAAGCAGTTTTCTTGATGTACTTGATACATTTGTAACTACTTGGCTAGTGTCTATGTTTTCCAGATCTGTAGTGGGTTAGAGATCATTTTTTGATGTGTTGCCTCTATTCATTTTCCCTCGAACAGAGTGCAATAGAATCTCTTTTTGGAGCATCATTAACTGGGATTGCCTATTCATTGTTTGCTGGGCAACCTCTAACAATATTGGGGAGCACAGGTCCAGTCCTAGTGTTTGAAAAGATTTTATTTAAATTCTGTAGGTAAGTAACAATTATCCTGTTTTGTATACCTGTCAATTATGTTTTATTGTACAGTTTATGAACTATATTTCGCTGTGTTAATAATATGTTTATTTTTCAGTATCTTTGGGTGCTTTATATAGTTGTCCTTCCAAGGTTCCTACTACTTCTCAGTAATTTAGAAATGAGGAAAAATATGGTTGCCTATCAGTGTTCATTTAATGGATTTGAGTATTGAAAAGCACATCATTTGAGAAGCAATAAAAATACTTAGTGCTAACAAAATTAAACCAGTAAAATGTTTATCTGAACTGTTTGTTGGGAAAAATGTAGATCTTCTACAGGATAGAGTGAAAACCCAGGTTGGCTTTGCCAGGCAGTCTTGTGTAAAGAAATAGGGGTTCAAAGTTGTCAGAGTGCAGCTTCAGTAGCTATGGCTAGGCTGTTCTCGGCATGGGCATACTGTAGCTAATAGGCTTTGAATTCAACATCAACAATACCATTCCCTATGTGACAAATGTGCAGTTGAGTATTTTAACCTGAAACAGTGTAGCCATTTGAATATTTGGTTGTTGTAATTCTCTTGCTCTGATTCTCATTGGTTAAATTGGTTCTAATTCTGATATGGCATGCTCTTCTGACCAGTAGAGAATGAAATGACTTAAAGTATCTCTTACTTGAAATTAAAAATAAGAAACTACTTTTTTGTAGGGATAGTGGTGGGTAAAGGAGGAATAGTGGTGGCAAGATAGTGAGGTGGTGAGTGTTTTTACCTTACTGATATGCGGATGTTTCATCTTCAGAGAAAGTCAGCCATAGTTGTTTTTAACCTGTCATTTGTTTGATATAGCTGATTGCTAATGTACAATCTAATGGCTTTATGCCTTTACTGCCTGGCATATTTTCACTGTAAATCTTCAATATAATAACAAGTCTCCAGTTGAAGCAGAAAAACAAAGAGCTTTATCTAATCATCATTTTAGCCATTTGGTAATTGTTATTTTTAAAGGAATCCTGTGTTGCTTGTGTTCTTACTGCTTGTTATGAAAACTTAAGGTGCAAATGCTGTTCTATATGTCCATGGTGATCATGTCCCTATCTATATTTCTAAACAGAGATTATCACCTTTCCTATCTATCATTAAGAACCAGTATTGGTCTGTGGACTTCTTTCTTGTGCATTGTATTGGTTGCAACAGATGCAAGCAGCCTTGTGTGTTACATTACTCGGTTTACAGAAGAAGCTTTTGCAGCTCTCATTTGTATCATATTCATCTATGAAGCTTTGGAGAAACTCTTTCATTTAGGAGAAATATATGCATTTAATATGCACAACAACTTGGATGAACTGACCAGTTACACGTATGTGCTTCTATTTTTTTTTCCTTATGTGTTGTGTGATGTTTTTTAGTCTTTGGCTTTTTTGACTCTTTGGGAGACGGGTTCTCCACCCAGCTCCCAAATAAATTACACATGGGGTCTTATTATTACAAATGCCTGACCTTAGCTTGGCTTGTTTCTAGCCAGCTTTTATCTTAAATTAACCCTTCTATCTTTTCCCTCTGGGCTTTTATCTTTCTTACTTCTGCAATCTTGTTTTTTGTGTGTGTGTGTGTGTGTGTGTGTGTGTGTGTGTGTTTGTTTTTGTGAGGCAGGGTTTCTTTGTAGTTTTGGAGCCCGTCCTGAAGCTTGCCCTGTAGACCAGGTTGGCCTGGAACTCACAGAGATCTGCCTACTTCTGCCTCCAAGTGCTGGGACTAAAGGCGTGCACCACCATTGCCCAGCGCTTCAGCAGTCTTACCTTCCTTCGTACTCCATAGCTGGCTGGGTGGCTGGGTGGCTGGCCTCCTTGTTCTCTAGTCGCTCCTCCTTCCTCGTTTCCCCTGCTGTTTATCCTCTCCGCCTGCCAACCCCTCCTGTCCTTGCTCCTGCCTCTCTATTGGCTGTTCAGCTCTTTATTAGGATCATCCAGTGTTTTAGATAGGCAAAGAATCACAGCTTCACAGAGTTAAAAAAAGTGCAGCATAAACAAAAGTCACACACCTTAAAATAATATTCTACCACACTAATCACTTTTTTCCTAAGATATCAGAGCATATTTTTCAAATGAATTTTTTTTTGTAAGATCTCGGCATGGTGGTACACACTTTAATTCCATTACTCAGGAGGCTGAGGCAGGAGAAAGTGCCACAAGTTAAAGGTCCACCTGAGCTATATAGTTGGTTGAGATATCAGTGAAGGACCGCCTCAGAGACAGCACATTTGTCAGTGGAGTGAGGGCAAGCAGGTAGATAGTGAAGCTTTTCTTGTCCTTTTATCTCTACTACTACCAGCAGAAGGTACTACCCATATTTTGGACGGGTCTTCTTGCTTGAAATAATCTGATCAAGAGAAACCCTCACTGGAGTGCCCAGCAGCTTGTATTTTAGTTGATTCCAGATGCAGTCAAGTTACCAGTCATGATTAGCCATCACAATCGGCAATCTATGTTCTACACATACATCTATATTCTTTAATCATTCAGGTATATGGAAATATATAGAATATATTTTTGTATTTATATGTTCCTTGCATTCTATGTAATTGCATTTTTTTAAGTTTAGAATGTTCAACAAATGTCCCTATCATTCTTACAGATACTATACTATTATCAAGATAGGTATTTCATTAGTACTTTTTTGTGGCACTGGAGGTAGAATTTGAGAATTTGTGCATGGTAGGTGTCTTAAGGTTTCCATTGCTGTGAAGAGACATTATGACCACAGTAACTCTTATAAAGGAAAACCTTTAATTGGCTAGCTTATACTTTCAGAGGTTTAGTACATTACCATCATGGCAAGAAGCATGACAAGCATGCAGGTAGACATGGTGATGGAAAGTCTATACTAGGCTGTTTTTAGATTTCTTCTGCTGATGGAATTAGTCAAAAAGTCTTCACTTTAGCCTCACGTAGACTCTTCAGACAAGGGCAGAAAGAAGCCACATTCTTTACGAAAATATCACATGAATTATGTCTAGGTAACATGCTAATATTCTTCTCCCCTGATACCTTGAGTGAACCTCCAACAGTTCAAATAACTCTTAGCACCTCTTCTTCCAGCTCCTATTAGTAGGGCCCATTAAGTACTAATTAAGGCACTCTACTTTCCTAACCCAAAGTGCCAAACTCCAAATTCCTCCACACAAACCACAGGTCCCGCCTATCACAGCAATACTCCAGTCCGTGGTACTACCTTAGTTAGGGTTTCTGTTGATACGAAGATACACCATGACCATGGCAACTCTTATAAAGGAAAACTTTTGTTTGGGGTGGCTTACAGTTCAGAGGCTTAGTCCATTATCATCGTGGTGGGGCATGGCGGCATGCAGGCAGACATGGTGCTGGAGAAGGAGCTAAGAATTCTACCTCTTGCTCCATAGGCAACATGAAGTGAATTGTGTTACTGGGTGTAGCTTGAGCATATATGAGACCACAAAGCATGCTCCCCACAGTGACACACTTCTAACAAGGCCATGCCTTCTCCAACAAAGCCACACCTCCTAATAGTGCCACTCCTTATGAATTTATGGGGACCAATTACATTAAAACTGCCACAGTAGACAAGCTCTGTCACTGAACATCCCCAGCCTTTCACTTGCTGTGGGGTTTTTGTTTATTTGTTTTGTTTGTTTTTTTAATAAAAAGGCAAGGTCTAACTATATGTTCCTGGCCAATCTTGAACTAGCTATATAGACCTGGTTGGCCTTGAACTCTGCCTTCTAAGTGCCACTCAATTTTTTTATTGTTAATTTTGAGAATTTCATGCATGAATACTTTATCAAGATCATTTCCCAACCCTTTCAGCTTCCTACTCTTTCCATGCCCCTTCCTGTCTCAAAATCCTGCTATCTTAATAACTCTTATTGTTTTACACACACACACACACACACACACACACACACACACACACACACACACACACACACACACAGAGATGGGGGGGAGGTAGTCGAATTTTTCTGTGGGCTGCCAGCTCACAAATAATGACACAGAGACTTACTGTTAATTATGAAAGCTTGGCCTTAGCTTAGGCTTTTTCCTAACTAGCTCTTATAACTTAAATTAACACATTTATATTAATCTACATTCTGTCACATGGCGTTACCTCTCTTCCCTCTTCCACATCCTGTTTCCTCTCTATGTCTCCTGGCTTCTCCCGCAGCATGCCCAGATTCATCTTCCACTCTGCCTGGAAGTCCCACCTCTACCTCCTGACTAGCTATTGGCCATTCAGCTGTTACTTGAACCAATCATAACAATATATCTTCACACAGTGTACAGATGTCCTGCATTACAGAAAGACACTTGTATGTATTTAAATTCAACCTGCTGACCCCATTTAGGAGTATGTATATTTTTAGGGATGACTACTTCTCCCTGGAGAAGACTGATTCTCCATCCCAGCAGCCATGAATTGTCTGTGGCTCTTCATCTAGAGGTAGGGCCTTGTGAGACTGCAGTGGAATGTCTGGCAATGTCAATGTGTGGGTCTTGTTTAAGCAATTAATTGATAAGATTTCATGGGTACAATTTTGCTATCTTATATAGAAGGTAGGACGCCCTGGTACTCTGACTTTTATAGTCTTTCTACCACTTCTTTTGCAATATTCCCTGAGCCTTAGGTGTACAGGTTTTGTTGTAAATCTATCAATTGGGGTACCCCACAATCAATTGTTTTTTGCATTTTAACTCATTGTGGCTCTTTGTAATACTCTGTGCTGCAAAAGGAAGGTGGGGGGATTATATTTAACTGTGAGTATAAAAATAGGTTTAGCAAAGTGGCAAGTTCACCTCTAGGGTTCATGACCTCATTAGCTGAGGGTTGTTGGATAGGTTTATAATGCCAGACATGAATTCCCTCCAATTGAGTGGGAAATGAAAATTTTAAACTTTAAAACATTTGAAAAGTCATGTATAGTGGTTACAAAAAGTTTCAGACATTGGGGCTGGAGAGATGGCTCAGTGTTTAAGAGCACTGTTGTTCTTCCAGTAGACCCAGGTTTAATTCCCAGCACCCACATGGCAGCTCACAAGTGTCTATAACTCCAGTTCCAGGGAATCCAACACACTCGTGAAGACATCCATGTATACCAAACACCAACGTGCATAAAATAAAAATAAACATTTTAAGATAAGTCACAAATATACAAAATAAAAGCCAAATGCTCTTAAAGTCAGATATGTCTAGGATGCCCTCTTTGCTGCCTAATAATTATGTGTGATGCAAATGTGACACGCCACTCCATTGACCTGCAAGGAGAAATATAATCATAAGAACACAAAAAGTATTCTGGAGAGATGGTTTGGTGGATGGACTGTGCTTACTGCCAAAACTGACACCTGAGTTCAATCTGTAGTACCCATATGGTGGAAGGAGAGAACTGATTCCTGATAATTGTCCTTCGACCACTACAGAAGTGTGGTGGCACACCCTGTTTCCCCATAATAAATATGTGTAATAGCGCTCAAAACATCAACAAAAGCACAGAAAAGGCAATTTGGTGTGTTGGCTCGTGTCAGTAAACCTAGCACCACAAGGGGGGAAAGGTTCCTTTTCTTTTGTTCAGAATGCTTAACTAGCCAAGGATAATCTTGAACTCCTGTTCCTCCTACCTTTACCTCCAGGATGCTGGGATTGTCGTCTGTGCTACCACCCATGCTTAGAATGAGTTTTAAGATCATAAAAATTGAGCATTAGTACTGTGGTGCTGTGGGTTTTGTTGGGGCATCAAGAGACATCAGTTAAGTGCTGTGGAGGCCAAGGGGATAAGATTTAGTGATAAATGTTCTTACTGTAAACATGGTGGTGTCTTTTTATCCTTCCCAAATGTTATATCCAACTAGTGTTATTAAGTAAATGTGTCATGGACAGTCACATTAGTTCTAATGTCACCCAAACATTACTCCATTTGGTTGGTTGTGACACATTTTCACTTTCTCCTCTCCCCCTCTTTTTCACCTTTTTCCCCCCTCACATCTCTACTGCTCCTATGGCTGCTCCCTCCCCAACACAAACACATTGTTTTTTTGTTTGGTTGGTTATTTTTTGTTGTTGTTGTTTTTAGACAAGGAACACCCTGTGAAACACTACCATGCTTCAGTCTTGGGGTACCCTGCTTCTGCTTCCTGTTTTACTTCCTACTCTCCACACTTGCTACATGGAAGAAATGCTGAGATGTTAAAAGCTACAAACTTGTGCAAGTGATTTAAAAGAATATTAGATGTAGGATTCTTAACAATTCATCTTGCTCTGGTTTCTCAGATGTGTATGTACTGAGCCGTCTAACCCTAGCAATGAAACTATAGAACTGTGGAAGAGAAAGAATGTGACGTCACACAGTATTTTTTGGGGAAACCTCACTGTATCCGTAAGTATGTTAGGGATTGAGCAATATTTTCAGCCCATGGAAACCTGGCTATTATCTCTTTTTGTTTTATTTTAGAGGTAGTTTCACACTGCATTCTTCCTATCTCAGCCTCCCTTGTACTTAGGAGACAAGATGTGAGCTTCCATGTCCAGCCCTTTTTTTGTCTTTTGTAATCATACTTTTTTTTTCTTGAGAATGAATATGTAGATTGTTTTCAGAATATGTTGCTTTGTCATTTTTTTATTTATGTGTGTCTGTATGGGTGTGTGCATGAGTGCAGGTACCCACAAAGGCCAGAAGATGTCAGATCCCTTGGAGAAAGTAATCTCTGAGCCATCTCTGCAGCCTGTTGTTTACTTTTTAATGATGTGTAAAGCTCAACCTCCCCAATGCTTCAACACTTTAACACAGTTCCTCAATCATAAGATTATGTCATTGCTTCTTCATAATTGTAATTTTGCTACTGTTATGAGTGATAATGCAAACATCTGATATGCAGGATATGATATGTACCCCTGTTGGTATTCACTCACAGGTTGAGAACCACATGCTAGGCAAGTGCTTTACTGCTGAGCTACAGACCAGACCAGAATGTGGTGTTTTCACTAAACTTTTAATGACCACTTTGCTGCTCATGAAAGAGCTGTTTTAATCCCAGATATCCAGTCAGAACTAAATTGGTTGTCTTTAATCTTTCCTGCCGTTTCTAGGGGAGGGTGAACAGAGGCTGGCCTTGAGTTGCCCATCATTCAGCTTCCCTTTGAGAGAAATAAGGGTTAAAGATGTATGTATGCCCCCATGCACTGCTCCCGTTGACTTTTAAGGCAGTGTTCTGTCCATGCTCCATTCAGCATCTATCGAGACTGCACAAGTGATTTTCTGTCTGCTGCTTTTATTTCAACCATCTGTAGGACAGTGCAGTTGTGGCTTACTGGGATTCAGAGGAAGCATTTCACAGTTAGCACTCATTGTGAGCTTTTCTGTCAAGGGGACATACAGTTGAAAGGAGGGGGAACTTTAGTGAAATACTCTGTGGTGATTGTGAGCATAATTTCTAATTGATGATGTGGTGTGGTTAGCTTTCTGAGTAGAGCATAAAATTGACATCTTACATTGAACCATGTTCATGAATACTCTCATGAATACTTGAAAATCTCCATCTCCTTCCCCTCCAGGAGTGTAAGGCCTTCCATGGTATGTTTGTGGGATCAGCCTGTGGTCCTCATGGACCTTATGTTCCTGATGTACTCTTCTGGTGTGTCGTCCTGTTTTTCACGACGTTCTTTCTATCTTCATTTCTCAAGCAGTTTAAGACCAAGCGTTATTTTCCTACCAAGGTAACTGGGTTGAATTTTGGTAATATTTATGTTTCATTTCTTTTGGTTTATTTCAAAACAACAATTTTTTATTTAAAGTTAATGTTTTGTGCTATAAAAGATATTCCTTTCAGCAAAAAAAATATATATATATATATATCAGAGGCAGACACAAATGATCTCTGAGTTCAAGGCCAGCCTAGGCTATAGAATGAGTTCTAGGACAGTCAGGATTGTTACACAGAGAAACCCTTCCTCACAAATGAAAGCAAAAGTACACATATATTGCATATCTGAGCACACAGGGGGAAGATGGTACCATGAGAAAGTGGGGGTTAGTTGTGACTTTTTTCTTATATTTTAGGCATTAAGTGAATGCAGACATTAACACTATTGTTAAAGTTCTCATCCGTGTATTGGGGGCATGTTTTTTGAGAATGACATGAATTATTTGGAAAGTACAAGAAGTAATTCTGTGTTTGTGTTAATATAATCTGTCTACTGCAGGTACGATCAACAATCAGTGACTTTGCTGTATTTCTCACAATAGTAATAATGGTTGCAATTGACTACCTTGTTGGAATTCCATCTCCTAAACTTAATGTTCCTGAAAAGTTTGAGGTAAGTATTAAAACAAGTGGCTATTGGCTTTTTGGAAATACCAAACTACTTAGTGAGGAAAGGATTTGAACTCAGGACCTTGAACTTATTAGGCAAGAGGTCTCATGAACTGCAGTCCTCAATTTATCTTTTGCATTGACAAATATAAAATTAAATTTTAGTACCTTCTGCCCTCCAAAGAACTAATTCATGTTTATAGTGTTTGCTCTAAAAATCAGTTTCATGTTCTATCACTGAAATGTGTTTGAATCTGATGAGATGACATATTATTGTCAGTAGTTGCTTTGTGCCAATTCTGACTCAGTACCAACCTTGCTATGACCACAAGTTTCAGGAATCTAACCCAAGGTACTTAAGGTATTGATAAAAGAGAGTATATTTCACCATATGTGGTGTATGTAGGTTCATGTTAAAATGTCGTTCTAGTTTACTTGTCCTGTGTCTGTATGCCAAACCTCATTAAAACATAATCTCTAAGATGGGGACTGTGGTGCATGCCTCTAATCCCAAACTGAAGATGTTGAAGCGGAGGCTTGTGAGTTTGAGGCTGACCTGGACAACATAGTTCCAGGCCAATCTAGGCTGCTTAGCAATGCCTTGTTTCTCCATAATAAACAAATTCAAACAAACAAAAAACCCTAACCCAAAACTGATAGTCTCTAAACAGTAACCCTCTGTAATTCTTCAGCATTTGGGCTTGCCTAGGTGGGGTGTGATCTGCTCAGGAGACCTCCCACTTTTCACATGTCTAGTCATCTAGTGTCTTGGTGGGAACAGTCTAGCTTCATTTACTGACTTAGGGGCCTGAAGCAGTTGGAGTGGTGGTCTTTCTCTTTCCTGCTTCTGTTTTGTATATCCCTCTCCAGAAAGGTTATTGAGCAACACAGTCATCTCAGGACTTCAGGGGGAGTTAAGGAAACTTCAGGGCTTCTTGAAGTCCAGACTGTCATGTCCCTTGGTCTTACTTTGTGTATAAGTTACAAGATGGTCTTGAGTTGAAGAAGAGGGGGATAGGTACTGCTCCAGATGGAGAATGGGCAGGTCCCACGACAAGGGCATGCTTTAACAGGGATGAAGTTTCTGTGACTATCTGCAAATAATTTGCCACACATCCCAATTCAGCTTATTTTCTGTACCTTGGCATTTCATGGAATAGATCCATTATGTGCTATGGAATAGATCCACTATGTGCTATGGAAATTTAGTATAGTAGAGGAATGAAACTTTTTCTCCATTTTTAAACTTTCAATAGCCTACTGATCCAAGTAGGGGCTGGATCATAAGCCCTCTGGGAGATAACCCTTGGTGGACATTACTAATTGCAGCTGTCCCAGCTCTCCTTTGTACCATTCTCATTTTTATGGATCAGCAGATTACAGCTGTAATCATCAACAGAAAAGAACACAAACTCAAGGTAATTCTCACAGATTTCTTTAAGGGCTTGGGGTCTTCTCTTTAATAACAACAATGTTTGAAATTAGTTTCTTCTTTATAATTAATTTGGAATTGTAATATAAAGGAACAATCTAGACTTACCAGTGTTCATTTCCCTCTTTAGAAAGGAGCTGGCTATCACCTTGACTTGCTCATGGTTGGTGTCATGTTGGGAGTCTGCTCTATCATGGGCCTGCCATGGTTTGTGGCTGCAACAGTGTTGTCTATAAGTCATGTCAACAGCTTAAAAGTAGAATCTGAATGTTCTGCTCCAGGGGAACAACCCAAGTTTCTGGGGATTCGTGAACAGCGGGTTACAGGGCTGATGATTTTTATCCTGATGGGCCTCTCTGTGTTCATGACTTCAGTTCTAAAGGTAAACCCTTTTGAGGTAGCATTCTAAAATCTTCCTTAACATTCATGCTTAATTGCATAGAAATAAAACATTGAAATATGTATAGAATATATAAAATCAGTTTTCCGCCTGTAACTTCAGATCCATACAAGTTTAGAAATACTGTTTGGCAATGTTTGTTTTGTTATGGTAAGCATGTAGATTAATGAATTATAGCCTGGAGATCCATCAATTACAGCCTGCTTTTGGAAGGAGTTAATCAACATGTGGGTAGAACATAGTACAGGAAGTAATTGGGCACAATACAAGAGAAATGTTTTAGTTTCTTTAAAGTACTGTTAGTGAATTTAATATGTTCTTTCTTGAGATAGCACATGAAATAAAAGTAATAAGTAAACACTAGAAAAATAAATAAAAACAAGATTACCAATGAAGCACATAAGAAATTCTGTTAAACACATTTTTCTCACATCCATATTTTACAGATGTAAGCCCTGTATAATATAGCCATTCAAAATAATTATGTAGCATAGTATCTAAGCTGAAACTTTTTATTATAAAACCCCAACTCCATATTTGTTTTTGCTGTTTTGGTTATTTTTGTTATAAAGAAAATGGGTGTTAAAAGTTGATACCACTATAAACTAGAAGAAATTTATATGTATTAGCTTTAAAAGAATATTCTTTATTGTTGGAATTCCTTGGGTTTATTTCATGGTCTTTTTAGTAGCTACTTTAAAGTACCAAGTATCTGGACTGCTTTCAGTACCCTTAGACACGGGGGATATCAATAAATAGAGTATAGTATTGTCTTCCTGTGAGAACTCCACACTCTGCCAATAAAATTGATAGGTAAATGGGCAGTTGTATAGTGCTGAGTATATTTTAAAGAAACGTGGAGATAAGAGAAGTATGTTGTGTAGTCTTCTGGGAGTAAGGACCATTGCAGCTCTTTGAAAACTGCCCCTTAAGTCTTACTATAGTTTCTAAATTTCTGAGTTAAATACCACACATAAATAGAAAAATTCAAGTCAAACATGCACAGAACTCTAAAATGAAACATAGTCTCAACATTGATTTTTCACTTTTCCAAAGCAACTCTTCATAGACAATTCTTTTCAACTTTGTGATTTAAATTAAAAAAAAAAAGTGTGGTGTACACACATACAGGTGTACATGTATAGTTGTGGAATGGAAAAGGTCAGGGAACAACTTTTGTCAGTTTATCCTTCTATGATGGGTTCCAAACCATACTTAGTTTGTTTGGCTTGCATAACAAGTGCTTTGATCTCAGTTTTGTTGTTTAACTTACTCTGGTAGTATTTGGATATGGTGATTCATATCTATAGTCCTAGCATTTGGGCAGGAGTGAGGTGGGAGTGAGGTTAATAGAGAATTGTTAAAGTTAGAGGATAGCTTAGACTACATAGTGAGCCTCTGGGCCAGGTTGGGCTGAGTTTGAGTCTCTGCATCGTAGTTAAAGAGCTGGCAAGATGGGTAAGTTAGCAAGGGCATGTGCCAATGCCAGGTTTGAAAATGGAGTTTCATCTCCCAGAACACACATGGTCTTGTGTGCACATTCACATACACACACAGGAAAGGGAGGGAGGGAGGGAGGGAGGGAGGGAGGGAGGGAAGGAAGGAAGGAAGGAAGGAAGGAAGGAAGGAAGGAAGGAAGGAAGGAAGGAAGGAAGGAAGGGACGAATCTTGAATATAGTTAGAATTATATTTTTACACTTATGTTTGTACTGACTCTTTTTTTCCTAGAACAGAGATATTCAAAGTCCTCTCCAAGAACTTTTTGGAGTCCCTGGCATTCTGTCAGGATTCCACCAGGGCCTTCTATTGCAAAGGCTACATACTGCAAAAGGCAGGGTTTTTTTCCTGTATGTCATTCAGAAAAGCATATTGCAAACTGGATATGCCTTGTTTCCTTTTAAGCAACCACTCAAGAGATTTACAAAAATGTAAACCAGTGCTAGTCTTGAATTTCACTTTGTTTTAGAAATAGTAGTCTATCGTAGTTCTTGGGCATGGCTCAGTTGGTAAAGTGCTTATTGTAAATCCTGAGTTCAGATTCCCAGCACCCATGGTTAAAGAGCCTGTTATCCTATCACCCTGGAAGTGAAGACACATACATCCTTTGAGCTTGTTGGCCAGCTCTTTTTACCTAATGGGTGAGCTCTAGATTTGTTAAGGGACCCTGTGGGGTTTTTTGTTTTGTTTTGTTTTGTTTTGTTTTAAGGTAGAACATGATAGAGAACCAGACAGCTCACATCCCCATATACATAGATAAGTTTACCTCCACACAGATAGTGTTCTTTATGTCACCTTATCGTAGTTATTAATATTATGGCTGTCACCTTAAAACTGTCAACAGCTGTTTAAAATAGCCTTTAATTTCACACACAAAGCCAGGATTTCTGATAGAAGGCCTGCTAGGATGGGGTGTCATCTCCGACTTCAAAGTTTTAAGGACTTCATTAGTAAATGCTATTCTGCTGCATTTGGTGATGCCAATACTAACTTGACACCTTAGTGACTGGTGGTCTGTCAACTACTTAGTTGAATGTTCTGTATTTAAAGAAATTTAATTACACAGAAAGCTGATGGCTGAAGTTGAAGCACCGCAGGCTGTTTTGTTTAAAAAGTTTCCTAGGTTTTAGACTAAGCTGTTGCCCTTTGCTCCTCATATCTGAGTGTACTCTCTATGAACAATGTGTGGACTAACTTACTCTCAAATGTATAAATAATACCTGTGTTCTTCCTGTAGAATGTTGGTCCAGTTCTTATCACAAAAGATCTTTCAATTCTGTCACCATACATCAATGTTCTGTATACTTATTATTGTAAAATGATTTCATTACAATGAGTTCTAATTGTATTAATTTCATTTACAGTTTATCCCAATGCCAGTTCTATATGGCGTTTTCCTTTATATGGGAGTTTCATCATTGAAAGGAATTCAGGCAAGTATTTAATAATGGGACTATTTAAAATTGCAGAAGTTGTACTAGTGACTGATTTTTGTCTGGTTACAGCAAATCCACATTTGCTCAGTGATCATTGTTCACTCTATGTTTTTACTTTAAAGAATGAGATGATTACTTCACCTACTTTGATTTAAACCCAATGAAATGTCACATCCCTGCTCCAGAAAGACTAGCGTAGTGAGGGGAGGATCAAAGGGTCAGAATGGAAAGACCTTTATCTCAAGTGGAGACCACTTTGAGCATTGAGGAAGAAAGGGTGTACAAAAGTGTTGTCATAATGAGGCCTAGTACATTAGTTGTTTTCTCTAAGTCTTAAAATGCTGACTGATGGAGGGGAGGAGGATCCTTTACCTGCTTTATAACCCAGTGCTCTGAGACAGTGGAGCCTCTGTGCTAAGGAGGCGGAGTCAGTGCGTGGTATGGTCTGTGCAGACAGTCTGCTAAAATGTACTCAGTATTATACAGACAGACCTGAGTAGGAAATGTGTAGATTAGCACAGGGAGCCCCACAGTGGCCGCCTCTTCGCACAGAAACCATGTGCCCACAGTCACTGGTGTAACGGAGCCAGCTTTTTTTTTAATCATGTCTCCCATGGTGAAGAAATGATACTATTTCATTCACTTGACTTTTTACATCAGTTTTGTGACATGGGTAGGTTGATTTTACCTCTGGTTTATAACTGGGGAAATTAATTTCAGAAACATCCAATGAATAAATTGGTCTTCATAGCCTTAGTGAGGTTAAACTCTGAGATGGAGAAGCCTCGGAAGACTGTTAGTACTTAATTGTGCATATCGGAAGCAGTTCAAAGAGATTCAGTGTATTTGGAATTTGACCATATAAAGTAAAACATTTTGTTTTTGAGACAGGGATGGCCTCCTAGGCTGGCTTGAACAGTTGTCTCCTGCCTCAGTCTCCCCTGGTGATAGGATTACCGGTATAAACCACCCCTCATTTCTCTTTGTACTTAAGAGACATTTTCCCAAAACATTCTTCTGTGTTATCAGAGCATACCAAAGAGCCTACAGCTTCATTTAGCACACATACACAAAATCCTAGAAATTATAATTTCTTAAATAGCAAAAATCAGTTTTAGTTGATAAGTTCTGTTCTGTTCCTTCATTACATTTGTAGTTTTTTGACCGTATCAAACTATTTGGAATGCCTGCCAAGCACCAGCCGGATCTCATCTACCTCCGCTATGTCCCGCTGTGGAAGGTGCATGTGTTCACTGTTGTCCAGCTGACCTGCCTCATCCTGCTGTGGGTAATCAAAGCCTCTGCGGCTGCAGTAGTTTTCCCCATGATGGTAAGTTTTCAGATTTATTTGTTATTTATTCATAGTGTAATTGTCATTTTCATGGTAACGTTTAAAAAAATTATAACGGACATTGAGGAAAAAATATCTCCTTTAGCTATCTTAAGTATTTTAAAATGTAGATGAACTGTTTCTAGCTGTAAACTAGTACTTTGTACTCCTGGGTATTCTTGTATTCTGAAGTTGTTTATTTTTAATATTTTACTCCCTGAGCTATAGGGCTCTGTTTTGCAATTCTGTGTAAGCCAGACCTTAGGATAGTCATAGACCAAATGTGATGGGCAGGTGTATGAAGTGAAGCAACCACAAAACATCTTGGCTTGGACATGGGATGCTGCAGTGTGTTTTTTCTAGACAATGACAGATGAAAAAGTGTAGAACTTACAGTAGGATACAATTTGTGTAATTCATTAAATCATCATTCAGTATTGTTATTTTTGCATAATTTATGAAAGCTTAAGAAGCACAAAAAATCCAAATGGACTTTAATTTTACCACAAAGAAATCTATTTTTCTTTTGGATTATTCAAGTACCCTCAGAATATTCTGACCTACAAAGCCTAAAGTATTTACTAACTGGCCTTTTACAGGAAAATACTTACTGGTCCTTGTGTTATAGATGTCCAGTGAACTTAAGAAATAGTACTTCTTTAAAAATAAAATTCAGAACTGCAAATGAGAAGAATAGTGTTCCCTTAGGGGACATTTCACTCAGTTTAGGTTCAAGGTCAACATTACATTTATTACTAAGGCTAGGGGTGTAACTCAGTAGTGTTGCCTAGAATGTGTAAATACTGAGTTTGATTCTTAGCACTGACAAAAAAAGAAGGAAAAATCAAGTAAACCTTTATTCTCAGTATTATTCCAAATGTTGTCTATAAAAGCCATTCTTAGTTCATGAGCTGTACAGAAATGTCTGATGGCCCAGGTTTGACCTAGGACCTATGAGTTACTACTTCCTCACTTAGAGGAAGTGGATTATTATACTGTGTATGAATTTTCACAAGTAGCCCAACCAAAAGGGTTAAGTAGCTGAGAATGCCATACTCGAGTAAAGAACGTTTAAAGATCAAGACACTGATCGTGATTCCAAAGCCAGGAAAAAACCAAATGAAATTGTGAAAGATCTATGGTGTTTTCCTTTGATTAAATACAATCAGCTTAAAATGCTCGTTTGTATGCTCAGCATTATTTCTTAGCATCATATACCATAATAAAGCAAATAATGATACTTTAGCATAAAAAGGAACTAGAGTATCTGGATAAGAACATATCAGAAGTAGTAGATAGTGTCTACCTCAAAAGTGTTAATCATGGAAAATAAAAATTGTACTGTAGTGGACAAAATCAAGAAAATGTTTAAGGGTAAACTGAAGCAAAAAAGCTTTAATAGTACTTGCAATTTCTTGCAGCTCTTTTGTAAAGTTTCACAATATGTGTGATTTAAAACTACAAAAATTATTACAAATTCTGGAGACTAAAGGTGTGAAATCAGGTTGTGGCCACAGGACGGTGTTCTGATATCTGCAGGGAGTTCCTCTTCCTATCTGCTTGTCTTGTTTCTTTTCCTCCAACTGTATAGCTACAATCTAAATTGTTCCAGCATGTTCTTCCTGTGCCTCTGTTTGCACATGGCACAGCCATTTTATAGGGACACCAAAGTGTTGTAAATGTGTGTTTCAGGATGGAGGTGGTATTACTGTAAACCAGATAAATCATTAAAAACGTGGTTCACAAAAATGTTGTTTATCTTGTGAATATGGGCTCCATGTACATAAATGTTATGTACATCCAACTATATGTAAATTATATTTTTGTTAAAAATCAAGACTTGCAAATTACAGAAAATGAGAAGTCAGTTAAGTATAATTAGGAATGGAGTTTTGCTGACTACTTAACTTTTCTGTGCTTACATCATGCTGTATGGAACTATGAGGTTCATACAATATGGAACTAGCATAGCAATGGATGAGGAAACCAGAGAAATAGACTAATGAGTCCAGAAATTGTCTTTATATATAACTGTATTGCAAATGGAATACTATGTATGGATAAATTATTTCATTAAAGGTGGTCATTTCATTCATCAGAAAGTTTAATATATGGAGTTGAAAGAATTAACTATGTACTCTGTAACATCTTACTAAGGAAGAAATCCTAAGTGAATTCAATTTAAGAGGTAAAATGAAGTTGTAGTAGAAAAGTTAGGTATATATCTTCATCCCATTGGTTAGAGAGACCTTTTAAAGAAGATGGAAAAACTTACTGGTAAAAGAAGAGTAAATTTATTTAGCCATGTGAAATGTTTTTATATGATAGGAGGCATTTTAAATAGAGTTGTAGAGTTGTGAACCAGGAGAAAATATATATGAGATACAATGTAGATGAAAGATTTCTAGTAAACTAAAAGGTTAAAAGTTACTTTTAAAATGAGGGCAAATGGAGTAAAAGAGAAAAAAAAAAAAAAAGCAAGCAACAGTAATGGAAAGCCAATTGACCTCTGCAAACATGTACTTTCATGTCAGCTGTCATAGGATAGCAAGTTTACATACACCGTTTCCGCTCAACTCTTTGAAAAACTAAAGCTCAGACCTGCGATCAGCTATTCTAATGCATTTGTAAGAGTTGCAGATCTGTTTTCGTGACAGGTGCTTACATGATATAAAATTTTATTGAGGGTCAGAATAACTGTTTTGATTGTATTCCTATGTGCTGTTTTTGTTTTGAGTATACAATTGGAAGATGCAAATAACTGTTCTGTTCTAATTAAGTGTGAGCTAACTTTTAAACAAAACGAATGCAGCATTTCCTATTATGTATAAGCTTTATTAAATGTTTGCTTTCTTCTTTCAGTGTATGTATTATGTTTCTCTCTCTCATCTTCTTCAGGTTCTTGCACTAGTCTTTGTGCGTAAGCTTATGGATCTGTGTTTCACAAAGAGAGAACTCAGTTGGCTTGATGATCTCATGCCAGAAAGTAAGAAAAAGAAAGAAGATGACAAAAAGAAAAAAGAGAAAGAGGTAAAAAGACATTCCTCTGTTTAATGATTTGTACCATCTTGCAGATACTGTTACCATTGCTGTATTTTAATTCAAGCAACATCATGAAGCACAAGTACTGCTAACTATTGTGTTGTACAGAGATGAGGCAGAGGAATGGGTAACCATACGCAAGTAGTGCTTCTTACCACTTCTTCGTCTTGTCCCTGTTTAACTCTGACACAAGAAACCTTTTTTTGAATTGCATATTCTGGCTGGGCAGTAGTAGCAGGAGCCTTTAATCCCACCACTCAGGAAATAGAGGCAAGTGAATCTCTGAGTTCCATGCCAGTCTGGTCTACAAAGTAAGTTCCAGGCTTGTTACACAGAGAAACCCTGCCTCAAAAAGCCAAGAGAAGAAAATTGCATATAAAAATTAAAGTTTGTAACAGAACTAAAACATGACACAATAATATTATGTCTGATTTAACTTTAAATACACTGGATGTGTTAGTGTGTAGCACAATAATAGTATTTTAGTGATCTGACATATACACTAATGAAGTTTAAATGTGTTTAAGACTCTATTAGGGACTTGGGAAATGGTTCATTAAGTAAAAGCATTTGCTGCACAAGCGTGAGGACCTGAGTTCACAGCCCTTAGCACCCATCTAAAAAGCTGGGTGTAGCTGTTTGTACCTGTGATATCCACCCTCTGGAGCCGAGACAGCAAGCCTAGCTCCAGATTCAGTGAGAGGGCACAGCTGTATAAAAGCAATAAATGGTTGGGCAGTGGTAGCGCACACCTTTAATCCCAGCAGAAACAGGCAGATATCTGTGAGTTCAAGGCCAATCTAGTCTACAGAGCGCGTCCCAGGACATGCTTCAAAAACTACAGGGAAACTCTGTCCTGAAAAACCAAAAGTAAGTAAGTAAATAAATAAATAAATAAAGCAATAGATAGAGAATATTTTTAAAACTTTATTCTGGGTTTGATGTTGAGTTTTTCAACTACGTTTGTGCTTTTACTGACTAAAAGTAGAAACTGAGTATGGTCTTGTTGGTTGTAGTACTTTCCTCAGTATTCCTGCCTTAGTTACTGTGGCTGTGATGAAACACCATGACCAAAAAGCAGCTTAGGGAGGAAAGGGTTTATTTCATTCACAGTTCATTATCAAGAGCAATGAGCGCAGGAATTCACACAGGGCAGAAGCTGATGCAGAGGCCATGGAGGAGAGCTGCTTAACTGGCTGGCGCGCGTCCCTATAGAACCTGTGTCCACCAGCCCATGAATGGCACCACCCACAATCAATCACTAATTAAGAAAATGCCCTACAGAGTTGCCTACAGCTGGGTTTTTATGGCGATCCCCTCCTCTGATGACTCTAGAGAACTAGTTGGCACAATTCCTGTTCAGAATTTTGTTTGAAAATGAGGCATTAGAACGTCACAGTTTTGTTTTTGAGGTGGGCCTCACTGTATAGCTGAGTCTAGCCCAGAACTTGTGCCTGTTCTGCTTCAGCCCTCCCTACTCTTGAGTGCTTGGCATGCATTTGTGCACCACCACACCTGGCTACTCATTTTTAAATGTCATAGTCTTTCTTAAATAGATAGGAAAGGTGTATTTCTCAACCAGAATTATAACTAGGATAGTCATTGTAATTATTTGAATGAGGGTCTAATTTTAAAATAAAAATGTTTTGTTTTCTTTAATATTGTATGCATAAACATCTTAGCTTTTGGTGATTTTTCTTCATGTAGGGTATTGTTTATCTCCAAAACACAAAATAAGCAGGTCAGATTGCTTACTTTTTGTATTAGTTGGTCCAGAAGCATATAAATTTAAAGAACAAAGGTGAAAATACATTTTAAAAACCCAGGAATCTGTTTTCTCCTATTAAAAAACTCTTAAGTAAGTGATCTATGTCATGATTCTCAGAGTCATCAGGGATTCCATGTTACTGTTCCAAGCATATAGTCTCCATTGTCAAATTCACCTTCTGGATAAGAATAGCCAACTACAGCTATCACTGTAGAACAGAAGGGGGTGGACAGGGCACGGACATGGGACGGGACACAGATAGAAAAATGAACATTATGCTGTTTTCAGGCTTCGTTCTGAAACTGTCAGTAAGTTGCTTATGCAAGGTCTCCCCATTGAGGTACAAATAAATGATGGGAAATTAGTATAGCAGTTTTAAATCTGGGTGCGTTGTCAGTTGTAAATGGTGAGAGTTTTTGATAATGGGGAGATGAGATGAGCTTGAATACTCTTTCTTATGTTTCTTTATGTCTGCCTCCATTATTAATGGGTCATAATTTTAGTCCATTTGTTGTTGTTGTTCAGATGGTTTCCAACCCAGGGTGATGTCCTTTACAAGGGGCATTTTCAGTGTCAGAGACGATGGTTTCCAACCCGGGGTGATGTCCTTTACAAGGGACATTTTCAGTGTCAGAGACACCTTTTTATCATCTGGAGGGGCTGCTACTAGCACAAGTTACATTTGGACTTGAGAAATGTCCTGTGTTCATAGATCTTCCCCTAACACAAAGATGTATGTTCTTTTGGTGTTACTGAGGCTGAGAAACAATGCCTATATATGCGAGCTTTTACTGTGCCCTCTGATGAGACATGAGATGTCATTTTGCTCCCCTTTGCTATATATAACTGGTTCTCAGACTTGGGTCATACTGTTTTTAGATAGCACTAATTATTCATTTTTCAGAAGTAGAGGTTATACCTTGGGAAATAAATTTCTACTAGTAGTTCTTTTAATTTTATGCTGACAGTTTGACTTTCCAAATCTTTAAGGTATTCTTGGTAACAGACCCTCCTGGGGATATTATGGAGAAAGTAATCTCTTCTTGTCTATATTCTAAAGGAAGCTGAGAGGATGCTTCAGGACGATGGGGATACTGTGCACCTTCCATTCGAAAGAGGAAGTCTCCTACAAATTCCAGTTAAAACCCTAAAGTACAGGTAAGATACAGCTGCATTTTATACAGTACATTTTTTTAATGTGTCAAGAGTATAGATAAAGCATTAATAATTCTTTGAAATACTGGAGAGTAAATGTTTTCTTAGGTTAAACACAGTGGCATGTTGGAAGGCTTGGACATTTGGCTTACATGGTAAAAATCTAATAGCCATTCCAAAGTCAAAGATGCATTGACTTTGTCACTCTGCATCTTAATGGTGCATGTTTGGTTGTTTGAGCAGGGTTTCACTACTAAGTCCTGGTTGGCCTACAACTCATTGTGTAGATCAGTTTGACTCCAATTCACAGAGATCTGTCTGCCTCTACCTCCAGAGTGCTGGGAATAAAGGTGTGCTATTATGCCCAGTTGCACTCCTAACTTAAACATGATTAAAGTATGAACAGAGGTGGAACTTTTTTAAGCAACTTGTATTAGGCACTTATAGCTGCTATTACACTGTTATTTTAATGTAATTTAAGTTCTTTTTGTAGTATTGAACTGGGGCTCTCTGCATAGTTGGCAAACCATCCTCCACTGAGCTACTTCCCCAACTTTTATACTCAGGGTGACTATTGCTATGATCAAACATGATGACCAGACACATTTTGGAGGGGGAAGGGTTTATTTTGCTTACTTTCCCATATCACTGTTCAAGGCAATCAGGGCAGGAAACTGAAGGCAGGAGCTGATGCAGAGCTTGTTCGCCTCATAACTTATTCAGTATGCAAATTTCTTAGAGCACCAGGACCACCATCCCAGGGATGGCCACACCACAATAGGTTGGGTCCTTCCCCATCAGTCACTAATTAAGAAAATGCCTTACAGGCTTGGCTACAGATCATTTTATGGAGATGTTGTCTCAGTTGAGGTGTCCTCCTTTCAAATGACTCTAGCTTTGTCAAGTTGGCATAAACTAGCCAGCATACCAACCCACTTTTTATTGTTTATTCTGAGTTAGGATCTTACTGGGTTGCCAACTGCCTTCAGGCTTACTGTGGTCTACTGCTTCAGTCTCTGCATCCTGGTAGCTGTGACTAAATGCTTGCATTGCCCGCCTCACTGATGTAATCCAGTATGACCTCCATGTCTGTAACTTATTTGCATGAATTGTTTTGGTAAAAAGGGGGGAGCTAATAGATGTATTGCAGTTTTATCTATGAAATGTTCATATTACTTGTGACCAATAACATTGAACCCACATTATTTGTGGATATAATCATTATTGGCATGGGGGTTTGCAGTCATTTTGCAGTATTTCATAGAAATGTAACATTTGATTTTAATAGTAAGTAGACAGTATTATTCTTTGATTTTGATACATCTGATGAAATAACACTTTGACACTAAAACTGAAAAAATTTAGCTAAAACTGGTGGAATCATTTTTGTGATATCTTTGCTATGTTCAGAGCTTCGTTTTCAGTTGTGTGGGTTTTTTTTTAGCATAAAAATGATTTGCAAAAGAAAAAGGGCTTTGTTGTTGTTATATACTGTAGTTTTACTTTATGAGAGTGCAAATTGGAAAAGTTTTTGACGAAGTCTCTATTTTTAGGGTTTAAGACACAATAATTGACTTTTATGATATCTTAGTGATATAGCCTAGATTGCGGCTGGGATACTGGTGAAGAGCTATTTAACTGCAAACTGAAGTGGATTTTGCTAACATAATCAGTCCTACTTAGTTTTGATTGTAAAGGAACTTGGAGTTCTCTGTGATGACTTGATAGAATTCTAAATTTATAATACTCTGTTAGATTGTAGTTTCAGTGCATGCCAAATGTTTTCTCAATTTTAAATTGATGAAAACGAGAAATTATATGATGCTAATAAAAATGACAACATTAATGCTTTTGCAAGTACTGGATACTAACCACAAAGTGTATTTGTTCTTCAGTATTGACCCTTCAGTTGTTAACATATCAGATGAAATGGCCAAAACTGCCCAGTGGAAGGCACTTTCCATGAATACTGAGAATGCCAAAGTAACCAGACCTAACACGAGGTAGTTATAACTGTTTATGCCTTGTAACTGTTGCCAGTTTTCACTCATATTAATTTACTTAATGTATCTAAATATACTTTCCTTGCTGGTTGAAACCAGCCTCCTCCCAATTTCCATCTGCTCTTCTACCTGAATTGTGTTCTGATGCAGGTTGTGATTGGTTTTCTTTGTGATTATATTTTATCATTTTTAAATTTACAATTACGTATTTCAGAAAAGGATTTTACAATTTTACAATAAAAATATATTCCACAAAATTGCATATATATTTTTGTGAATATATTTATATTCACAAATTGAATATATTCATAACTAAAGGTCCAATTAAATATAATTATATTCAAATGAAAAGAAAAAAATACATATAAAGAAAGATAATTACTAAGAATTAATGCTGCCAGGCATTGTGGCTGACACCTGTAATTCCAGTCCTCAGAAGGTAAAGGCAGGAGGAGGGACCCAAGTTTGAGTCTTGATGTGGTCTATGTAGTGAGCTCCAGTCCAGCCTGGATTATGTAGCAAGATTCTGGTGTAAATAAATAAATCGTACTTTCTTTTGGTGTAGATAGATAGATATTAGGTAAGTAGGTAAGCAAGTAAATAAATAAGTAAATTTGTGCTTTCTTTTGGCTGATTTCTACCTTGTGATAAGTGTTTACTTATTCATTCCTTTTCCTTTTATAAAACCTATATTCCACTTAATTCTCATCTTTTCATTTTGGTTATTTGACATAGGGTCTCACTATGTAGCCCTGGTTCTTCTAGAACTCACCATGTAGCCCTGACTGTCCCGGAACTAACAGATATATATATATATATACTTGCTCCTACCTCTGCCTCCCAAATGCTGGGATTAAAGGTGTATGCCCCATGGCCAACTCTTCGTCATATGTTTGATCTTCGTTTCTTGAATTCTAATTCTAAGCTTCACTGTCCTTCCATCAGTTTCTGTCTTTAGCCTCTAGGATTTTACAGTTCCTATTCACATTCTGCCAGCACCCTTGACTCAGATTGTTGGTGGTGATGTGGTGAAAATAAAGGCCATATAGTAATATTAGTACATGTCTTTTATACTAAACTTGTAGTGTGGGTTGGCCATCTATTCAAAATCACATTAGAGTAAAGACAACAACCTGACTTTACTCATGCTAAAAAGGGGCATGCTGGGAACAAGGAAAGGTTCAAAGAGTGAGAGGGTGAATATGATCAAATGTTCATATATGAGGTTGCCGAAGGAGCATACACAGCCAGGTTGTAATAGCAAAGTGTAGACTGGTGCTAGCAAGCAGCTCTAGTACGTTGTAGATATGCCTTGTTCACCATTGGAGAGTTTAGAATTGATTCTTTTAACAATAATTCTTTTCTCATTGTTTGTTTTAAACAGCCCTGAAAAGCCTGTGAGTGTGACAATAAATTTCGAAGATGAACCATCAAAAAAATACATGGATGCCGAGACTTCATTGTAAAGTCAAACCAAAAGGAATATATAGAGATATATGCCTGTCTGTCTGTATATACATATATATATATATATACACACACATGTATATGTATATATATATATATATAATGCACATGTGCCATGCCATCGTGTATAACAGTACTGCATGTCATGCGGTTTATGCGTGACAATGGGGCTCTTTGAAGTAGCATCTGATGTTTGTTGTAAGCACCATGGAGACTATATTAATGAAATGGTCTCTTAGAAGCGAGGTACATGGTTTTTACTCTTCAGATATTTATTTTCTTGGGGGTAAAGCCTTTATGTTATGCAATAGAACTATGTGGAAAACTGTATTCAATCTGATTTTCTTAAATCTCTTTGTCAGTGGCAATCATATCAACCTTAAGTAATACATACTTAGACTATATATTTATAATTTTGACCTCAATTTTGAAAGATTATTATTTCCCTTTTGGTAGTGTTTTATAGGTAGAATAAGGATTCTGCCCTTGTTGTGGGAAAATGACATGTCCTGGCTTCTCTTTGAGCTTCCTTCATGTAGCTAACCCATCATACTTCACAGGTGGTGAACACAGATGTGATTATAAATTACTGGAGACTTTATAGGTAGGAACTTTATGTATTTGGAGTTTATTTTAAATTTTAAAACTTGTCTGGGCTTCCATTCTGATGGACAAGTAAAAAGCAAAGTATATGTGATTTCTAATTTAACAACCACACCGTTCATAACGTTTTGAGTTTTAGAAGCTATAAAGTTCCCATTTGTAGTAGTTAAATTTTGTTACCTTTTCTAATACTCATACTTTTCTAGAAACCTAGAGTTCCACTGTTCTTTGTCTTTGCTCTCTTTTACTTAAAGGGGTCTAGTGGCGTCAGGTTCAGGTATCTTTCTGTTGTAAGTAGTAATGAAGAGTCAGCATCCTTTTAAATGGGCTTGTAATCAGTGACCTTTTATGAGAATTACCTTTCATTTTCTGTTGTTATTCTTTCTATTGTATGCAATATATTTAATAGGTTGGTATCCACAGTTTCCTTTTAAGATATTTTATTTATTCTAATTGATGTGATACTTAAATATTATATAAATATTTGAGACAGTAACAAATACAGAGTCAGTTGATCCTGTTGTAGCTATTTGGTGCTCACTTGCATTCTGTTTATTACCTGAAATCAGTGACAAACTTATATCTTGGATATAAAGCACTGCCATATTTGCATTTTAAAAGGAAGTTGGATATTTTCTGTGCAGTTTAGATCCATGGCATTGTTTCTGTTCTGTGATGGCATTGAGGCTCCAGTGTTTCTGACCTGTCTTTTAAACACGAAGCAAATTGTCATCTTTTATATACTCTTAGCTCCCCCACGGAATAAATATTGTTTCAGCCTGCGGGACAAAATGATTAGGGCTGTGAAACTGATAGGACAGGAGGATAAATAATACACAGAAACAGTGTGAAGACCCCGGAACACTGAAGGTGATGGGGACATGAAATTAGGACAAATGTTTTAAAGAAATTCTGATGTTCCCTAGTCATTTCAAACTAAAGTACAAAAGTATGAAGAAATGAATAGAATTGTCCAGAGTGGATATTTCTAGCAAGTAGTTTTAGTTCATTCTAAACTATGTTCCAATTAGTGTAATTCCCTCATCTGAGATCACATATTGGATTCTAGTTAAAATAGTAGCTGGCACCATCCGGTACTATCTGAGTTCTGTTGGACTCCCTTAACCTATGATGGGGAGTGTTGCCATGGTGCTTGTGGTCATTGGTGACCTCCACTGTAGTGATTCCTCTTCACTCAGCAGCATAGTGATTTCCAAAGTACCCATTTGCTGCTAATTATAACCCCCTGATGTGCCCAAACAAGAAAATTTCCCCGTATCATTTCCTTTATCTGGACATCAAAGGGTTAATTTGTTTTACAGGAAGTGATTTTAAAATTTAAACTGAAACTACCTGGTATCATAATCTTCCTGTGATTAATTTTATATGTATACATATACATGTATATGTATGTATGTATTATTCAGTGCCAGGAAGAAAAAAAATATGATATACAAAATCCTTTGCATCTAAGATATTTCACTGTGGTTTTGGTTATTAATGGCTTCTCCTTTCCTTTGACTACTTGACTTACAAAGTGATCTGATACGACTACTCCTCTGAAGAGCAGAGGGAATTAACCTCTTCTTTCAGATGGTTACATTTCTTGTGCTATTTTTGAAAATAACAATCATGAATAACACTCACTGCAAGACAGCAAGAGAGATAATTTACTATATATATTGATTCTTAAATGCTGCCTTAACTAGTGTATATGAGCAGTAGTAATTGCTATGAACTGATTTACCTCAAGGTGCAAAATGATTAAACTTGTACATATCCATTTACAAATTAAATTCAGAGAAAAGCCCTGCACTTTCTTAGATGCCTTGATTTTCATAGTAGAGCTTAGTGCTACTGAACATGGCCATGGAGCCGCCTCAGGATACTCTTCCCTCCACCATATTTTATTTATTTATAGATGTGTGTTTACAGAGACTATAATAAATCCTGGTGTTAACTATCTGAAAGTTACTTCCTTTTTTATTGCTGTTTCAATCTAAAGTAGGAGCTTTTGAGAAAATAGTCAACTAGCTTCATGATGCTAAAGGGGTGATTCTATATATATATATATATTTTAATAATAGATATGCAAAAGTGACATCCAAGGTCTTTAAACATTGTGTGAATTTTCATGTATGTGTATGAAAACACTCTTAATTCTCAACTTTTTTTTAACTTGTGGCGTACGTACCAATGTTCAGATTTGCCAAGCTTTCTATAAGACATGTAGGAGAAAATGTTTTTGTGTGCTAATGCATGTATTTATAATGATTTGTTTACTGCTGAGAATCACTAACTCTTGTTTCTCCATTCCCCAAAGTGTTAGTTTCTTCCATACACTGAAAGTGGTGGCTTGAGTGTAAGTGTTCTGGCTTCCTTTCACAATGGCAGGTTCACAGTTCTGCAGAAAGGATGGTCTCTGACAGTGCATTGTCACACCGGAGCTTCCTGTTTAGGTTTCATGAGTGTGCCGGCTCAGCAGCTCAGAATCTGTGTCCCCACCAAAGGCTCCGGGGGCCATACCTGAGCCATCAGTACAACGTAATTCAGCTCTGTTTAATATCTGAAATTTATTCATGTAGGTTTCATCATTGGTTTCATTTGTAGTGCAAACATGTAAACTGTCTTTGTTTAGTCCAACAATTATTTATTTTTAGAAAGTAAATTTGAAGACAAATTTTCAAATAGTGTTCCAGTCACAAGATCTGATCATTTTAATTGTAAGGTCTCTTTTAACTTTCTAGAAAGTAAATTGTCAAATAAAATCATGTAAAAGTTATTTTAAGATTTTAACCTGTACTTAGAGTTTAAGCCCCAGTTCTGTGGTTTTAATCATATTTTTTGCACATTGATTGCTTCTGTGTAGCTTTTCTTTTTGTTCCTTTGTTTATTCAAAATTTTTGGTTTTGTAGGGGTAAGGTGTCTTCCAGTGTTTACTATATTAGGCTTAAATTAAAATTAAGATTTATTGTTCATTTATATAATATTTGATACCTTGGTGTGATTTCCCAATACAGTTACAATTTTTATGGTATTTATAATTGCAATGGTATTTTCTTTTGTAATAAAATCTGAAGTCAATTAAACAAATTTTAGACTTGATATTTTTCATTTACATGAAGTACAAGTCTCTACCTGAGTCTATAATGTGAACTTTCCTGCCTTTCACATTTGTTTCCTAATTATTAGAGAAAGCTATTTTTTGTAGATGTTATTGAAAGTTGAAAGAGCAATAAAAGTCTACATAACAGGTTGTTGGCTGTTGGTTTTACTCTGTTACTAGAAGAACTACAAGTCTTTTTTTATTTAAATTTTTTTTCATTTTACACACTAGCCCTAATTCCCCCCCTCCCCTCTCCCTTCTCCACAGCTACCCCCCATCCCACCTACCATCTAGTCCTCAGAGAAGGCAAGGTCTCCCTTGGGGTGTGAACAAAGTCTGCTATATCTAGTTGAAGCAGGACCAAGCCTCTTTCCCCTGCATCCAGGTTGAGCAAGGTATCCCTCCATAGGGAGTGAGCTCCAAAAAGCCAGTTCATGCACCCAGCTACAATCCACAACCCCAGAGAAGCCAGGTAAAAAGGAGCACCCTAAGAGGGATGCATGGAGGGCCCCAGGAAAGGACAATAGTGAAGATCTTCTGGGTAAACTGGGGGAGGAGGCCAGGCAGGAGAGAGGCTAGAGGGGATGGGAACATGAGAGCTACTTTCCTTAAACTGGGACAAGAAGGGAAGTGAGTGGCTTCTGCTTCCTGTTTCCCCGTCCTTCGTGCAGAAGAGAAAGACAAGAGGAGAAGGAAAAATACAATGATTTTATAATGGTATTTTTATAGTTAGGAAATGTTGAAGGCAACATTCCTTTCTGTTTTCAACATGGATCCTTGTACTGTGTGTTCTGTTACTATTATCTCTGACACTGACCTCTCTGCTCAAGGCCTGTTTCTCTTTTGGCTAATTTGATTTTGATTTTGATTGTTTTCCCATTGCATGTAACACTTGGCTCCTGTTTTCCACATAGAGAGTATTCTTGTGTCTCATTATAAATGTGTTAAGCCAAATGTTCATAGCTTTGGAACTGTGGAACAGTTGAGAGGTAATTTACACTTACCATACAGACTGTAGTCACCCCTGTTTACCGGGAAGGGATTTCTCACTCAAGGCTGCTTGCTATGGTGTGGCTTGTTGCCTGCTTGGTTTGAATTTGAGCCCACTCTCCTGGTGGTGGGTTTGCTATACCTGTGCTTGCGATAGAGACATTTCCTGTGTTTGCTAAACGTTTTCTGCTTTCGTTTTTCTTTTAAACCCATCTAAAAGTCTGCATGGACCTCAGAATCAAACATATTCCTGTGGGGGGTACATACTTGGGGACCATACAGTCAAGTGTCAAGTTACCTCCCCCACCCCTCACCAAAAACCACAAAATTTTCTTTTCCTAATGTAACTTTTGGGCTGCATTGATGTCAGTCCTCTAGTGCTTGTGGCCTATGGGCCACAGATTGGACTCGTCTGATATTTTCAGAAATTTTATGATGCAGTTTTGTCTTGAATTGATCCAAAATATCTTGGTATAGGTTTAATTTACCTTTCTTTTAGTTTTATGTTTTATGTATGTGTGTGCCACATGTGTGCAAGTGCCCACTGCAACCAGAAAAGAGAGTGTCAGATCCCCCAGCGCTGGAATTACAGGCAGTTGTAAGCTGCCTGACATCCATGCTGAGCAATGCTGGGGACTGAACTCTCATTCTCTTTGAGAACAGCAAGTGTTCTTAACCACTGAGCCATTTCTCCAGTCTGCTTATTTTAGGCATAATTAGGATTCAATACACGTTGCTTTATGTAGTTTAGACATTCAAGGTGGTAAAGGGAAAAAACAACAAGAAATGGGTAAGTGTCCTAGGATTGAGCTGTATGACAAAATACACAACACATCTCAGGCTTGGCCCTTATGGAGTCATGGATCCATATCACACAACCTGGGTCCTTCCAGGACCCTCACCTGTTCTTGCCTGAGCCTCTGAAGTCATGGGTACTGCTACACAGTTTGGGCAAACATTGATGAAACATCAGCGAAAGTATTCATTTCACACGTAGCAGTATCCTGCTAAAGACAAGTCAATGTTCAGCTAGTCACTGATTCCCTGTTTGGTAATTTACAATACTTTCTATTCTACCCCAGCTTTACAGCCCCTCGACATTTTTGGGTTTTATTTGGTAGAATCAGCCCTGAGGGTTTCATGTCCTGAAGTGTAGTGCCATGTTTGCCTTCATTTCCTCCATATTTCCAGTGTAGAAGTGTACTTTTAAATTCCTGTATGGTGAATTTTGTTTTGATGTAGTTTTTTGAGGCACTGTCTCATGCAACCCAGGCTGGCTGCAAACTCTTGCTTCCACTTACTGAGTGCTGAGTTACCCAAACCCCACTATTCCAATACTTAAGTGGGTAGGGCCCTATACCCAAGGGCACCGTCAAGGTCACATCCTTGTGTTTTGACACTACAGAGTTGCTGTAGATTCTGCAGTCTCCATCTCTTACTAGGCAGTCAGGCTGCTCGTGTCATTTCTTGTTTACAACTCCAGACAATATGAAGAGCAGGTGAAATGACACCCCAAATCGACTACACACTTAGTTTAGTACCTTTAAAGTCTCAGCGTTGCGCCTTTTATTTTTTTTCCCCACAGCTGAGGGCCGAACCCAGGGCCTTGTGTTTCCTAGGCAAGCACTCTACCACTGAGCTAAATCCCCAGCTCCGTGTTGTGCCTTTTTAAAGGCTATTTTAGTGCAACTCGAATTTTTACTTTAAAAAAATTCTCTGCAGACCTTCTCGAAAGTTATGTCACTTTGCAAAACCACTGAATGATCTGGTGACAGGAGTCTGAGAGAGAGCTCTTGGGCCTGGGGAACATGTTGTCTGCATTTTTCTGTCCGAGACTTGTATTCAGCTTGAAGTGATTTTGTGCATCTAAGAGATACTAAGCAGGTAGTCTTGGACTTCTCGGCCTGCCTGACCCACAAACTAAACTCCAGGTCCTTCTCAACCCCCAAACAAACTTAGTGTATGCCGAGCTTCATTTTCCCCTTCAATTTTTAAGAACGATTTGCCGTCCATGATAATTCCTGGAGCAGCTGATATAAACTTTGATTTTGTTGTGGTGGTGGGTTTTTTTTGGGGGGGGGAGTCCGGATTCCATGCCTCTTCAGACTAGAATACAGCACACCAAATTTAGATACAGGCACCCTGAGCTTCACCGCGAGTTCTCTGGTTGCTAAGGTAGCAGGGTAGGCGTCACCCGTCGCTATGGCGCTACTCTACCTTGCAGCGTTGTCATTCCTGATTGGCTGAGCGCCTGATGCTGTGGAGGAAGAAGAGTGAGCATTGGTTCAGTCCCTCCGGACCAAGAAAGAATTTGACTGAAAAGCTAACAGGTGTCAGGGAGGGAGCTGGTTTGAGTTCGCCCGGGTTCTACGGCGGGATGAGGAAGATGACTTGAGATTGGCCTGAAGGAGGGCCGCCTTCCTGCGCGGTGAGTGATGAAGGAAGTCGGGTGTCCTTACGCCCAAGGCCGCAGGTGCAGCCTCCCTTCCCCTGAGGCTATCCACAGGGACCTTCCCTGAGGGGGCGATGTCAGCCTTGGGGTTAGTCAGCCAGAGCCTGTCTCTTCAAAGTAGATAAGCTTGTGCTGAAGAGTGTGTGTTGGGAGGTGCCTTCCGCGTTGTGTGGTGCTTCTAGGAGCAAGGGGCCGGGTTTGAGTAAACAGCGCTGGTAGCCATCAGCTCACCTGCCTCTGGAGGCTTGTGATCTCCTTTGTGAACACACTCCTGCCTTCCTTTTACAGGTGGGCTCACCTCAGTGCCTGCCTGCAGGTGACTTCTGTTACAGGTGTGAAGAAAGTTCACCATGGCTTAGAAAGCTCCCTTTAGCCAGCACCCAGGACCCAGCACCCAGCACCCAGCTGCAGTTGTGACTCTCAGTGCAACCCCACCCCACTAGACCCTACTACCCTTGGACTGCCAGGGTGCTTCCACTATCTACATTCCCCAAAACACATCCTCCACACCTCCTCATCCTCTACAAAACCATCGTTTCTACAAAGCTAGCTCAGATGCCACCAGTCCCTGAGTTAAACTGAATATACAATCAGTGCTACCAATTGTAGTCTGTCCCTATCCATCCAATCCACCTGCTCACCAATGTTAGACTAAAGTATCTTTTATTTTTTAGGTACCAAGGAGTATTTTCCTTTCTTTCCAGAAGCCCATCTTCCCCACTTCCCTATTTTCCAGTCTTTGGTTAGTCAACACCAACTTCATCTTATCCATGCACAGAACACTGCCCATGCCCCGTCTGGCTGTCTCAGCTGTCGTCATACTGCTGAGCGTGGACTGAGTGCCTTTGTAGGGCGGTCCACTCACATCCCCATCCTTGTCTCTGTGTTGCCTGATTTCTTTGCTACCTAGAAGTGTGAGAAGACTGACTCATTCATGGGTCAGTATCTAGCAAGTGCATTCAATGTGTACTTGATAAAGAATGAGTCTCTTAAATTATTAGCTTTTTAGAAGGCTCTCTTGACTTCTGTAAAAGTCAAAGATCTCTTTAAAGTGAATGTTAATTTAGGGATTTTGCTTTCATTGTAAAGGTCTGGAAGTTCTTAATACATGCTTTATTTTGTGCCATAATGATGATGATGAAGATCATATGGTGTAAGTTAACATTGTTACAGAGAGACAATACAGTGTGGTTTGCAAGAGCTGAGTCCCATACAATTAGCATTTTCAGTCTTTGCCCCCTAACAATGCACTGTCTCCTAACCTTTTTATTTATGCAAATAATGATACTGGCACCTAACTCACAGGATTGCTTCAAATTATTTAAACATTAAATGTACACCAGGCTCAGTGCCACAAACATGCAGTTTTCATGTGTTTTTAAGAACAGTGAAGACAGTGATTATGAAATATCCATGGTCAATTCACAAAAGTTTTTGATTCGGTCAAGTGTAGTCTCTAGGATACCATCTTGCCATTAGACTGCTTAGTGTATGCCTTCAACTCTGATGCAGGAAGAGACTCATTAATTTAGTGACTATTTACCAGTCATTTGAGGAGTCCAGGGTCAGGCCAAGTGATAAGAACGCAACTAGTGAAGGATGTAGGAGGTGAGCTGGGCAGTGGTGGCCTTTAATCCTAGTACTTGAGAGGCAGAGGCAGGTGGATCTCTGTGAGTCTGAGGCCAACCTGGTCTACAGAGTGAGTTCCAGGATAGCTAGAACTACATAGACAAACCCTGTCTCGAGAAACCAAAAGAAAAAAAAAAAAAGGATGTAGGAGGTGATCGGGGAGTCCGGAGTGTGACATTGTCAGAACCAACCAACCTTGAGGCTCAGGTTGGAGATGTAGTCTTAGAGAGGTACTGAGCACCTAGAAGACGAGGCAGCATTTCCCAAGCTCCTGAGTTTTAGGCGGTGAAAACAGCCAATGCGTTCCCCCGACCTCATAGCACACACCTCTAGTGCCAGCAAGCAGGAAGATGAGGCAGGAAGATCAGAAGTTTGAGCCAAGGCTGTGCGTGTCAGTTACACACCTGACAAGAGGCTCAGGGTTCTGGGAACAGTTCATTCTGGCAGGGAAGGCACTGCAGCAGGGGCACGGAAGGAGCACTACAGCAGGGGCGTGAGCACTGCAGCGGGGGTGTGAGCACGGCAGCGGGGGCATGAGCACTGCAGCAGGGGCACGGAAGGAGCACTGCAACAGGGGCGTGAGCACTGCAGCGGGGGTGTGAGCACTGCAGCGGGGGTGTGAGCACAGCAGCAGGGGCACGGAATGAGCACTGCAGCGGGGGCTTGAGGTGGCTTCACACAGTGTGTGCTCGAGGTGTGGGGGGGAGGCGTTGCTGTGCTAAGCTGGCTGTATCCTTTCTCTTCTTTTAATCTTTGATAGCCTCCCAGCCTATGGGATGGTACTGTGCACATTCAGGGCAGATTCTCTCTGGAACACTTTCTCAAACATAATGTGCTCTTCTTCTTCTTCTTCTTCTTCTTCTTCTTCTTCTTCTTCTTCTTCTTCTTCTTCTTCTTCTTCTTCTTCTTCTTCTTCTTCTCTCCTCCTCCTCCTCCTCCTCCTCCTACTCCTCCTCCTCCTCCTTCTGACACAGGTCTCCAGTAGACAAAGCTTGCTTTATATCTTGGATTCTCCTGCCTTTGCCCTCCAAATGTTGAGTATATGTTTCACAACACAACTGAGTTGAAAGATTAGCTTGAGGTGGGTGGGGCAGAGGGTAGAGAGAGAAGAACCTGGTGTAGGGACACATGCCTGTAATCACAGCTTTTGGGAGGCCAAGGGAAGAAGATCCCAGAGAGTGTGAGGCTAGCCTGGGCAACCTGGGGAGACTGTCACAAAAAGAAGGAAAAAGGAGGAGAATAAAAAGAAAACCAAATCCCCACAGGCCGTAGATGACTGTTCTAGGGAAGAGCAGAGCAGAGCTGCTGCTGCAGACACTCCTGCCAAGCAAAGTTTTGGAGACCAAAACCCAGCTCCACCATTGCTGGAAGGGCACACTTCGGCAACTTCTTACTCATTTGATATCTAAGTTTCCTTACCTGTAAAATGGGGTGATTATAACAAGTTTCTTAGACTGCTGGTTTCCTGGAAATACCAAGCGTTAGCTGTTTGTGTTAAGTTCTATGTAGGGGTCAGAGGCAAGTGAATAGGGACACAGAGCTGCGGGTTAAGGGAGACAGGGTGTCCACTTGAGACTGTTCAGTTATGACTATTAGGAAGTATTTAGGCCTGGTATGGAGGAAAGTGAACTTTACACACAGTCAAACCTAAGGTTTTTTAAGAAGCACATGAAAACCATGGGTGTTAGCTCTGAGTGAAATAAACTACTTCTCACTTGTAAAATACTTCTTTTTAAAAATTGCTTCCTTCATTTATTTGAAACAGGATCTTGCTATATAGGCTAGGCTGCCCCCAGACTTACTGTGTAGCCCAGGCTGGACTCAGATTTCCAGTGACCACTCTCCTCAGCCTCCTGGATGCTAGAATTACAGCCCTGAGCCAAGTGAATCATTATGTCAGGCTTTCTCTTGTGTCTCCTAAAATGGGTTAACAGTATTTGTAGTGACCTAAATTCTAGGTTCAAGACCATCAACAGAACCAGAGTGACAAAATTATAGAAAGAAAATCCCTCCTATGAAAACTAGTCTAAAATTAGAGGTGGAGCAAACCAAGCCTGGGCCATCAGGACACGGCTGCTCTCTGTTCATCATATTTTGTCATTGTTTAGGGATAATTAATTTGAAGAAGGTGGCTAGAAAAATGTATCTAGTAGAATCTAGATCTCACCTGTCACCATGTCTGTCATGACTGCCCTGGTAGTCTAACCTGAGGGAGTCCCCTTCTCAAATGTCTAACTCCCAAAGGTGGACACTGACCTGCACAGAATGCCACATGCTAAAATGGGCAGCTTTTCTTTGTGAAATCATACTGTGCTGTAAGCACACTTGAGGTAGCCCATATTTAACATAAATGTTGTGTTTTCTGTATCTATAAAGAGATTTTACCCAGTCAGCACTATAATCACTGGGTAGCCGTCAGCCAGGGCTGAGTTTTCATCTGCTGATTTATTTCATTATTTTCACTCCCATCTCCAGATAATGATGCTCCAATTATCCTTGGAGCTTACAAATCATGTTCTGCTTGGGACTTTTCATTAATTCCCAGGGATCTGCTGAACCACCCAGGAGCCATGTCTGAGCGGCAGCTGGCTGGCGAGGCAGGGCCTTGGATCTCAAAGAGCACCTCACCAGCAGAAGGGAAGGCAGCATAAGGAGAGGCTTCATTTCAGTGTGGGGAAGGAGAAGCCACTGTAGTGAGGAGTGATGATGTAAGTCTTGGTTTTGAGGCTAGGGAGAAGCTGGCAAACAAGAACCATATTAGTAGTATAGTAGTCAAGGCTTAATGACCAAATGCCAGATACGGGGTTGAAGAAGGGGGGACAGTTCTTTTTTCCTGTGCTCTGTGCCATAGGACTCTGTGCTCTACTTGAGACTAAAACGTAGATCTCTTCCTTCCTCTTTTTAGTGCAGTTCACTTGAGTCCTATGATTTGTTTGGATTAAGTCAGGTAACGTCTTCCTTAGCTATGTTAGTTAGCCGTGAAGTAATGGAGCAGGATAATAAATTGAGTCGCTCATATACAGATACGTTTGAATGTCAGAGACACCATTGTTCCCACCACAGGCACTAGGAGCTCCACAGACAGGCCATAGACTTAAAGGCTGCCGCTCTTCATTTCCCTTGGGCTCCTAGTACTCACTCTCTCTCAACTCTTCTCCCCAACTGTCTCCCAGTCCACCCCCAGGGCCTGTCTTCTGCTCTGCCCAACCTCAAGATGTGCCCACTGCTCTCCTCATCCTTGAGACCTTCAGGTCCCCAAAAGGTACATACTATCCAGAACCTTCTACCTCACAGTAATCTTTGATTTTGTTTGGTTCATTATCTCTTTTGGACATGTTTCCCCTGACTTTGTCATCTCTATTATTCTTAATTTTTTATATTAAGCAAAACTTGTTTTTGTAAAGTGTAAAGGAGGTTGTGGTGACTCACTCCTGTATAATCCCAGTGTTAGGAAGGCTGACATGGGAGGATCACTGCATTCAAGGCCAGGCTGGACTACACATAGTGAGTTCCAGCTCAGTCTCGGTTACAGAGTAAGACCCTGTCTCAAAAACAGCAATTTAAAGAGAAAGGAGCTGAATTTGGTATCACACACCTGCAATCCATGTGACTGAGGGTTAGAACCAGGAAGATGGGAAGTTCAGTATCATCTACCTCTACGTAATGGGTTCTCAAGCTAGTATGGACTGGACGAGACCCTGTATAACCCTCCTCTCCTCCCACAAAGGTAAAAAGAATGGTTCTCAACAGTTTAATCTGTATGTTCACAATTTTCACTGTGAGTTCTGTGAGTAGTTTCCCCAATAAAGAGAAATAGTCTTCGTCTCTTCATACTCACAGCCGATTCTTCAGCTCCGGTTGACTAGTGCAGTTCAGAAGGTCTCACCTCATGGGTGCTGCTGCTTTGTTTATCGCAGCTGCCCTTTCAGCTCCAGCTGACCGGCAGCCACAGACTGGTGACCCCAAATATTATACAAATAGCCCCACAGAGTCTTTGCTTTCCTTTGAAACTTCATAAGCTAAGCCTCCCTCATCTGCATTTCTCTGAACATCCTTATCCTTGAAGCACCCATAGAACATCCCATTAGGCTCTGGACATTCAATGGCTTTTCCATCTTCAAGTTCCAAAGGTTTGCACAGTCCTCCCCAAAACAATGTATTCAGGTTAATTGCAGCAACGCCACATGTACAGTACCTTTCTGTTCTAGCTTGCTTTCCTTTGCTATGATAAAATACCGTGAACAAAATCAAATAAGGGGAAGAAAGTGTTGATTTGGCCTACACTTGCATGCCACAATACATTATTGAGGGAAGTCAGGTCAGGAAGTCAAGGCAGGAGCTTGAAGAAGAAACCATGGAAGAACACTGTACGCTAGCCAGCTCTTTGCAGTGCTCACTGCTAGGTTTCTATTACAGCCACGTCTGACTGTGTAGGGGTGGCTACCACCCACGGTGGGCTGAGTCCTCCTGCATCAACCATCAACCAAGGCTGTTCTTCATAGGCATAACCACAGATCAGTTTTATCAAGATAATTATGTAATTGAGGTTCCCTTTTCCCAAGTAACTCCAGGTTGTAGCAGCTTGACAATAAAAACTAAACTGCATAAGGATGTAATGTTTTTATTTGTGGAGTCACTAAGAAGAAATTTGGGGTGCTATTTGTTATTTTCATTGACTAATGAATATAATTTCTTTCTAGATTTTTCTGGTTTACCTTTCAAATATTGCTTACTATATGCCCTGTCCTTATTCGGGCACTCAGTAGATTTTGAACTAGAAGCCACACACTTCACAGTTAACAGTGTTGCACACGTCCCCAATGACAATGGAGAGAATTCGTAGACTTTATATGGAGCTGTTTCCCTCTGTAACAATGAAATCATGAAAATTACAGTGATAACTGTTGTCATGATGCTCTAATCTTGGGCTGGTAGTCACACTGGTCTGGGTTAATCTTAGCAAACAAATGAAGGCCAGCACATTAAGGAGCTCCTGCCATCACTACAAGTAGCTGGAAACTGCTACCAAAACACATTCATCAAACCTTTCACATCAAACCAGGAAGAGTTAAAAAAACAAAGCCTTAGTTTCTCTCCACTTTTTCTGTAGCAGTGTTACAGTTTCACAGAAAACATGCAAGAGAGGCCAGGAAATATGCATAGTCTTTCAAAACTATTGCAAGCTCTCCCTGGAGCCAGCCTTTCAGTCCCCAACAAGGGATTCCTGGGGGAAATGTCATGGGTTGGGTTCATTGTCTCAGTGCTTCAAAAGCTAAAAAAAACAAAAAACAAAAAACAAAAAAACCTGTCTCCTTGCTAGGAGGAGGTGCTTATGTGTAACCATTTGAAGAATGAAAAGGGGAGAGGTCAGATTACTATTGAAATTTGGGCTCTGTCTAGCCCCTACTATGTGTTTAAATAGAAAATTGATTGAAATATGAACAATTTACACATGAAGGTGGCAAGTAGTGACTCGGAAGCAGGGTAGTGATAATGTGCCCCTTTGCCTGGCCACTCCTTCCTGACCGTGGAGACTGTACCAGCTGCGTCTTTATTTCCCATCATATGAGAATATTAAAATACACCACCTATATAATCCACATGAGGACTGGATAAATGGATAGGTGTTTGTGAGGTCCCCAGTGATCAGGAAACTAAGTTATACAAACAGCAATTGCCTTGTTTTTGCCCTTTACTAAGGGCCAGTTTCAACAATTTCTTACCTTCCCATTATTTCAGAGTTTTTCATTGTACGGAGTTCTGTTTTTCTCTTCTAAAAGTTCTATGTGGTTTTGGTTAGACACATCCACCTATGGTTCTTAGTTTCATCATCTGATAAAGGATGGGTAGATCTCCTTTTCCTTTCTTTTCTTTTGCTTTTGATAGGGTCTCACCCTGTCTCTCAGTCTAGCTTGGGACTCGTTGTGTAGCAAGGTTGACGTGTAATTTATGGTAATCCTCCTGCCTTAGCTTTCTGATTACAGGACTGAACCAACACACCTGGCTTTTAAAAAATAGAACCAGTGTGTTATGCTGCAAATGTGTTTTTATTGTTTTGCTTCATATTATTCCTCAGGTGTGGCAGAAGCCATGTCTGACCCTTTTCTCATTCCATTTTGTGCTTGACACTGGAAGTCCTAGACAGTGTGGTTTAAGGTTCTCACTTGCAGTAATATCTTTCTTCTGCCACTCCACTCATATTCCCCACCGAAGGAAAATAAAACTGTAGTGTCTTATATGTAAGGCTAGCACGGCCACTGTCCTTTCTGAACTGTGATCATGTCTTCCACTACCCAGTTGAACAACCGTAGCTGAGTTCTCTTTATGCGAAGTCTGTACTTCTGACACACTTGAGAAATGCTTGGAAAGACCCACTGTCACACCTGTGTTATGACATGTGCAGACTTTTTTTTTTTTTTTTTTGGAAAAAGAAAACCTCTCTTCTTAAAGCATCCAAGCTCTACATACTTGTCACCCAGTTTTCTTTCTTGGCTTTGACTTTGAGAGAAGACTTTGAATATGAAATTTCCAATGCTGTTGGAACCATTAGGGCTCTGGAGACGAGTGGAGGTGACTTAAATGACTTTTGCATGCAGAGATGACTATGAGCCTTAGGGGGCAGAAATGGAATGCTGATCAGTCTCCAGCATAGGGAGCGAGGCCTGGAAGAGAAACGTCACTGGCTAGGGAGCTTGACTTTGAAGGTTTTATGTAGTCTCTAGTCACTGACTTTGAAGGGTAGATCTGATTCATGATTCCCCCCCCGTGTGTGTGTGTGTGTGTGTGTGTGTGTGTGTGTGTGTGTGTGTCTGTCTGTCTGTCTGCCTGCCTGCCTGTCTCTGTCTCTCTCCCTCTCTGTCCATCAAGTTGTGAGCGGCTTTCCACATGCCATGGTGCTCTGCTTTGTAATGGCCCTGGAAGCAACAGGGCTAAGGACTATGGATCTTTGTAACTGTGAGCCACAATCTTTCATCATGTAAGTTGTTTATATCAGGTACATTGTAACAGCAGCAAAAAGCCATGACTATCTTTATCCTTCTGTTTCTGTTATGGAAAGAGTTGAGAATAGAAGCCAATTAAGAGAAAAAAGCCAACAAGTCAACAACTGTGTATGGACGAACACATAGCCTTTGAGTGGGGAGAAGTAGGATTAGGAATAATACTAGGAAAAGTAACCATGGCAATATTAAAATGCTGAATGCAGAGTATTGAAATGCCTGCTGAGCTGTACTTCCAGGCAGGCCACCTCCCTGCCAGATATTCAGGTAAGTTCATGAACTGTGCAAGATTAGCCTAACCATAAATTATGAGTACTATTAGCATGCATTGTTCAGATATCAACTTTCACAGTTTAAGAATTCTGGAAGATATTTGGAAAGATGACTCAGCATTTCAGAGCACTTACTGATCTCACAAAGACCCTGGTTCAATTCTCAGCATGCATCCCTATCGGGGGCTCACACAGCTTCTAACTTAAGTTTCAGGATATCTGGTGTCTTCCTGTCTCCACCTCCCCAGGCACTTATATACATGTAGGACACACAAATTCAGGAAGGTACACAAACACACACACACACACACACAATAGCCCCTTAAGGAAAAGAAATATTTACAAAGAAAAAAAAAGGTAATTCTGGAAGCTGAGTATGGTCACACACATCTGTAATCCCTACACTGGAAAGGCAGTAGAGTTGCCAGGAGTTCAAGCCAGCCTGGTTGACACCACAAGTTCCAGGACAGTCAGGGATGGCTGGTGAGATCCTCTCTTTAAAAATTAACAAAAAAACAAAATGAAAAAACTTCATAAAGAATTCTGGAAGTATGGCAACATGGTGACACTGACGGATTACTTATGCGTGGGTGTGGCTTTCTCCAAGACACCTGGGGACATGACTCATAAAGAGAGAGGACTCCTCTGAACCCATACTGTTTAATTCAGAATACTTATAGAGAAAGGTAAGTGAGGTTGCATAAAATTACTGTCAATTAAGCTCCAAGTATTTGTTAGCTGACATGTCTTATAAATCTCAAAGAGAACATACAGAACAATATGGTAAAAAATTGCCCCAAATAATTAAATCAAGCATGTGCCAAAGGATACAGGTGAAGACAGCCTAAATCTATTCAAGAAGGACCTTTTGAAGGTAAAGAGCCAGTAACATTCATTTTGATATTTGCAATTATTATTTTTTACTTGTTTGAATAGACATCAAGGATGAATTTTGTCTGTTTTAACTGAGAAGCCTTTGGGTCACATAACTCAACTAAAAGCTGTCTCCATCTTCTTTGCAAGGAATGCAATGTTACTTCTGAGGCATTGATGTTTTACAATGCCTGATCAAGACAAAAAGGTGAAGCCCACAGAGAAAACAGCTGATAAAAAGCAGCAAGGGACCACCACCAGGTAACCAAGTGTTTTGTGGTCATCCCCTGGGACAGAAGCTTCCTGGAAATCAACTCCTGGATTGCAGGGCTTACTCAAACACTGGGACCTTTCTAGAGTTTGGAAAGAAATGGTTGACCTGCATGCAGTTACCTATAGGGGCAGGCTTCCAAGTGGCTGCACCGTCATGGTAATGTGACCTTGCTCACCTGGATTCTTCTCTGGGTTAACACTGTGCTGTTCTTTCTCCTAGGGACTATTCAGACCTTAAAAGACTTCGGTGCCTTTTGAACGTTCAGTCAAGCAAACAGCAGGTAGTGTTTCCAAAGGATGCACCACTTGTTTCTGAAAGGGTCCGTTTCATATCCGTGTGTATATTCTCTTTGTTCTTCCGTAGCTTCCTTGCTTCCTCTGGCTTGCTTCTTTCCCCTGACTCAGGCTCTGCCAAGACTTGGCGTCTGCAACCTTTCCATTTCTCTGCTTGTCACTAGATATCCTAACCAGCGGAACTTGAATTCTTCAATCAGTAAACAGCCAGTTCTCTCATCAAATGCCAATGTTTACCTTTTGGTGCTTCGGGGAAATTTATTTTCTCTCTTGCCTTCTGGTCTGTCATCCTGATGTGAGCCATCCCCTTAGCAGCAACTTTGACTCTGCTTCCGATCCACTGTTCTATCTTTTCTACAAGTTTGTGATTGGTTTTCCTGAGTTGGGGTGTGACCTGGGAACTGGGTCACCATGTGCAGGAACAACCCCTGGCCAGGCAAAGGAAATGCCTACAGTGTTTCTGGATTTGGTTTGGGGCTCCACGCCTTCAATGTTGAAGTTTACAGTGGCTAGATATATTTGGCCTCCATCTTACCACTCCCTTGTTTCTACCTGCCAGGGTTGATTAAAGTAAATTTAATGATTTCTTTCTTTCTCTCTCTCTTTTTTTTCTGCCAACTTGGAATTCTCAATCATTTGTCTGACAAGTTCATATCTTTTTGCTAATTTTTATACACAAATGGTGCATATTTAAAATACTTGAATTATTTATAAAGCAGAGAGCAGTGTCTAGCCTCACTTGGAGGAGGGTCCAAAGCTTCTCAAATTCTGTGCGTCTTTCTGTTGTGGATGTCCCTTGCCTCTGTCACCCTGACAACAAGAATCTCTCTGAGCTCTTTTCTCCTTTACTGAAGCAATGCAGTTATGTGTGTGAGATGGAGCATTCTAGAATAGCTCAGACTTGTACCTGTTTGTTCCAGGAAGACTGTAAGGAGCACATAGGATATACAGTATATGGAAGTTTAATCATAAATTAAAAGCCAAAGATAAGATGAAAAACAAGGGCTGGAAGAGTCGGAGCAAGAAACCCTGTCAGCATATGCAAGCAGGGACATGCTTGCTCCTCAGATTGTCAGTGGTCTTCTTGAGGGGCCATACTTGTGAGTCAGGCTGCTTACCAGGTCCTGCTGATGTGGTCTGCTTTGGTTTTCATTTTTTTAATTTGTATTTTGTTAGTTAGTTTTTTGTTTGTTTGTTTACAAATGGGCTGTGATAATCAGTTACTAGAAATTCCTGGAAAAAAATGTGCCCTGTGATTTGTGCGGAGTTGTTGAGAAGTGAAAGTTCTCCCTGATTCTCCCAGGAGCCTGTCTGCTAGCCGAGTGTTGAGTTGTGCTGTCCGCTAGCCGAGTGTTGAGTTGTACTGTCCTCTATCCGAGTGTTGAGTTGTGCTGTCCGCTAGCCGAGTGTTGAGTTGTGCTGTCCTCTATCCGAGTGTTGAGTTGTGCTGTCCGCTAGCCGAGTGTTGAGTTGTGCTGTCCGCTAGCCGAGTGTTGAGTTGTGCTGTCCGCTAGCCGAGTGTTGAGTTGTGCTGTCCGCTAGCCGAGTGTTGAGTTGTGCTGTCCGCTAGCCGATTGTTGAGTTGTACTGTCCTCTAGCCGAGTGTTGAGTTGTGCTGTCCTCTATCCGAGTGTTGAGTTGTGCTGTCCTCTAGCCGATTGTTGAGTTGTGCTGTCCTCTAGCCGATTGTTGAGTTGTGCTGTCCTCTAGCTGAGTGTTGAGTTGTGCTGTCCGCTAGCCGAGTGTTGAGTTGTGCTGTGCGCTTTGTTCCCCATCTTTGTGCTTGAATGGCTGCTGTTTGTTGGTTTGGTATGATGTACTAGGAACACAAGAGCAGGCAGCTGTGCTTCTGTCTTCAGGGTGACTGAATTCAGGGAGGTGGCAGATGTGCAGACTAGACAGCACACCTGACTGTACAAAGTGCCTTGAGCAATGTCCGCTCTATGAGGAAGGCCTGAGCAGACTCTAACCTGTACCCTGGTCTGGAATCAAGAGCTCTGGGCTCATCTGACACAGTGGACCTGGAGCTCTAGGGAGGGGATGACAGGGCCAGGGAAACTGCTGTGGCTCCTGAACTGATGATGCTTTCATCTGAAGGAGCTAATTGTAACAGAGTTCTTATTGTCAGGTACCTGGGACCTGCGATTATAGCTACCACGTGTAGCTTGCCTCTGTGGCTATCTGAGTTGATTCTTAGCACTGTCAGCCTGCCAATGTGTGTGTGTGTGTGTGTGTGTGTGTGTGTGTGTGTGTGTGTGTGTGTGTAGGGGGTGATGGTGAGAGCTGTGCCCTCCCTTTCCTTTGAGTGGCTAAGAAATATTTGTTCTGTGCTTTCTTTCTTTCATACAGACAATATTTAAGAGTTTCATCAATGGCAAAGGGCTTTGAAACGCTTTAGGCCTAGGAAACCTACTTCCTGTTGTGGGTGCATGTGTGTTATGACAGTTCCTATCTAACAGAAAAATGAACCTGTTGCTGTGACTTCATATCTAATGTCTGTTAGGTTATAAACCCACATTTGGAAATCACCTAATTTGTAACGACAAACTTATTTACTTAGCAAATTTATGGTAGTGATTACCAGGCTTGTAGGAGTGTTTATAAAGCAGTTAGAACTGTGCCTCCACATAGCAAGTGCTGTGTAAACAGTAACTCGCTTAACTCTCATACTCCAGAGTTACACACTGCTATTATTTCTTCTATTTTAATGACATGGAAACTAGTGTATACAGAGATTAAATAAATCCTCCAAGGTCACGCTGATAGCTAACAGCGGATTCAAACCCATAGAACCTGATTGGGAGTGTGGTTCCATCACTAAACATTGTCTGCACAAGTCCTTTTGGCCACTTGCTCACAACGGCTATAGTTTGGTGCCTGAACTGATAAACAAAGAATGGAAGGTTTATTGTCTCTATTTTGAAAATTCAACTGAGGCTACTTCTAGGAAGCATCTTGGGACCAGCTACTAAGCAATAATACTGTCGTAATGTTTTTTCCTACTGACAGCCTTGCAGGGGATAAGGAAAGCCACTTTTCCAGAAGGAAATTGGGTCCTTTTCCAGAAGGAATTGGTATCAGTTTCTATACTCTAGCTTCTACAGTTGTAATTGTGCATAGTGAAATAATTTATTGAAAAATGGATCCTTCAAGTATACCACAGTGATGTGCAGAGCGTACCAACTGCCCTGGGAGGGCCTATGGGCAATAACAACCAGTTGACCAATCAACATAGTGCAAGTCATCCAAACCTGGAAGCCCACCAATACTGAGACTGTTCCATACCCCTAGATATTCCCCTTATGCAGCCCTTTAAGATCCCTGCCTCGAGATTGTTCAGAGTCTTTCTCCAGCCATCCGCCATGGTGGCAGGATAAAGGGCCCAAGCTAATGAGTTTAGCTTGCTAAATAGCTTCAATAAAAGACTCTTTACTTTTGCATAGAAAAACCCAAAAAACAAAAAAAAATGGATCCTTGATTGTGCTTTGTTTACTTCATGTTTAATAATTGATTGTAGGACATATTTCACTCACACTTTGGAAAAGATGGGCCATTTTTCCACATTACATGCAATTTCACATGGTACCAAGAGCAAACCTTAGGGTTGTCTCAACCACAGCAACTATTGGTGTGTGAATCCTGATGACTTATGGAGCTGCCAGGTTGGTCTTATTAAGAGCAGCACAGATACACTCTAGGTATCCTAGACACATTTGTTTCATTATGGCAAACGCAGATATTCAAGTCAATGTCATAAGTACCATAATTCAAACTGAGCAACAGTGATGGATTCTTGCCTGTTCCCATGTGCTGGGGCCTCAATGAACACTGTGTACACTGGTGATGACGGCAAAGGGACACTCTTCCATGCAGTGTATGCTGTCTGGATTCACAAACTCTCCAGCTGCATATCTGCAGCACTCCAGAAGCTTCCAAAGTCTCTTGTGGCCAGGCTCACCCCAAACCTCTATCCCTAGCAACTGGTTTGAGTGCCCAGGAAATATCACTGAACAAAAATACACAGTTTCCAGCTCATGTCAATGTGAGACAGACTAAACATACATAACAGTGAACTGTGGCCAGTGACATCATTAGTGATGAAAAAGGTCCAAGCTAGGGAGTAAATGTTTAAGTTAAAGATGTTTAAATCCTCGGAAAGCCCCTCCCATTTACAAAGCTGCCATCTCAGTTATTTAGTGGGAAAGCACTCATTGCTTTGGCCCTGCCTCTCCTACTCTGTGACTTGTTTTATAGTGTGTTAAGTGAGCCATAAAGGCCATGAACTCTCTGTTTCCATTTCCGCAGCTTCCAGCCATCAACTTTGATAGTGCCCAAAATAGCATGACGAAGTCTGAGACTGCCATCAAGGCAGGGGGCCACAGAGCTCGTGGTCAGTGGCATGAGTCCACAGAAGCAGTTGAACTTGAAAATTTTAGGTAAGAAATCTCCCTTGCTATCAGAAGCCTATTAAATAAGTTTGCTTATTTAAATTTATCACAGAAGTGAAAATTTAAAGTTTAATATTCTTGGTTTAGTAATTTTAGTTAACATGGGAAACGTTCCCACGCAGAGGAAAAAAGCCCAAGTAGCAGGTTGAATAGGCAGGCGTGGTGGACCTGTCCTGGGAGTGCAGGACACCTTGCTGACACAGTTGTCCACTAAGGAAGTAGCTTCAAGATGTTGACACGGGTAAGTCAGTCCCAAGCTTGGTCTTAGAGTTTGTCGTGTCTCCATCTTTCCAGTGATGAAAAAGCATAGAAGAATCTGTTGCTGTGAACAGATGGGATGGCTAAAGAAGACGTTAGTTGGGCTGGCTGGTGATATGACTCAGGGGGTAAAGGGGATTGCCACCAAACTTTACACACCGAGTTCAGTCCCACATTGTGGAAGGAGAGAACTGACTTCTATCCTATAACAGTACACACACGCGCACACACACATACACACTTGCACAGAGAGAGAGAGGAAGGGAAGTCAGGAGGGAGGGAGAGAGGGAGGGAGAGAGGGAGGGAGAGAGGAGAGAAATGTAATAAAAGTTTTAAACATGGTAGTTTAAAAATCTGAGTTTCTCAATTGCAGAGACAGTCTCTTGGCTTGAGCAAGGAGTGTCAGTCTGTGTTTCTTTCTGTTGTCTGTAGACCTTCTAGAAACATGCATTCTTGTGGGCCACTCCCTTTCTGGGAGCTGGCTCTCAGTGTTACAATGTGTTCAGGTCACTTGCTAGTAAATGCCATGTACATGATGAATGACATAAAGTTTAAGCATGGATACCGATGATCATTACTTGTTTGGTTTAGCTTGTTTCTCTGGCCTTTTATGAACTTGAACAGTTCAGAAAAATCACATGACATTTTCACTTATGAAAACTAAAATGTCTTGTTATATGTTCAGTTTACCAGTGGTCTTACCTAAGGAACCATTACAGCCCTGGCCTGATATCATAGCAATGTATAGTTGAGTGGTATAGAATGTCCTCTAAGGCAGATATAATGACATGTGGCATAGAACCTTTAAAGTGGTGTTCATGTAATTTCACTTTATTTGGTCTTAATCTTAAAATTAGTCATTTTATGTTTATTTAGTGTGCATTCATGTGTGTATATGCATGTGTGTAGGAAAACATGTAGGGGTTGGTTTCTTTCTTCCACCATCTGAGTTTCTGAGATTGACTGGAGTCCTCAGAGGTGGTGGCAAGTACCCTCACTCAATGCTCTAGCTCTTCAACCTCCAGTTTTATTATGCATGAAAATACACGTCACAGACACTGTAGTGGTTTGACCTGCTTGTGTAATATCTTACGTTCTCCAAGGTTTAAAGTAGAATGCTTGGACTAACTGTTGGACTGTAATATCAAAAAAAAAGAGGCTGAATTGGGAATATGAAAATTTTCTTAGACACAGATAACAACAATGTATCAGTTGTTGGTTGAAAAAATGTAAACTGCCAATAAATCCATATTAATTACAAATGATATCTGCTGACATACATGTGACATTTGCTGGTGTTAACAGCTGGAACAGTCAATGCAGGTGGGAGTGTGGGTGGACTGCGAATTTGAAACTCCCCCTGTGTAATGAACAAACACATAGAGAAAAGTTCCGGAAGTCGTTCCTCTCCCTTCTCCTCTTTCAATCTGAGCTGGAAGTGCCTAGATGGGATAATTGCATTAATGCGATAAAATGAAACACATATTTGAGTGTAACTTTTGAATTAAAATGTATCATTAGTGTGTGTGTGTGTGTGTGTGTGTGTGTGTGTGTGTGTGTGTGATCTCATGTGCTACAGTGCACATGTGGAGGCCAGAGGACAGCCTTGAGGAGCTGGTTCTCTCCTACTTTCATGTGGGTCCAAGAACAGAGCTGAGGTCACGGACTTGCTCAGCAGTCTCCTGCACTAGCTCAGCTCCTGATCATCATCTTTATTGTCAGCTTTACCGTTGAGTCCCTGTGTAACAGTTGTTGCTTGCCCTTGCTAATATGTTGACCTTAAGACTCAATATTTTGTCTCAATGTAGATGACCCTCGTTTTCATTGGTAAGTTTGTTAGTCCAAATAATATTTATTATAAATCATTTTCCTGTTTTTATTTTCATCTTAGTATAAACTACAAGAATGAGAGGAATTTCAGTAAACATCCACAGCATCAGTTATTTCAGGAGATCTTTACGGCTCTGGTGAGAAACAGACTCATATGCAGGTAAGGCTGTACCCCAAAGACAGACCTGTACCCAAGAAAGGCATGTTTCATAGATCCTGTATGGAGAATAGAGTAGCCTGCAAGGGAACACAATGCAAGTGCAGATTTAGGAACACACACACACACACAATTCATATTTATGGCTTCTTTTTCTTTATTGTTATATATGTGTGTGTGTTTGTATATAACACACACACACAAACACACACACTAACAACCAAAGAAAAAGAAAAAGAAGCCATAAATTTAAAGGAGAGCAGGGGGTGGGGTGGGGTGGTACATGGGAGGGTTTTGGAGGGAGGCAATGGGAGGAGGAAATAATGTAATTATTTTATAATCTCAAAAAAAGAAATTATTAAATATATATACATATATATGTAAAAAACAGAGCAAAGGCTATGTGAAAGTCGGTGGATGAGTTGCCACGGTGTGAGTTCACTAGAGTCACTTGTTGCATTCTGAATTTAGCTGAGTTTGGTGACAGGTAAGATGTGGGACAGCGTTGTTTTCTTTAATGTGCTTGTTTTGAGTTTGCATTCTCAAGGAAGATTTATTGTGTAGTCCGTATGAAAGAGACATTGATTAGCACTGTAGACAGCATGACAACACCGTTTGTGTTACACCTTTGCAGTTGACACAGTGACCAGTTAAACAGGCTCCCCCCAGCCTGGACTTGGAGGGAAAAAAGGGTGAGCATGCATCTGCAGTCCAAGCCTATGTCCTGTTGTGGGTGACTGATGGGGAATCTTGGACCACACACACTTACGTTCTGGAGAGATGATGCTAAGTCCCCTTCTTTTACAGCATGAGAAGGAACTTTGGATGTCGGGTTTTAAGAGCCATGACATTCTTGGGTGCTATAAATTTCTGTGTTCAGTTCCATTCTGAAATCAGAGTTAGATAAAGAGTGGATTAAGTGCTGAGGTCCCCTTTGTCCCTTACCTTGTATACTTTTGTTAAGATGGCATGATTCTCTTCTCTTGCCTTCTCTATAGAATAATTACATCTCAGAGCTCTTTTGGTGTGGTTTCCTTGCCCCTTCCTTTGTGAACTTCAGGGTTAATGTTGGATTGAAAGACATAGATTCAGCTCACTCAAATTGGTGAGCATCTCCCTTTTGCCAAGAAGGGATGAGGCAGCTGAGGAGAAGGAAGACGGGAGAGAATGCCAAGGTGAATGCTGTGTGGTCCCTTTTTGCCTCAGCAAAAACAATTACCCTTATTCTAATACAAGAGGAAACATAACTATTTGTAACTTACAGTCAGACACCTGAAGTCTGGATGAGATTGGTAGGTGGGAACTTCAGACATTGGCCTACTTCTGGTGGCAGACATGCCTACACATTTGAATATTAATTTCACTCTGATAGCATAATGAATTAGGAACTGGACTTAACTCCTGTTTCTTCTCTTCTTTTCTGCCCTGTTGTCAGTGTTGTTTCTCTCCCCTTTCATACTTCCCAGTGTGTTCTCACATGTTCAGACACCTCCTCTCTAGGTTCTTCTAAGACTGGCCTCCGGTTATTCCATTTTGCAGCTGAACTCATTAATCCAGAGCCAGGTAGAGCAAGCCTGCAAGTCTTTCACAGTAGTCCTAAAATGAAGTACTGCCTGGACCGGAGGCAGGCTGCTTTGGATGTGCGTCCACATGCAGAAACAAATTCTAACCTCCACTTTCTTTCTGCCCTAACATGACTTGTCAGTACTAGAGTGTGATGTTAGAAATAAATTTATCTCATCTGCCTGGTATCCAAGACCAAGTTGTCATGAGGTTGTGCAGGGAAGTAACAGTTGTCACAATATCAGCAGTTTCTTGACCACCTACATGACTCTTCTGTGCTCCTGCTTCTTGTTGGTCTGTGTTTCGCTGACATACAGCTTCTATATTATAATGTGATATAATTGTCTCATGAAATGAACTTGTACATGGAGCTGAAGACGGAGGGTTTCATGAGCTGGTAGAATCTGATGCACAGGCTGTGGTAGGATTGGGACACTGACATCTGAAGATGACAAGATGGAACCACAGGTGTTGTATTTGGAATAGTAAAGGTTGAGGAGACTGGGGGAATGATAAGTCGCTCTAATATACTTACAAAAAAGAATCTCATTATACTCTGAAAGCCAAAAGTGAGTTAAAGGATGCCAGGTCAGATAATATGAGAATTTTAATAAATGTAGTATGAAATTTCATCAAAAATACCAGCATACATTCTGTGTTTTGTATGGTTACTAAACTTGGTGTTATTTTCAAGTGAATTCATTTAGCTGACCTTTTCCTGGGGCCATTATTTTGGAATAATGAAGAAAGCTCCTTTTCCTTGCCAATGACTATGTAGAGGTGAGCAGAACCTGGATGTTCTGGTTTAGGTTATAAGGGACCTGTCCTACTCATTTGACAGGACTCTTCATCCAACTTCCCCCAAACGTATATTGTCATCCTTATATTACCATTTTGCATCATATTTCCCTAAGTATTTGCCACAAATTTGAAACACTTTGAAAATGAGACAGGAGCATGCTTTTATGGAGATATGCTTAAGATACATACTAGAGAGAATTTTGCGTGATATAATATATCTGGCTAACCCATGGCCATCTTTTTTTTAATTCAAACTTTTAATTTTTGAGAATTTTATATATGAGCACTGTATTTACATCATTTCCTTCCCTAGCCCCCAACTCTTCACGTGTCCTCTTCTACACCCTTTCAAGAAGTCCATGACCTCTTTTTCTATGATTATTATTCTTACACACATGTACACAGACATACACACATGTACACTCGCACAGGTGTGCACTCTACCCTTCTGTTACTCTTTTGTACATGTGTTTAGGGCTAACCACTTAGGGTTGGATAATCTCATCAGGGACTTTTCCCTTACAAAGACTAACTCTCCCTCTCTTATTAGAAATTGTCTTTTTATCCAGGCGGTGGTGGCACACACCTTTAATTCCAGCACTCGGGAGGCAGAGGCAGGTGGATTTCTGTGAGTTCAAGACCAGCCTGGTCTACAAGAGCTAGTTCCAGGAAATCCTGTCTCAAAAAAAAAAAAAAGAATGAAATTGGCTTTTTAAAGTTTATAAAGCTAAAATAATAGTCATAAGGAAATTGCTATAAAAAGTGTCCTAGGAATGCCCTGGATATCCCTAGCAAAGAAGACTAATGCTGTATTTGCTTAACAATAGGTCTTGTGTTGTCCAAGTTGACACTAGGACACAGTTCATGGTGCAAACGGCACTTGTCCTTTTGATCTTCTGGTCCTCTGCTTGGGCTATGTAGGCTCATCACAGAGTGAGAGGACCACATGCTAGCATACGGTGAGGGTCTCTTTATGGTAGACAGATGTTCATGGTGTGGTCTTACCTAACCATCCTGTAAAGAGGCCAGTGCTTTTCCTCTTGGTCACGGGGCGCAGTCTGTAGCTAGTCCAGAACTTTGCCCCAGGTCTCAGGCTTATGACTTTCTGCACTTAGAATCTGTTAATTCCCAGTTCTTCTCAGGAACCTTTTACTCCTTCTTGGTCTCTTTCTCTTGCTCTGTGGTGCCGGTGATTGAGTATGTGCCCCGCTAAGTCACACTCCAGCTTGACGGTCTCATGTTGATGCTACCCACTTCAGCCCTGTGCTCAAGAGGGTCAGAGTGATGTCCCCATTCCTCTCTTACTTCTGAGCTTCTGTCATGCTGCTGGTGGACTTGACGCATAGCATTCTGCTTGTCTGTGGGCCTAACTTGTGATCCCTCACGTAGCCCTCCCCAGTCCTCCTCATTCTCATGACCCCATGCTCTCTTCTCCCTTAGTGTACACTAACCTCCTGCAGACCAAAACCTGGCCTTTTACCTCTAAACTCTAGTCTTTGAAGCTGGTTTTTATTGCTACTGTCTTGAGACAAATATGCAGCTCTTCCTTATTTTTCACTGTTGGGAATGGAACCCAAAGGCTTTATATTTTCACTGCTGGGAATGGAACCCAAGGGCTTTATACAAGCTAGGCAAGTGCTCTATCACTGGGCTACATCCCAGCCCTTGGTTTGTTGAGTTAGGTCTTGCTGTGTATACATAGCCCAGGCTAGTCTCAAATTCATGATCCTCTGTCTTAGCCTCCCAAGTTACATACAGGTGTGTACCACTGTATACAGCTTTCTTAAACTGTCAGTTCCCATACAATGTTGTTTAAAGTTTTCCCTATACTTTAAATATGTTCACACACATACCTGATGCATGCATACTCACACACATGCATGAACATATGCACATGCAGACATGTACACACATGCACTCATACATATACATATGGCCACACACACATATACATGTATACATACATACACCCACACATATACGAGTATGTGAACACAAACACACTCACATGTGTGCACACACAATCACAAAAGTCATAACAGTTATGGAGATGGGTGGACTCTTAAGTAGGCCAAGCTGCCATGGGGTAGATGAAAGGGCTGAGATTCAAAGAGGGTCCCAGCAGAGTCTGGGCTGGCACTGTTGCCCCGTGTCTCACTCATTCCCGGTTTCTTTTGTGGTTTCATGAGCACACTTTTAACGACAGCTGATGAACTTAATTTGACACGGGGGCAAAGCATCTCTTTGGTGAGTGTGCTCTCTCTGTTGTGTGTTGTGGCTTCTCATCCCAGAGAAGCCTGACAAGCAGGAGGCTGAATTGCTCTGCCTTCCCAGGGAAGAACTGCTTGTCCTTGGACAACAGATCACCACGCAAAGCAACCATAACCTGGACAGGATCATCATATCCGTGCACTGCAATGTGTTTATAATCTACGTGAGCTATTGAGAGCTAGGCAATGAGTAACAGTCCCATGCCAGGATCCACAATTTCATGGCTAAAATGTCATCTCTCCTCCTGTCCACTCCCTGTTTCCTTTCTGTTCCCTCTCTGTCTCCTCTCCCATTTTCAGGGTCTCATTATGTAGCTCCGATTAACCTTGAACTCCCTATCGTGCCTCAGGTACAGTTGTGGGCCTTGGCCACCAGACCTGGTTTTACCAGGCTCTGCTCCTGCTTGTGCTGCATCTCCCCTGCTGGCCTTGCTCCTAGTGGCCTCCTTGCTCTCATGACTCCACCTCTGTTTCACATGTCAATGGGTAGCTTCTTCCGGCTTTGTCATTTCAAGGCATCGTTCCTAGAGCAGGACTTTGGATTTTTCTCTCCACCCATGAGGAAACTTCCGGTTTAGTTCCCACTGTCTCCTGACCTAACCCAGGCTGCTAGCTCTTCTGGCTTGTACAGTTGTTGTAGGCTGTCTGGGTTCCCTGCTTTTGTGTGGTTTTCCTTTACTCTGTTCTCAGCATAGCTTCTGGAAGGATCCTTTCAAAAGTTCAGTCAGCTCATGTGAGTCCTTTGCTTAAAGCCTTCCAGTACCTTCTTGGACTAAAAACTTCCGAAGGCCAGTTATCTATTCTGTAGGTCTCAAGCTCCACCTGCTGCCTTCTATCTGACCACAACTTCTGTTTTCTCTCTCTACTATTGTCTACACAAACCCCAGGGCCTGGGCTGCAGGCTTTCCTGCTCTTCTGACACAGGCTTGCACAAAGCTCCTGCCCTCCGCTCACGTAGAGCCAATCTTACAAGAGAGCCTCTCCTGACTGTCCCAAAATAGCACCCTGCCCTAATGAACCCTGGTCCTGCTTCTTCTTGGCTGTCACCACTTGACAGATCTGCAGTCTGGGCTTCCGTTCCATGTCCTTCAAAGGAGCCCCAGATGAGCACAGGCCCAGGCCTCGCCTTGCTGTACTCCCGAGACCAAGAACAGGGCTGATGGGACATAGTGATGAAGTACTACGTGGTGGTCAGTGAGAGGGAAGCCTAGTGTTTATACTTCCTGGCTGGCTGCTGTGGGCTAGGCTTCGTGGGTAATACAGGGGATGAGCTAGGAGCACAGAGAAGTGAGAGAGAAGTCAGCGAGGATTCAGGACAGTCCTCACTTATGTTCTTGTTTCTGCTAAGTTTTACATCAATTTTGATGTGAATTTACTTTTCCATTTACTCAGAAATAAAAGAGGGCCATTCTAAGAACGAGGATCTTTATTTTGGAAGGTTGACTTTGCTTTGGGTGTGCGTTAAGGAAAACAGTACCACACCATGAGAAAAGTGTTTATTCTGAGCTGAAGCATGCTATAGGCAGGTCTGGGCAATAGCCTCTCCAGATAGCCTCCCATGTGTTTTCAGCTGATGGCTGCCTGTCATTTGGAGCACTCATGTCACGAACTGGTTTCTTCATCTGTGAAAGAAACAGAAACTCTACCTACCTTCTCTCTTTTCAAACATTGCACATGCAGTGACATTTTCCTTTTTTTTTTTTTTTTTTTGGACACGGATGGCAGAAAGTGGTGTCTTGGGCAAGCAGGGGTGGGAGCTGAATAGACTGAGTATAAATAGCCCTGTGAAAGTGTGGCATCAGTTCAGTCACCAGAGAGGTTAAATACTTGCCCGCTCATGAATGTACTCCTGCGTGGCTGCCATGTTGAGACAGCCTCCAGGGAAGCACTGTCATTGCAGACACATGACTTTCCAGGGCTGCCTCCAAGGACCTATCTCCTGTTCCCATGGTAAATGTATCTGAAGAGTGCTTTCACCCGTCATGTGGAACCCAAGCAAAGGGAACCTACAGGACTGCGTCAGTCCAACGAAGACGCTGCTCTCCACCACTGCCTGGTTTCTGTGTAGTTCTCTGGCTACACTAAGTCCTGTGTTTTCTAGCTCCCCTGACTCTTGGTGAACAGAGGTGCATGCAATTCCCCACAGAGCTGGGACTGCATCCCTGCGGCCCTTCTGTCTTCCTTGGGGTTCTAGGACAGGAGCCAAGGATGGTCTCCTTCTGAGGTCATTCTCAAGGGGCAGAACCCAGGGACTCAGCCATCAGGAATCCTATTTACAATAGCAGGGTAATAGCTATGAGAAATATTAATAGCCTTGGGCTTCCGTCCCAACATTGCAAAGCAAAACAAAACAAATGTGATTTGCATGGAACAGAACTTTCAACTCTGACTATTCTAGGTCCCTTCATTTGGTTAGACTCCATTAAAAATGAAAATTAAAGTCAACATTGGAATTCTAGCTCATTTTCTTGAGGAGTAAGGAGAAAAACAGAAAAGACCTTTTAACATGTATTTCAATATGGAAAAACCCACAGGAGAGGCCCCAAGCTTTCCTGTGGAGACTGGCCATGGCTGACTGGAAGAATACTGTGCACATATTTGTAGCACAGATCCTGGCTCCCAGCCCCTGCCCTCCACCCCCACTGAAATGGTCTTGGCATTCGGTGGCATCAGGTTGTTGCAGCTGTTGCTAGCCACCATTCTTCCCCTGGAGGGGGGAGAGGGTCTTTGTGCTGCAAGTCTTTGCCCTGTACCCTCTTCAAAAGAAGAGTACTAGAGTTATCAGAGTTTTGCAGGTATTCTAAATTTTCCATATTTTCCCCAGTGGGGAGTCTGAAGTATGATGAGCCACAGTGCTGTGGCCAGGGTGGCCCCATTTGTGCTTGGCAAATGCTCTACACTGAGCTACAGCCAACACCTACTTAAAACCAACAACTGCTTTTTAATTTAACATACAAAGAAATTGGTTTTATTCTGTCATTGTCATACTTTGTTCAAATTTGTTCTTATTTTGAGACAGTCTCACTAAGTTCCCCCAGCTTGCTCTGTACCCAAGTTTATAATCCTCCTGTCTCCACTTCCCAAGTGCCTGGATGACAGGTCTGTGCTTGGAAAGTTCTGCTTTTCAGGCAGCCCAGGGGTTGGTTGAGTCCTGTTTTTATTTTTCTGGAGAAACTGGGCTGTGCCCCATGGCACAATGGTCACTGATAAAGTGCTTGCTCTAGAGAGGGCCATGCTGTTGCTGGTAGTTGAATGGGTAGCTGCCGGCAGCCTTGCTGGTTGTGGTAGAGTAGGCCCCATGAGTGGTGATTATGGGTCTTTCCTTCTGCATCTGTTTGCTGGGGGCATGGACTGCAGGGAGCATGCAAATACCCCAGGAATAAAACAATGGGTCAGTGCCCTGCCAGCCTCTGTCCACCCGATGGAAGGAATGGTAAGTCCTGTTGCCAGGGGATGGGGGATGCCACCACCACAGCTGTAACCCTGACTCATTCACTCGGCTTTTAAATGTGCATGTTTAGAGGAAGAGTTCAACTCCTCGGTGCTATAAAGAAGACAAGCCTGAATCTTTTCTCCAGAACACAAGAATAGATTTAGGACAGGCCAGGGCACAGCTGGCCTGGTTCTTCAGCTCAGGTAACTGGCAGGGGTGTTTACAGTATTGTGGCATTGCCTTTTGCAGAACCAGGTGAATGACATTGTTAGTTACTATTGTCTGAAGTACTTCCTGCTGTTTCCCCATTTCCCTTGGCTAAAGATGGAATTTCAGACCCTTTGTATTCCAGGCTTTTGTTAACTAGGACACCATGGATGCTTATTGTTGGACAAGCTTGCAGGGCGCTTTGAGGCATGTGTCACCAGGCTAGACTTGCCTTCTGTAGACAATGCCTGCCTATACTTGCAATAACCGGGCAGTGCTTAGCTGCCTTCTTCACCTCAGGAGGGTACCAGGCTGTGTAGTAACGTCTTCACTAAACCCGCTCTGTGGTTAGACAGTACAGGTCATGAGAGTCCTGGCTTGAAGAGCCACAGGAGGCTGCCACTGGGAAGCACTGTAGACCCTGGCTCATAGACAGCATGTCACCTGGCTGGAGGGGAACAAGGGGCTGTGTTAGGAGGCAGGCTTAGAGTCACATGAGAAGACAGATCCCGCAGAGCCTTGTGGGCAAGAGGACAGACGGTGAGACTTTCATTCTGAGGGGGTTGGGTGCTGTTGGGGATTTTGGGAAGCAAGGATGGTACCTTTAATGTTTAACCATATTTACTACCAGCCTTAGCTGAGCTCAAGATGGCTGAGTGATGAAGTGTGTGCTCTCTGAGGCCCACCAGGACTTGAAGAACAGGGACATTTGGTGGTAGTGGGGGGTTGTGGGGGTGGACACCCAGGGGAACTTCTGTTCTCTTCCTCTGTGATAACCAGAAAGGGGATGGGCTGTTGCACTTTAATTGTTGTTGCCCTGAGGAGGTCTCAGTGTAAGTTGGGCTGGCCTCAAACTCAGTATATATATAGCCAAGGGTGACCTTAAACTCTGGATCCTTCCGAGTCTAGGCTCTTCAGTGTCTGTCATCATGCCTGGCTCAGCAATGTGATGACAGGACAATGAAGGGTTGTTGTATGGCCAGGCTAGCCTTGACTCCTCCTCTTCAACCTCCAGAGTTCTGGAATCTTAAGTTCAAGGCCAGTCTGGGCTGTAGAGTTTCACTGGGATCTTAAGTTCAAGGCCAGTCTGGGCTGCAGAGTTTCCCTGGATCCCACAATGCTTTTTGTTCTCTCAGTGTATGCATGCGCTCTTTTCAAGTGGACTCTAGGTTGTTGGGACACAGACACTTCTTAAGCTGGACCTGAGTATTGGAGGTTTAGCTCTTTGTTTTGATGTAGGGACACCATAAAACATTACTAAGTTAGTGTGAGAGCTCAGACCCAGACTCGTTTGGAGGGTACTTTTACCTAAGAGATGAAGATTGTGTCTATGTGTTTTGTACTGGTGTGGGCCAAGAGTAAATGCCAAATCACAGTCCCTTACAGATGAAGCTGAGATGGGGCGCTGGCCTGGCTCCTTCACTGTGTTCACTTTCCTTCATAGCTGTGAGTTGTCTGTGAACTGTCTAAGCACCAACACATCCTCTTTTGTTTTCTTCTTTCAGAGAGTGGGTTAATCGAGCTCCATCCATTCATTTTCTGAGAGTGTTAATTTGCCTGAGGCTGCTAATGAGGGATCCATGTTATCAGGTTGGTTGGAAAAAGTAAAACTCTTCTTCACTTGCAACAAAAAAAATAGTTAAATTAAAAGCCCAGTGGGCTTTTCTTTGAGATGGACCATGTTTCCTTCACGAGTGAGGACCTTCCAGATGTGGCACACAGCTCACTGCTATTTGACGAGACTAGGAAGAGGTGATTTGCAGGCCAGTTCATCTGTGTGTTTATGCTTAATTTGTAAGGTTCAATATCCGAGTTCTGGTCTATGTGTTCACCCACCGCTGCTACTAAGCCTTGGAAGTCATTTCGAGTTCAAGGAGGTATACTGTAGTCCATACACCGAAGCATGTTTAAGGTTATGAGGATCACTAGGGCAAAGTTATCAGTGACAAGAGGGACACTTGGCATGTGACTCCAGAGGCAACCCATGGGAACAACAGGGCTCTAGCCTGTTAGCTGCCAAGAACCCATCCTTCCCGCCTCTCGGTTGGTAACTCTGAGCCCAAGAGAGCATTGGTCTCAGGGGAGGGGCCTGCACTGCAGTCAGACTCTTCCCCTTTCATCACTGGTTACTGGGTATGTTGCGTCTAGGTTACAGCCTCCTGCATTTTAATGTCCACAGGAATCAAAGGGGATCTCACAGATACAGATTCTTATTCAACAGGTGGAAACGGAGGCTCCTCATTCTACATTTCTTTTTAGAGATTAATTTTTATTTATGTGCATGTGTATGTGTCTGTTCTGTGTGTATGTTATATATCTCCCTGGGCCTACAGAGGCTAGAAGAGGATGTTTGGTTCCCTGGAACCAGAGGTGCAGGTGGTTTTGGAACCAAACTTTGGTCCTCTGCAAGAACAGCAAGTACTCTTAACTATTGAGCCCTTTCTCTATCCAAATTCTGCATTTCTAACACAGTTCTAGGAGATGTGAAGGCTGCTTAGCCATAGGACCATAGTTTGCCTGGAATAGGAAGAGTTTCGTGCTTTAGCCATGAGGCTACCCAAGGAATCTGACTGGAAGATTTCTAGGCTAGCTTGGGGCAGGCAGGGAGTTGCAGAGTGCTGCTGTTTGCCAACCTGACTGTGTTTCTGAAGCACCTAGAGGTGTTTCTGTAGGCAGGCAACAACAAAGCCAGTTCCTCAGTAACAGTGAGGCTGCTCTGGCTGCCCTGAACTGTGTGACAGGCCGTCATGGCGGCTTCTGTTCAACTATGGCAATATCTCAAGAGTGCCTTTTATTTGTACAGACTCTTGCTTTTGCTTTTTCTCCCGAAGGATCTTGTTTTATGCTGAGTCCTTCCGAACTACTAGGATGCTCACACCACCCAGGTTCTTATGGTAGATTGATTCTTACTCAAGCTACAATGTTCCCTTTCATTGCCCCAATCACCATCTTTCCCAAAGCTAGCATTAAAACAAAAAGTGTCTCTTTGCCTTGATGGAGTTTTCTGGGGCTCTTGATCACTGTATGTCTTTTCTTTTCCTTTAGAGTCTGCACACCTTTCCTCACATTTATCCTAAACCAGCTTTGTGCTGTTATATCCAACTGCATCCCTTTGCATGTGCTGTCAGGGCATCTAGCAAATGCTGTCCTGGTTGTCCACGGTCACGTAAGCCACTGTGTAGAGCTGGGTGACCCGTGCTTCTTAGAGCTGCCTGCTGCCAAGCTATGTGAGCGGCGTATGGAAGGAGGAGCATGTGTCTGGCTTTTCTTGTCAGGCCAGGGTGTGCTGATTGCTCCCCTTCCTCAGTGCTCACCCCACTTTCCCTCTGGTAAGTCTCCGTGTGGGTAAAAACACAGGATGTAGAATATTAAAGAGTATTCAAGGAGGAACAGCCCGTTCTCAGGCTTACCAGACATCAGCAAAAGTTTTACCTAGAATACCTTGTTTCCTGAGAAAATTGGTGGCTGTTGATTTGCTTTTAAAGTATTGCTTTTGATTGATTGGCAGAAGATAGATTGCATTCCCCTTTAAAGCAAAAAATGCAGTGGCTACTTTGTTTATGGTATTTTGATACACAGTGTCCCGGAGTCCCTGGTTGACACTTTCCATAGAAGGGGATTCTCCCGAGCCTCTGCTTCTGGCTTGCCTCCTGAACAGAGAGCGAATGCTCTGCCAGTTGTGTGATGCTCTGAGTTGCCAAGAATTCTTGGCCAAAGTCATGAGGCCATGCGGGGGATTACTAGCCCGTACTTGGGTGAATGTCAGCAAGCCTTTGCTGTCACTGCACTCTGCTTTCCTCTTGTGGAGTCCCTGTGCAGGTCTAGAGCCCAGCTCTGTCTCCACTCTTCATGCCCTGCCCTCCAGCTGTGCCCTTAGAAATCGCCTCCTGAGTTTTGCGGCAGAGCCTGGAGCCATGCTGGTGGGAGCGTTCTTCTCCTCTCCTCTTTGTTATTTGAAATATTTGGATTATTGTGCAGCTGTCTTTCCATCTTTCAGGAGAAATGTCCCTTCTGCTGGCCAGGTTTCATCTCTCGTCCACTTCTCTTCTTTCTTATGGTGCCTCTCCTTCTGTTTCCCCTTATGAAAATATCTTCTAGTTTTTGCTTTCATTCATTTTTTTCCTAAATCAGAATTTCCGTATTTAGACCAGATTGGCATGAGTTCTGGAGCACTGGGCTTAGAGTTATGTACTAGCTAATACCTGGATACCTGAAAGCATTATTTTCTTGATCCAGCTGTCTAGGTCTTCTCACATTTATGACTGCAAGTTTTCTTTTCAGTTTTTTAAAAAAATTCATTTCCATCCATCCATTCTCTCTCTCTCTCTCTCTCTCTCTCTCTCTCTCTCTCTCTCTCTCTCTCTCTCTCTCTCTCTCTCTCTGTGTGTGTCTTACATTACACGGAACACATGTGGCCGTCAGCGGGCAGCTTATGGGAAGCACTTCTCTCCATCCACCATGCGGGTCTCTGGGATGGAGCCCGGGTCACCAGGCTTGGCAGCGCGTGCCATCCGCCAGCCCCACACCTCCACTCCTCACAGCACCAGCTTCTCTACCCAGTCAGCTTCCTTCTGTCGAGTCAGTGTGCTGCACAGCTTCCACACTGAACTTCATGTACAAAGTGTGCTCTGGAAGACAGTGCTGTCAGGCTGCCCCACTTGACTTGGGGCTAACGTTCGGAGGCTTAGGCAGATGTCTACTGCAGCTTCTAACCACAGCAAAGACAGGAAAGATCAGAGAAGCCATTTTTTAAAGATATAGTTATTTAGAATTATTTGCGATTAGAGGATTTAAGTCGGGTTTTAAGGATAGGTGGAGTCCTCCACAGGATAAATGTTCATCTAAACTAATTATAGGCATCTCTAACACACTGCTTGTCAGCGGCAAGAGGAGATCTTAAAAGCCTCCAAGCTGTAGTTGCATTAGATGTGAGGGGTGATGTGAGGGATGATGGGAAGGGCGATGGGAGGGGTGAGGCGAGGTGTGGTGGGAAGGGTGATGGGGAGAAGGATGGGGGAAGGGGAGGGGTAATGGAAGAGGTGGTAGGAGGGGTGAGGGGAGGGGCGGTGGGAGGGGCGAGGAGAAGGGTCAGGGGAGGGGTGGTGGGAGGAGGTGAAGGGAGGAGTCAGGGGAGGGGAGGGGAGAGGGGAGGGACAAAGGGAGGGCTCAGGGGAGGGGCGGGGGAAGGGAGGGGATGGTTCTTGGCCTCATATTGGTAGGAGGGGACAACAGCCACAGTGTCTGGTAGTTTTGCTGCCCTGAAGAGCCCTCTCTCTCACCTAGCACCTGCGTGCTGTTTACTCCAGACTATTTTTAAATCTTGGCTTCTACAGAATGTTCTCTTCCTCGTTACCATCGTAGCCTGTAGCATCTGAGCGCCTCGCTTCACCGCCTATCATTTGCTGCTGCTGCTTTTTGTCCACAAGTTTGTATTTTTAGCCTTGGGCGTTTCCCAAGTCTACCTTTTTTTAATGGTAGGAAGAAGTACGGAGAATGGGAGATGGGAGGCAGGATGTAGTTCTGACCAGATGGTTTTTTGTTTATTATTTTATATCTCCACAAACACAATTTTATATTCATAGCAATTTATCTTAAGTACGAAATGACAAATACTAAATACTCTGTGTTTATATTAGAATGTAGAACCTAAAGAAACAATAATAAATTATACAACTTAGTAATGAAGCCACTTGTAAAATACGTACCTCTTGTCCTCTAAGATGCTCTATTGCTTTTATTTTATTAGGAAATACTCCATAAATTGGGTGGGATTGAAGACCTAGCTCAGGTAAGACTGCTTCTGTGAAAGCTGGTCTTGCGTTTACATTCTGTTCTTGGCAAGATGGACTTGGTGCCTGTCTCTCTCCAAATACTCTCCCTTAGCATGCCTCGGGATAGGGGTAAATGTAGTAGCTGAGGGATGCGGATGCCTCCCTGCTTGCCTTCAGAAGCAAGGAGGGGGATTGGCTTGTACTGATGCTGAAATCATGAGCTGCTAAAGCTCAAAGCAGCTCGTGCCTGTCTTGTGTCAGCTGCCTGCCAGGCAAAAGCAGATGGGTTGATAACTGGCCCTGAGACATGACACTCACAGGCACGGAGAGATGGAAGATATTTTGTTCTTCTAATTGGCCTCATTTACCCAGCCTGTTGAAATAAAAAAAGAAGTGCTGTAAAAGGTTACATTTTTAATTTGTAGCGTTTTTAAATAAATCAAAAAACTTTAAAAGTCAAATGTCTTTAGTTAATGATGACAAAAAAGACTATTGTCATCATGATGTGCATTGCCCGTCCAGTTCATTTACCATGGTGTGGAGAGGTACAAAGTCATTAGTACATTTTTCCCACATAAAATACCCACTCTTCATTAAGTGTTCCTAAGTTGATAATGTAAGGAATGATCCTGATTTTAGGTTTTTCTGCATGGAAAAATATTTTATAACAAATCATTCTATTACCCTCATGTCTTATAGTATCTTAAATTATATTACGATTAATGATAGACAGGTGACTATATGTGCTAAGCAACTTGTTGCTCAGCGAATTGGGCTCCATAAGAGAGCAAAATAGTGTCTGGGCATGTCGTTGAGTGGGAATGGCCCAGTCTCACAAAATCTGTGGTAAGAAAGGTGACTTAGGTTTTTTTTTTTTTTTTTTTTTTTTTTTGGTTTTTATGAGACAGGGTTTCTCTGTATTGTTTTGGAGCCTGTCGGTCCAGCTCGGGCTTGAACTCACAGAGATCCACCTGCCTCTGCCTCCCGAGTGCTGGGATTAAAGGCGTGTGCCACCACAGCTGGGCTGTGATTTAGTTTTATTAGTTTCAGTTTTTATCTTTTCAGGATAAGAAAGTTAGGCCAGCATTCCACTACCCAGCCCGTACGTTCACTTTTTTTTTTTTTTTAACTTTTGGGCTGGACTCACTGTGAAGCCGACTCTGCTTCAAACTTGTAGTCTTCTTGCCTCCACCCCAGTAGCTAAATAGCAGGTATATACACACCCTGATCTTTTGATTTTTTTCTGCCTGTTTATTCTTATATGAGCTGCAATCTCACCATGTAACACAGGCTATACTAGAACTCTTGAACGATCTGCTTCAGCTGCTTGAAGTTGAGATTACAGTCATGTGTTACTTTACCAGCAAAAAGTAATTCATGATAAACTCACGGCCCTGAAAAACTCATTCTGAGTGACTAATGGGGCAAGCCTAGTGGAAATGTTACGGTTTGAAGATGAAGTTCCCCCATAGCTGATTCTTGATGCCCAGCTGGTGGAGCTATGTTGGGAGCCACTGGGAACCTTGAGAAGCAGGGACTAGCTGCAAGAAGTGGCTACTGACCTGTCATGGAAACGTTCCTGCCTCTGGTCCCTTCCTGCCATTCTTTCTGCCGCCGTTACTTGAGCATCTTTTGTCTGTCTCACCTCCTCTCAGGGTTTGTCACAGCTATGAAAACCAAACACAGTCAGATTAACCCTGAATCCTGGGAAGGTGATCCATGATCAGCTCTCTAAAAAATGTAACTGGAGATTCACCTCATTGAGTGAAGTGAACTTCCATGTGCTGCAAAGGACCCTTATCACTTATCTACGGCTCCTGCTCTCGTACTGTGTGCTTCTCTGAGCCTGTTTCTTAGTTATTGACTAGCAAATATTGTTAATTTTTCTATGTATACTGGTTAAATATAATTTGGGATACTATAAAATGTTAATGTACATGGTAGGTTATAAACATTTTACTGCAAGGTAAGTCAAAGAATCAAATTATCATGTGTATCTTACATTAATCACACCATAAGCTTAACTCAGTTACAAGTCATTTTGGGGTGTTAGGAAAAATGGTGAAACACTAAGCTCAATATCCTGTGCTTGAGCACAGCAGGCCCAGGAGTTCTGCACAGTAGTAGGTTACTCTCTTGTGCCATCTGGGGCTCATCGGAAGCCCCGCACTCTTGTTTCCTGTCTGCTCTTGGTAGCAGCTTTCTGACTGACTTATTGGGTTCGTCTTTCCAACAGTACATGGAGATTGTGGCCAACGAGTACCTCGGCTATGCAGAGGAGCAGCACTGTGTGGACAAGTTGGTCAACATGACGTGTAAGCATTGTTGCCAGGGACACAGCTAATGGCGTGGACTCGCTGGGAGTGGAGCATGATGTTTACAGCAGGAAAAAGGACACCTGTTGTTCTCACTGGTGTTTCACTCACATGGGGTGTGCGTTTGTCCCAGAGGATGGATTCGGTAACATGGGTCCCCATGGCTTCCCGTGACAACTCTTCCTGTGGCAAGCATATTTGTTTCAGGAAAGGTGGTTTCCATATGAGCAATATCTAGTGGAGGGTTCTACCTTTCAGCTTCTGTGAAAATGTCAGACTTTAGTTTTTTGCTCCTGAAATTTGGGTAATAATTATACCTAGGTCATCCAGAGCCTGAAAAAGAAAACTGAGACCCTCACCTGGATACAGTGTGGAAGCTGTGGCCTGGGTATGGGGCATCTTAGTCATCCATGTGGCTTTCTTAGAAGCTTGACGAGTTTCTCTTCCATTACTTCCCCTCCACCTGCCAGTCCCTGCATCGCCACATTCCCCTTTCCTCTCTCCCCCCTCAGGTGTGGCAAGCCACAGGCTTCCTGCTGCTCAGGGTGCCTGCTCAAGCCTTTTGTCTTTGTATGGACAGACTGGTTTCCCATGCTTACTGGCTGGGTACACACTGGCTCTCCTGTGCAGGGGAGAGGCCAGGACCAGGAAGTTATTGAGGGCAGCTCTCTTGGTACAGGAACTTTCCCAGGTTTTATGTCTGGCTGACCTTCCTTCTCTTCCTGAGTTGGGATATTTGCGAGCAGCATCTCTCTCCCTCCCGCCCCTCCCCTCTCTGGTTTTTTGAGACAGGGTTTCTCTGTGTAGCTTTGGAGTCTGTCCTGGCACTCTGTAGACCAGGTAGGCCTCTAACTCACAGAGATCTGTCTGCCTCTGCCTCCTGAGTGCTGGGATTAAAGGCGCGCCACCAGCACCCGGCTGAGCAGCATCTATTAAGTACATCCCTTGAACTTGTAGAAGGTCCAGGAGCCTCTTCAATTGTAAATATGAGGGAGTCTGCTTTTGTGATACTTTCTCATTTATATTACTATTTGAGACTGGGGTAGTTCCTAGAATTGAAGCGCACAGTCCTGTCCTCCACTGCTCCTTTTGCGGGTCTGCATTTCCATTTTTCCTTTCTCTACTTCCCCTGGACATTTGAGGAACCCAGGTTTCATGACTACTGCCTCTTTCTTTCTTTTTTTTTTTTTTTGTTTTTTGTTTTTTTGTTTTTTGTTTTTTTCGAGACAGGGTTTCTCTGTATTGTCTTGGAGGCTGTTCTGGAACTCGCTTTGTGGACCAGGATGGCCTCGAACTCACAGACATCCACCTGCCTCTGCCTCCCGAGTGCTGGGATTAAAAGCGTGCGCCACCAACACTGGGCTCGACTACTGCCTCTTTCAATCTCTGGATCTCCCTTTGAGTTATTTCTTTCTTCAATAGATATTTTTCAAAAACTTGCTGCTGTGAAGGACCAAAGAGAATGGGTTACTGCAAGCGGAGCCCACAAGGTGAGTGGACCCCCAAAAAGCTCATTCTTGAGTTCTGCATGACCCTGTGTGGCATCAGTTCACATACCCAAGTCCTGAGCCTGATGGTTAAGCTACATATCATTATAAGTCATAACACTGGTCACCCAACCTAAAATGATGGTTTCTCTACTTATCTCCTTATGATCCTTATGAACATAAGGAACAAACTACTGGTACAGTTTATGAAGGATTTTATTTTTCTATCCATTTAATGCCACCTGAGTGCATTACTTTAATGTTGTAAACAGAAAGAAGTTGTTTATTTCAAATAAAATGAAAGTCATCAAATAAAAGACATATATATTTTTACTATAAACAAAACCCATCTGTCTTGTAGGGTTTTATTAGTTGGAATCATACAAAATCACCATTGTCTGTAAGCCAGAGATAATTGAATATAGGAATTTCATGTGACACAGACTCACAAAGTGATATAGTATTTCAAGCATAAGGATCAAGTATTTATCTTAAGGGGCAGGAGATGTGGTCCAGAGAAAGAAATTTATTCAAGATGCCTGGGGTCCTGGGCTCTGCATTCCCAGAAACACCACACACATGCATGCACATGTGCACCTTAAAATAAATGAATGCAAGTTTACTTGTAAGAATATGTTTATTCCACTATTTAGCAGGCAACTGGGCAGGGCAGATTTCAATAACCTGTTGAGTCATCCTATCCAGGAGGCCACTGTAAATATCAAAGTACAACTGCCTAAAATACGTTAACATACACTATCTGTGGTCTAGGGGGTGAGTCTAGGCGATGCATAGCAGTTTTCACTTCAGCAGATGATGTCAGTGATGTTGCTTAGCTCTGACAGAAAAGCCACATTAAGTTATTAAGTTGGCTTGGCAAAAATTTTGAAAATGTGGTTTCTAGGATTGAAGTTTGTGAAACACATCAGGTGATGGTGGGGATGCAGAAGGACTTAGAGAAAGATAGCTTCAAAGGAAGGAAGTAGGAAGGGTATCTGTATCATGGAAGCAAAGCTCTATCCCGGAAGTCACTTCACAGCCTGCAGCTCTGATGGCAGCATGCTTGGCAAGAAAGTTTTTTATTTTTTGGAGGGGATGGCATCTGTGCTCTGAAAATTTAGGAGGAAGAGAATTTACATTAACGAGGATTCAGGGAACACATTATTCTCTAAGGAAAGCCATGAGATATTAAGCAATTTGGTCCTAGTTTAAAAAAAATTATGTTTTGCGATGAATCTCAACCTGTGGGTCCTGATCTCCCTGGGGCGGGGTGGGGGTGAGGCTGATGAACAACTCTTTTACAGGGGTCACATATCAGATATCCTTCATGTCATATATTTATACTATGATTCGTAAAAGAATGTTATGAAGTAGCAATGAAATAGTTTTATGGTTGGGTCACTACAACACGAGGAACTGTGCTTATAAGGGTCTCAGCATTCGGAAGATTAAGAACCACTGGTTTATAAAGACACTCAATACCACTTTAGTGGGTAACATTTGGAAGAAAACAAACAAGTAATTACAAAATCATATATATGTATGTATATACTTCTACTTGTATGCATATATATATTTTTAATAGAGTGAAAGAGAAGAATCCAGAACAAAAATAGCAAAAGGTCAGTGTCCATGATCTCTAGGAGCAGTGCACCATGCAAGATGCTTTTAGGATCTCTGCAATTGTGCTTTTCCTTCCATTTTTCAGACATTGGTGAATTTACTTGGTGCCCGAGACACTAACGTCCTGTTGGGTACTCTTCTGGCACTGGCTAGCTTAGCAGAGAGGTAAGTGCGTCTTGGTGCAGTCCAGTCCTCAGTGTGGCTGCTGTGGCAGCGTAGGTGGGAGATGCAGAGCACAGGCTGACCCATTGCCTGCTCAGTTAAGGCACATGGGGGGGAACGGCGTATGGTGAAGAGGTACCTGGTTAGAAAGTTGAAGTCAGATGGGAAAGCTCCCCTCTCTGACCTATGGCGGGGAGATCTGGAAGTCAGATGGGAAAGCTCCCCTCTCTGACCTATGGCGGGGAGATCTGGAAGTCAGATGGGAAAGCTCCCCTCTCTGACCTATGGCGGGTCACCCCATTTGCTCTCAGGCCTCATCTGCTATTTGATGGAGCATCACTGGAGCTTTCCCTCCCTTTGGCTTGGGAACAACTGCATCCCTATGCCGGTCGGATCCCCACACCTTCTTTCTTCATTCTCACCTGTACGCTCCCTGGAAGCCCATCCTTCTATAGTGACATTATTTTAAATGAAACAGCTATATACTTTCATGTCAGTGAGCAGGTGATTATGTTTTTTTTTTTTGTGAACAGTATGTGATTCTTTGCTTCTCTGTGTTCCCACCTCACAACTCCTTACAAGGTGTCTAAGTTACTTTTCTATTGCTGTAATAGAAGGAATGATTTATTGGGGCTTGAAGTTTCAGAGTGTGCATCCTTGACTGTTATGGCAGGAAGCATGGCAGCAGGTAGGCAGGCATTGTACTGGAGTAGTAGCTGAGAACTTACATCTTGAGACACAACCATGATACAGAATGAGCTAACTGAGGATTGCTTGAGTCTTTTGATTCAAAACCTGCCCTCACTGACAGGCAACATCTGATCCTTCCCAAACAGTTCCATAACCTAGGGCCCAATTATTCAAACCTATGTGCCTATGAGGGCCATTCTCAAACCAGCACATAAAGTAATCTGACCACTAGGATAGAAAAATGTGACCATAATAGAATATCTTTGTAGGAACTACTAATAATTTTGCATTTGTAGTCCAGAGTGTAGGGAGAAGATCAGTGAACTCAACATAGTAGAAAATCTCTTGATGATTCTGCATGAATATGACTTACTCTCCAAAAGGTAGGATTTCCTCCTGATGAAAATGCTTCCACAGGGGAACATGGAACTTGTAGTAATTTAAATCTATGACCTTTGGCCACGGTCACTCAAATTTCTCTCTCTCTCTCTCTCTCTCTCTCTCTCTCTCTCTCTCTCTCTCTCTCTCTCTCGTAATCTTAGATTACTGTGTGGAATAGGTGGAGTTGCAAAAGCCATTGTGTTTAAGGCAAGTGAGATAATGTGTTGACTCACGTTGTGGTCTCATTATAACTCAAAACAGAATTTGGAACAAAATGGATTCCTTTCTGCTTCTGCTGTGATTGCTCTAAAGGAAGATGTGCAGATGGCTATTGGACATGTTTAGGCTTGTACATCTACATTGTTTGGCATTAAACCACAATTTTCTTAAAAGCCAAGAGTATAGAAATCCTAAGAATTCGGGATCTGATCCTTGCAGTGATTTTTTTAATATAAAAAATCCTTTCAAAGCTGACTTAACAGTGTTTTACAAGAGTGTTGGTATAGACAAGAGTCTATGCTTTCACACTTGATGATTTGAACTCACTCAAGAGACAAGGTGCCAGACCCTACCTCAGCTGAGTAAGGTCAGAGTGTTCAGCATGAGGTAGGGGCAGGCTGGCAGAACTCCCTGGGTCCTTGCAGGAAGATGCAATCACCAAGGCTGAGCACAGAGTAGAGATTCCTGATCAGAGTGAAGGGAGGTAGGAGGAAATATCTCAGCAAAGATGGTACTGAATCCTAGAGGTAGACAGTGGAATGTGAGAAGAATACACTGGCAGGGACTGCTTGGCCAAAGGAGGCAAAGTGTCTGAAACTAGCACAGTTAATACATCAAAAAATGTGGCTAATTCTGACAGGTTATCAGGACGTTCCTTAAGCCCTCCTGAATCCCTTTTATCTGAAAAAAAACTATTTTCATCACGCTTATCTAGGTTGTTAGGATGGGTTTTGCATAGTAAGACGGTGTGGATTTTCACATGAACGTTATGGGAACTCCCAGACTTTCAGCACAACACATTTATATTCCAATAGCACACGTGAAAGCAGGATAGCAGCAGAATACACGCACATGACGTGCTTAGAATAGAGAATGTTTCTCTTGTAGGTAGCTTGAGAAGATGTGTGACTGCCCCAGTCAGGGGCAGTGTGACATCACACCAGACAGGGCAGTGTGACATCATACCAGACAAGGGCAGTGTGATATCACACTAGATGGGGCAGTGTGACATTACACCAGTCAGGGGCAGTGTGATGGCATTGTGGGGTAGAACATCATACCAGACAGGGCAGTTTGATGATGATGTGAGATGAAACAGTATTGTAGACATTATCAGCTTAACATAAAAGTAGGAGAGGTAGCCACCATGGACCCATGTTGTATGAGTGGGAGTAAAATGGAGAGAGAGAGAGAGAGAGAGAGAGAGAGAGAGAGAGAGAGAGAGAGAGAGAGAGAGAGAGAGAGAGAGAGAGAGAGAGAGAGAACCCCTGCTTTACAACTTACCCCAGGGTATAGGGAGCTTGTTTGTAGCTAAAGGCAGTTAGAACATGAAGAATTCCTGTTAGGACAGTAGGACATGGGGACAAAACCAGCAGGAAGTTGGTCAAGACAGACCACAGGGGAGGTGGATCAGCTCTACAGTGGCAGCCCATGACTCAGCAGAGAGGCGCCTGGCAGAGGGTCACGCCCCTCGCTCATGATCAAGGAGCACAGGGTGTAAGAGTAGTGGCTCAAGTAATGGATTCTGTGCCCCAGTGGAGGCTCCAGTCATGTGATGTCACTGACGCGGGACTGCTGTGATTCTCACCCATGCTCCCATCGCCCCAGACTTACAGCCGAGCTCCTGCGATTGCTGTGCGCTGAGCCGCAGGTGAAGGAGCAGGTGAAACTCTATGAGGGCATCCCCATCCTGCTCAGTCTGCTCCACTCTGACCACCTGAAGCTGCTGTGGAGCGTTGTTTGGATTCTGGTCCAAGTGTGTGAGGACCCAGAGACCAGCGTGGAAATCCGTATCTGGGGTGGTATCAAGCAGCTCCTTCATATTTTACGAGGGTAAGTGGGGGCTTTGGTCTTATGAATTAGTAGAATATTAGACTAGCTCTTTTTTGTTTATTTGTTGTGTTTTTAGACAGGTCTCTCTCCATAGGCCTGGTTATCCTGGAAACCACTATGTAGGCCAGGTTGGCCTTGAACTCAGAAAGATTCACCTACCTCTGCCTTCTAAGCACTGGGATAAAAGGTATATGCTTCCTGTTTTAGTCTGTGTTCTATTGCTGTGAAGAGACACCATGACCACAGTAACTTTTTTTATATTTTTAAATTTAAATTTAAATTAGAAACAAGGTTGCTTCACAAGTCAGTTCCAGGTCCCTCTCCATTTCCCTCCCCTCCTCCCGTATCCTCCTTCCAACCCCCCAATATCCCCTCATTTCCCCAGGGAGGGTGAGGCCCTCCATGGGGGTGTCCATAGACTGTCATTTCATCCAGGGCAGGGCCTAGACCCTCCCCCAAGAGTTCAGGGTGAGAGTGCATCTCACATTGTTGGATGGGAGTCCAAAATCCATTTGTATAACCGGGATAACACAGTAACTCTTATAAAGGAGAACATGTAAGTGTTGCTGGCTTACAGTTCCGAGGCAGGAAGCATGCAGGCATGCAGGCATACATGGTGCCGGAGAAGGAGCTGAGAGTTCTACATCTGATCAACATACAACAGGAAGAGAGAGAGAGACATTGGACCTGGCTTGAGCATTTGAAACTCCAAAGCCAATAAGGGCATATGTCCTAATCCTTTCAAATACTGCCACTCCTTATGAGCCTATGCAGGCCATTTTCATTCACACCACTACACCTACTTTAGCCTGACTCCTGACACCAGATATCGCGGTAATATTAAACCACACAAAGTAGGGATGTCCTATGATATTTTATTGAGGGAGAAGTCACTTGCATGAGAAGCCAAGAATGCTGAGAACCAAAGGTCCACACACTGCTCTGTGGGATGCAACTGGAACCCAAAGAGAGAGCGTATCTCCCTCCGAGTTCTTTTATCCCCCATACATTCTATGTACCGTGACCACACCCAAACGGGCGTAGTCAGTGCTACAGGTACTTAAGAACTGTCCGTACACATGATCATGAAAGGAAATGGTTTGTTAGAAAAGTTTTAAATTGAAGTTTCTTGATATATATTTCATTGTAACTATATTTTCTGAATTAAATATCTTGAAGTATTGAATAATAATACATAGTGGGACCATCTTTGGGGATATTCTGTTACTTTATATTATTACAGAGCATAATTCAGCCCCAAGGGTGCCAAGTCAGAGTCACGGGCAGATATTTCTGCTCAAAAGAGACGGGCGTGCTTGTGCTCCCTGGTCCGTCAATAGAGTTTATTCTGTGCTCTCAGGCAGAGTGCCTTATCCATTTTAACATCACCAGAGATTATCAAATCACTATGACTAAGACTTCATACATATGATTCCTTTATGGATTTTCTCTGTGGAAATATTTCAGAGCATTAGAAGAGACTGCAGATATATGAACAATAGTTTTAATAATGATTTCTGTGATTGTGAAGACAAAGAGAAAGTGTATAGCCTACTGACAATCTCCTAGCTTTTATAAAATCCTCAACTACTTGGATGTGTAGATTATAAATATTTCACCAGTCCTGTGACATAATAGGCTATTCCCTTTGTCAGAATAATTGCAAAGTTGTTTTGTTTATGCTTGTAGGGTGAAGATGATGGGTGTAGCTGTCCTTGGATAGTTGCTATTTTCATTTTTTTAAGTTTTATTTTCTTAATGATAACTGGCATTATGTAATAGTTAAGTATTATTAAAAGTTAATTATAACACAAGGTGTTTTTCCCTCATTAGCTCAAATCATAGGTTTTATATAATTGATAGATGGACGTTGTTTCATGTCTAAAGACTCATGTTCCAACCCTATCCATGAATGGTGTTAGAAAACATTTCCTTGAGAAGGTGATACACATAAACTCTTACTGGATGTTTAAAGTAGCTAAGGTGATTTGGAAGGGCTTGTTCCCAGCTGGGTAAGTACATTGTGCCCGGGGCCTATGCCTGCACCTGGCCACCAGGACAGGTGTTACAGAGCTGCTGCCTGGTGCCTGGTGACTGGCAGCCCTAGTGTTAACAGACTGTTGCAGGGTGGTTTTCAGGAAACCCGTTTAGGCCTGTACACCTGCAGCCTCCAACAGCAGGCACATTGCTGTCAGGCTCAGTGATCACCACACAGAGTTCCCAGATAATTATGACCGCAGATAAGACCATCAACAGAACTGCTCCTTGTCCCAGCTCAGGACAGAAAGAACAGAATGACCCAGATAGCATGGAAGGGAAGACAGGACATTTTGCTCGTGTCATGTGTGGGAACGTACAGACCCAAACAGCTGATGTCACGAGAAATAAATAACTAAAGTAACCATATAAACCAAAGGGAACAAAACAGATAACAGACAGAGCATCTGCGGTGGGAAACCGTGCACCAGGAACCAGCAGACCAACTGCAGAGCACGGATTTGTGAGCTGTGGCTGAAGATGAGTAATTGAGCTGTAGAAGGGAGGAAGTCACACAGCCAAGATGGGAAGTGAGTGATGAGTGATGAGCATAGCCCCGCAGACTAACCTAGAGACCAGAACAGCCCTGGATGTAGTGAAATAGAGGGAGAGCCTTATAAAGATGCTCTGAGGCAGAGGAGAGGACAGAGAACAGAGACAAATGGCTGATAAGGCCAGGGGAAGACAGGGCTTCAAGCCATGCCCATGGAGAGAGACTCCTGTGAAGCCAAAGAGGAAACAGCTGAAGATTGAGCAGGGTTGGTTTTCACTAAGAGGAACTCAGAGGAATCCCGGCTGAGATGCAGCCACGCAGACTGCAGTGCCCCAAGAGTTCAGCCCTGGGGAGTGCCAGGGAAGGCTGGGCAGGATCTCTCATCTCACACCGTACAGCACACTTGGTTCTAGCAGAGGAAGCAATTACAAACATAGAAAACCTCACTACCTGGTGCTCATTTCTTTACTAGTTTGTTTATTATACAAAATGCAGGCTTGTTATGAGATTTTCATTGTGTTTGAAGCACAGAAGAAGGTGAACAAATGGCCTGAGCAGTAACTCTCCTTTTACAGAGACAGGAATTTTGTTTCTGACCGTTCCTCCATCGGAAGCCTGTCCAGTGCGAATGCCGCAGGCCGAATCCAGCAACTGCATTTATCAGAAGACCTAAGTCCTGGGGAAATACAGGAAAATACTGTCTCTCTCCAAGCAGGTATCTGTCTTATACCATGGTGTTTTGTCTCTTAGTTCTGCATTCTTTATTGTGTTGGTATTCCTTGTTATAGCATTAGTATAGTGGTGTTGAGTGTACCCAATTGCAGGATCCCAAATGTGTAACAGTGAATCCACATGGATGCCAGAGCCTTCTTGGAATTGGTGTTGGACTGCCAAGCTAATGATGCAACAGATGAGGTCACTGAATTAAAGCACATAGCTTGATCTGGGCCAGAACCATGCTCCCTACAGTTTTCTTGATCTGAGACTATCCCACTTAATACACACATCTACTCACAAGGGGCCAGGGAGTCTCCTTCCCTAGACCAGTTTCAAGAAGAAGGAAGAGATGACAACTGCGTGGGCTTCTCAAGGGAAGTGAAAGCTGAGCTACCCTTTTCCTGGTAGCGCTTCCTCCAGCTTGCACCTGTCAAGGTGCCTGAGCTTTGGGCGTGTGGGTGCTTCAGGGAAGTCTGGACTCTGGAGCAGCCTGGAGAGGACCAGAGGATGCTGGAGGCGAGTGGAACTTGGGGAGGCTCAGAGAAAGGAATACGTGTGACAGAGGACGAGCATTGAAAGGCAATGGGCACAAGACAGGCTTGCTTTGCTCGCAGCGGTTTCCTTCTGGAGAATCGAAGCATAGTTTGATCAGAGACATTTGAGGGCAGAGAACTAGATCTTCCTTCCCTTTGAAGTCTGTGTGCGCTTGGAAAGGCCTCTCCCTCTCACAGGCTGGGCTAGCCTGCCTGTTTAAAGGTTCACCATAGATGGGACCAGCTGGTCCCAGAACCTTGTAGGTGGCACCAGTGGGTTCCAGAGCTCCTGGCATTGTGTGTGTGTTCTCAGAGAGGTGCAATTGGTGATCACAATGGGACTTATAGGGACAGTGTCTAGAGAGGGACTTAAGAGGCTTGGGGGCCAGAATTCCCCAGGTGATCAGCTCGGCAGGGTACCTAGGGCTGTACATGGACACAGTGTTCTGGAGCTGTATTCATCATGTGGGTTTATTCGACATCACTCCTTTCACATCTCAGTAAGAAAGGGAAGCCATTAGTGGAGTCTAGGTATTTCCTTCACCTAGATGGATGGCCATGTGTCCTTAGCTGTGTTTCTCAAGACCCCCAGGCTTCAGCTTTGCTCATGGGAAATATTGTTGTGAGTATACAGTGATGTGTGGAAGTTGTCAGCATAACATAAGGTGGCGGCTCAGTAGGAGGAACGTGTCTCAGTTACAATGCCACCAGAGGCAGCTGGGGAGCAGGAAGGGCACAGCTCAGGACTCTGGGCCGCTGATGACTGACAGTCTGTCACCCTCTCCGAAACTGCACAACATAGCGTCATCACCAGGATTTGGGGACTGTACTGAAAGCAGTGATTCATTTACCCAGCTGTTTATTGTATTCCTGGTAAATGCTGGGCACGTGGTGGGTCCTGGGGTTGCTGACAGGTTTAACTGCTTCCTTTCCAGCTTGCTGCGCTGCCCTGACAGAGCTGGCACTCAATGACGCCAACGCCCACCAAGTGGTTCAGGTAAGAACATTATGACCACGCCCCCCTTGGGTTGCAGTTTGTAATCCAGCAAATGGGTTTGAGGACCCATCATGTAACTAACAAATGTTTTAACATTTCTTCTTTAGCTTATAGAATTCCGGTTTATATTTTCATCCTAAGTTAGCTCAGTTGAATTATGCTCTAGTTTGTTTTCCTGTTGTGATAAAGCATTGACCGGAAGCAGCTTCAGAGAGGTAGGGTCTGTTTGACATACAATTCCAGCTAACAGTCCATTAGTGGGGAAGTCAGGGCAGGAACTCAAGGCAGGAACCTAGAGGCAAGAAAGGAAGCAGAGACCGTGGAAGAGTTCTGCCTACTGGCTTGATCCCTTTGGTGTGTGCTCAGCCGACTTCTTATACACACAGAACCTACCCTGGGGTGACAATGCCCACAGGGAGCTGGACCCACCTAAATTAATTAGCAATCAAGAACATGTACCATGCACACTCAGTCACATGCTAGGCCGACTGAGGCAATGCCCCCACCGAGACTCCCTCAGGTAACTCTGGGCTGTGTCAAGTGGATAGCTGAAGGTAAGTAGAACTTAGGATGAACCGATGTTGGTAACTTTTCCCTGCCTTACTACCATCCGTTTCATTTGGGTTCTTGCCGGGTATCTCCCCCATGTGGAGTTTTACAGAGGAGAAGACTAATAGCTGTGACTTCGCCTTCAGAATGCATGGTGGTGGTGGGGATGACATAAAGCCCATAGGCAGCATGGCTCATGGGAAAGCGGTGGGAAGAGCAGCAGACTGGGTACAGCTCCTGCTGTCACGACTTGCTGGGTTCACTCCCAGAGGAAACAAAACTCATTCCACCTCTCACGAGTGTACCCATGAATAAAACAGAGCTATAAAATAATCTGCAGGGCAGTTACAGCTATAGGGGTCAGGTTCACACAGTCATTGATAGCTGGCAGAAAGTCACAACAGGCTTTTTTCAGCTCCATGCGTATTGTCTGAGCAAGTCTAAAACAGTGCTGCTTCCACAATTCCCCTAGCTTCCTTAAAGTTTGTCCTTTTTGGGGTCATTTTCCCTTTTCTTAAAATACTTATTTAACAATGATTAATCTCTGAGTACTCATTGTCTAATTATCAAAGGCAGAAAGGGAGGAAGTATCTATGTTTTATAGTTTGGATGGGGTATTTTGGAATGTGTATGCACCTGTGTTTTCATGTGTCTGTTCATTCATGTGTGTGGGTGCACATGCGTGTGTGTGGAGGTCAGAGGTAGCATTCATCAGATATCCACTTTTTTAAAAATTAAGATTAAAAAACGATGCATGCACAAGTCTGCCTGCACAGGGTGCCTGCAGGGCCCAGAGGGGCATAGCATCTCCTGGAGTTGGAGTTACAGGTGGTTAAGCCACTGTTTTTGGTGCCAGGAACCAAACTCTGGTCGTCTGCAGGAGCCGTGTGTGCTCTCCTATACCAAACTGTCTTTGCATCACCCAGCCTTGTTTCTGAGACGGGGTGATTCATTGGCACCGGACCCACTGATGCAGCAAGACTGGCTGGCCGGTGGTCTGCAGGCAGCCTCCGCTGTCAGTGATTGAGGGGGATCTCTGCCCTTTCAGCACTGGGATTACAAGTGAGCCACCTCACCCAGTTTAATACTTCATGATTGTGGCGCAAGTACATCACTGACTGCACTATCGCTGCAGTCCTGTAGTTTGCATATGAAGATGTTTGAATTCCTTTATCCTGTTCCTTCATATTCTCCCACTCTTTGTTTTCATAATATTTAAATCACTTCACATTTGTGCAGCTTATTATATAACGTTATTATATAATTGCACCTTGAAAAAAATTAAGCTTGTTTGTAGTCTTTGGCATTTAAAAGTATCCCGTTGACAGTGTTAGTATTGTCCTTACTATCTGTTTATGCTCCTTCTGAATGCTTCTCTCTGTGTAGGATTGCTACTGGTTGCTGATCCATGGCCTCTTTATTTTTCCAGGAAAATGGTGTATATACAATAGCAAAATTAATTTTACCAAACAAACAAAAGAATGCAGCAAAAACTAATCTACTGCAGGTAACAAGCCTGTCTTTTGCTCTTTATCTCAAGGTACTGAAATCGGGGGAGCCTTTAATAAGATAGTGTGTACTTTTTAGGATTGTGTAGGTTAGCATGAGTGACTGTGCTTAGTGATAAGTCAGCATGAAAAACAGTGACTCCAAACAGCATGAAAGGCCCAAAAACAGCTCCTTCATGTGGGTGACTTAAGTGGCTTATTGAAGGTTAGTGACTGAGGGGATAGGTATGTTTAGGTATGTTTAGCCTTGCTTAGACATTGTAAAACACACGTGTGTACCAGAACATCACGCTTCCCCATAATTGTGTGTAATTTCCATGTTTTTATCTATGTGTTCAAAAGGAAGGTCATTTTAAAAAGGGCTTTACTATTGTCATCTAGCATAATGGCCAGATTTTGCAGAGTCCCTTGGTACTACTGTGTGCAGCCAGGCGGGGGCTTTGGAGAGGACATAGGAAAGCTCCGCTTTCTCTAGTGCATCCAGGCACACAGCTCAGCCAGAGCTGTCATGAGCATGAGCCTTGCTAAGTCAAGAGGTTTTAAAACTCCAGATAGAAAGGGTGCCAAGGAGTACAGCTCTCCAAGCTCTCGTCTCCCCGGTTTCCCAGGCTCCTTCATGTCCCTTTGTTCTCTGTCAGACTCTGGGCAGCTTCGTTTGGGCCTTCTATGTTCAGATCATCAATTTTATGAAATTATTCCAGGTTTCCAGAAGACCACAATCACTGCACTTGTGGTCTGGGTCACAAGTGTACACAATCACCCCACTGGTGGTCTGGGTCACAGTGCACCCCCTCCCTCCTGCACCCCTTGCCCCCGCTGTCCTAGTCAGGGTTTCTATTACTGTGGTGAAACACCACGACCAAAAGCAGATTGGGAAGGAAAGGGGTCAGCACAGGAACCTGAAGGCAGGAGCTGATGCAGAGGCCCTGGAGGGGTGCTGCTTACTGACTTGCTCAGCCTGTTTCCTCATAGAACCCAGTACCACCAGCCCAGAGATGGCCCCGCCCGCAATGGGCTGGACCCTCCTCTATCCATCACTGATGAAGGAAATACCGCATAGCTGGATGCTATGGAGGCATTTTCCCTCTTTTCAGATGCTTTTAGCTTCGGTCAAGCTGACGTAAAACTAACCAGGGCACCCCCCATTTCTTTTCTCCCTTATGTTCTCTCCTCCACTCCTCTTCGTTCTTATCCCTCCCCCTCTTCCTTTCTCCCCTGAAGAATATCAGAACTTTTCTTTCTATGTGAAAATATATAACTACAGTTATTTGTTTGTGTGTGATCCTGTGTGTAGGCAGTCATGCTATGGAGCATGTTTTGATGTCTGAGAACAGTTTGTGGGCATTAGTTCTCTTCTTCCACCATGTGGGCCCCGGGGATCAAACTCAGGTCATTAGGACTGACAGAAAATGCCTTTGCCCACTGAGCCACCTTGCTGGACCCGGAAAACTGTTTTTCTCAGTTAAAGCTTTGCAAGCCTGCCACATTTGAATCCAGTGTGCCTGTCACTGTTTTTATACGCAATGGTTTCTAGTGGTTAGAAACTGTGTGAACAGGGAGCGTGAACCCCAAGTTCCTGGAAGTCTTTGGTTTTATGGCTTCCTTGGCAGAGGAGTGTTATTTCTTATCTCTCTGCCCATTTTGTACTTTCTAGAAGGAAGCAATGGCCAGTGTGGGATAAACAGGGCCACATCCCCAGCATCAGTCCTGCAGCCAGCGGAGGGACTCCAGGACTGGTGGCAGTTTTCCTATTCGTGAGCTTGGTCTGCGGCTTAGGGTAGCCACTCACAGGGAGCCTCTGTAATGTCTACCCTGGTAATTCTTACTGGAAATGTTTTAATTTGTTGTGCTGCCCTGTAAGAGTCGTCTCTTTCATTTCCTAGTGTTATGCTTTCCGAGCCCTGAGGTTTCTCTTCAGTATGGAAAGGAACAGGCCGCTCTTTAAAAGGTATGAGCTTGAAGGGGCATGGGTGGTTAGTGAGCTAAGGCACTTGTGAGGCCAGTCTGGGTTCACACTCTTTACTCTTAGGAGCTGTTCGAAGAGAATGGCTTCATGCAAGTCATGCCTCTCCAGACTTCACATGCCTCTCCAGACTTCTTAGGGACCATGCAAAGAGAATAGCTTCATGCAAACCATGCCTCTCTAGTCTTCTTAGACTCCACAGATTTAACAGCTTTGGGAGCTCCCTCACAGGCCCTGTGACAGCTAGCTGCATTGGTACAACGCCTCGCAAACCATGTAACTGCTGGGGCTTTGGTTTTAATTAACGATATTAACATCTCGAATGGATAGAATCAAAAACATACTTGTTTTTGACCACTGAGAAATTCCAAAGTTAGTCCGGTCATTTCCCCTTTACCAACCAAGAGTTTGTTTAGGTGCCCTTGATAGGCTGGGAACCAGGGCTGGGCTGGAGGTGAGTTGGTGAGCGTGGTGGAAAAGCGGCCTTAGGAAGCACACACATTACACATACAGGACATGCACACCATTTGGGCAAAACCCATATACATAGTCTTACCAGAATTTTATTGATGAGGGAAGTCTGGATGTCATATCAAATCCTCTGCTGAGAAGTGTGGTTTGCTTTATATTATTTCTTTATTTTCCTATGATATTTGAATTTAGGGGAAAAGAAAGGAAAATGTTAATTATAAACTGTCATTTCATAGCCCAAAACCATTCATTTTAATGAATTCAAACATTTTAAGAGGCCATTGAAGCCAGTACTTTGTAAATGCATAATTATCTCTATTTTTATTACCAGCACTCTATTTTCATAAAACATTTAAATTGGGGCTGGAGAGATGACTCAGAGGTTAAGAACACTAGCTACTCTTCCAGAGGTCCTGAGTTCAATTCCCAGCAACCACATGGTGGCTCACAACCATCTATAATGAGATCTTGTGCCATCTTCTGGCTGGCAGAATGCCGTATACATAATAAATAAATCTCATAAATTATATTTAAAAATTAAGAGTATAATTATATCCTAGGGTTAAGTTTAGAACTGCAACAAATGACTTCATGTAAGCGCTAAGTACTTCATAAATACCCAACAAATATCCTTTTTGAATATACTTAGTGTCTGTACCCCCAGATAGATTACAAACAAGGCCATGGTATAATCTGTTTCTGTCCCCTTGTCTTTTATTGCCATAGAAGCAAATAATGAGAGAGGCACCCCTCTCACATTCTAAGTGTGAGGTACGGTGTAGGTGACTACAGCACGGTGTTGTTCAGTGGGTCTTTAGAACATGGCTCTTCCTCTTGGCTTACTCTGCAGGAAATGCAGCTATCATGTGAATTTGCATACTAAGCCAGAGCGCAGTACTCTGCTCATAACCTAATGGGTTAAGCTTGTTGGTAGGGTTGGTTGGTGAGTGAGTCACATCCAAAAGGGAAGCAAAGGCTCACTGTCCCCAAGCTCCACATTAAGTGTGTGTATGTGTGTGTGTGTTTCCATGTTTCCCTGTAGACTTTTCCCCACCGACCTGTTTGAGATCTTCATTGACATAGGACATTATGTTCGAGATATCAGTGCATATGAGGACTTGGTATCACAGTTGAATTTACTACTGGTAAGTCTTGAGCTTTAAAAATTTGGGCAGGCTGCTCTGTGGTCAGGATAAAAATAACAGCAGCCCATTTCCCTGTTATGACTTGGTTAGGAAGATGAACTGAAGCAAATTGCTGAGAACATTGAAAGCATCAATCAGAAGAAAGCACCACTCAAGTACATAGGAGACTACGCTGTGTTGGACCATCTGGGAAGTGGAGCTTTTGGCTGTGTTTATAAGGTGATTCTGCCCTGGAAAAGCTCTCATCTTTCCAAACAAACTTGATCACACTTGTCTATCCCTCATTTTAATTGGAGTCCTTGTCATTGAAAACTAGAGAATAAATAGAAATAAAAATGAGAATGGTTGTTTTTGGCCAACAGGCAGTGATAATGCCGTGGATGTTGCCTTGGCTCTCAGCTCTAATAAGTGCTCACTGATTGAGGTAGGGCACCTCCAACCTGTCACAGGAAAATAGTCAAAACAGCTTGTCGCAGTGCATGACATAACTTATAAATTTACAACAGTGTTTCTGTGTCTGCCCAGTGAAATCCTACTGAGTACTGTGGGTAGGGCAGACCAGAAGATAACAGATCTGAGCTCAGCTTAGTATAAATGCAATTAGTAACCTTCCTAATGCTGTGACACTTTGATACAGTTCCTCATGTTGTGGTGACCCTGCCTTAGAGTTTTTATTGCTGTGAAGAGACACCATGACCATGGCAGCACCTTTTAAAAACTTTTTATGTTTAATCTTTTAATCTTTTTCTTCTTTTTTTATTTAATTTAAATTAGAAACAAGTTTGCTTCACATGTCAATCCTAGCTTCCCTCCTTCCCCTCCTCTCCCACATCCTTTAACCCTCCCCCAACCCCTCCTCCAATCCCCACTTCACTCTTCAAGGAGGGTGAGGCCCTTCATGGGGGATCTCGAAAGTCTGTTATATGATCTGGGGCAGAGCCTAGTCCCTCCCCCATGTGTCCAGATGGAGACAGCATCCCTCCACATGAAATGGGCTCCCAAAATCCATCTGGATGACAGGGATAAATGCTGACCTATTGCCTAAGGTCCCAAAGAATGTTGAGGCCTCCTCACTGACACCCACATTCAGGGGGTCTGGATCAGTCCCATGCTGGCCTCTCAGCTATCAGTCTGGGGTCTATGAGCTCCCCCTTGTTCAGGTCAGCTGTTTCTATGGGTTTTACCCACCAAGTATTAACCCCTTTGCTCATCACTCCTCCGTCTCTGCAACTGGGTTCCAGGAGTTCAGTTCAGTGTTTAGCTGTGGGTGTCTGCCTCTGCTTCCTTCAGCCACTGGATGAAGGCTCTCGGATGGCATACAAGGAAGTCCTCAATCACATTATTGGGGAAGGGCATTTAAGGTAGCCTCTCCACTATTGGTTAGATTGCCAGCTGGCGTCATCCTTGTAGGCCTCTGGACATCTCACTAGTGCCAGATCTCTCTTCAAACCTATAATGGCTCCTTCTATTATGGTATCTCTCATCCTTCTCTCTTCTATTCTTCCCCCGACTCAACTTTCCTGCTCCCCCATGGCCTCTTCTTCCCTTCCCTTCACCCCCTCTCTTTCTCCCAGCTTCCTCACCCCTCTCCCTGTGTGCCCAATCGCCTCAGAAGATTCTGTCCTATTCCCCTTCTCTGGGTTACCATGCATATCTCTCTTAGGGTCCTCCCTGTTTTCCAGACTCTCCGGCTGTGGTATTGTAGGCTGGCACTCCCCTGTTTCATGTCTAAAATCCATGTATGAGTGAGTACATACCATGCTTGTCTTTTTGCGACTGGGTTACCTCACTCAGGATGGTTTCTTCTAGTGCCATCCATTCGTGGCAGCTCTTATAAAGGAAAATTATTTAATTGGGGGCTTACATTTTCAGAGGTTTAGTCCATTGTCATCATGGTGTGACATGGCAGCTTACAGACAGACATGGTGCTGGAGAAGGAGCTGAGAGCTCTACATCTTGATCACCAGGCAACAGGAAGTGGTCTGAACTAGTGTAGCTTGAGAAAGGACACCTCAAAGCCCACCGGCACAGTGACACACTTTCTCTGATAAGACCATAGCTACTTCAGCAAGGCCACATCTACTCCAACAAAGCCACACCTACTAACATTTCCACTCTCTTTGGGAGCTATTTTCTTTCAAACCACAACAAACCTCAACCATAAATTCATCTCATTCCTACTCAACAGTTGCAATTTTGCTACTGTTACATCACTGAATTGTAATGTAAATATCTGATATGCAGGATATCACAACCTCCATGAAAGGGTTATTCAACTGAGACCTGTTGAGCTAGAATCTCATACTATGGCTTGGTTAACCATGTGATTTTGTTATTCTAGTTAATCTGTTTTATTCTTGACCCTCAGTTCTCATCAGAGTAATGAAATTGATTTTGTTTCCTTATTTTAGGTTAGAAAACGTAGCGGTCAAAATCTCTTAGCAATGAAGGAGGTCAATTTACATAACCCAGCGTTTGGGAAGGATAAGAAAGACCGAGACAGCAGTGTGAAGAACATAGTTTCTGAATTAACAATAATTAAGGAGCAGGTAAATATTTGTCTTATTTCTGAGATGCCTCTGACATAAATGTCATTGAGGCTGAGCTCTTGTGCTGTTCTTCTCCTTGCTGTTTATAAACCATTCTGTATGAAATGCTGGACATCAGTGCAGTGATATTTTTACCAGTGTTTTTCCTAAAGCTTGTTATCGAGCCATGGAAACTCTCTTAGGAGTTTATAGCAGGGCCTTGGATGCAAGACAATTGAGCTTACAAGGCAGAATGCACCATGTATGAGAAACCCTTCTGTCCTCATCATGATCATGCACAGTGCTCAGCTACCGAGGTTCCGCATAGGCATGCTCTGAAGAATTCCCAGCTTCGGTACCTGGTTACCAAGTTACTGAATGGGAGTATGAGAAAGATCCTCAGCTTCAATCAAGTAAAGCCAAACTGCTGACACCCCAGCCCCCAAGGCTGGCTTATTATATGTAGAATGTGGGTTTCGTCTCCTTGTCTCCTTTTTCTTTTCTTGACCAGCCTTGTGTAGTCCAGGCTGCTCTGAAGCTTGCTGTGCGGCCAAGGGTGACCTTGACCCCCTCCTTCTGGCTCCCAGTCCTAATTGCTGGGATTAAAGGTGTATGCTACTATCCTCAGGGTTATTTCTATTAGCACCCGCAATATATGCTGGTTTGAGAGAAGAATTCAATTAGCTGTGATCATGAAGAATTATTTGAGAAGAAAAGAACACATATCAAAAAAGAAATGGGGATTCTTTTTGCGATCCAAGAACAAGCTGTTTTCTTTTTCAGCCTTCCTTATTTGTGCATTTTCTTTTTTTAAGTCCTGGAAAGCTTTCAGTCTCACTGATCTCTGTCCTTTTCAGTCACATTTGCTTGATGTCAGGACTGGAGCATTAACAGTGCCATTGCGGTCCTTAGTTATTGAAACCTCCAGTTTGACATCACTAAGTTACAGTAAAATGCATCACCAGTAACATTGTAACTGACTTTTATGCTTTAATGGATTAGATTTTAAGAAGCTATCCCATCCTTTCACAAAGTCATCCTGTTCTGTACACAAGCTTGGAAAATGACTTTGATCTGAGTCCATCTGACGCCTGATCAGGTCCCAAAGCTTGATCTACCCTTGCTTGTGAGCTAGGGTCAGAATATCATTCTGTTTGCTGCCTGCTCCCATGTGGTTTAAAAGCTGGAGTCGCCTTCGAGCTGACGAGGGTGCTAATCTAAGTGCTTTTCCTAAGAAAAAGTGTCCAGAAGAGGCCAATGAGGATGCCTCTGCTCAGGCTTGGGGGTCACTCAAGATTGTCCACTTGTTCCCTCACTGTGGGAACAAGCTACTTGAGCCTAAAAGGAGTAAGTCATGAAAGAAAGTCAATAGAAACATGGCTGGGAAGGGAGACCCTGTTTGTTAAGAGATGACAGTGGTCCTGCAGTAACACAGAGGCTCCAAACTACCAGGCTTATAGAAGTGGTCTCATATGGCAGTGGGTCACTTTTCTTACACACAATAGTTCCAACAGAGTGGGACAAGTTGGTGTTTTCCCTGCTTCAAGTATCTCCTGTGACACATTCAGGTCCCAGTGGGAAGACACTCCCATGGTTAAAGGCTCCCCTTGCACACCCAGGCTGCAGGTTCTCTTTGCATTTACAGGCTGCAGGCTCCCCTTACACTCACAGGCTGCAGGTTCTCTTTGCACTCACAGGCTGCAGGTTCTCTTTGCACTCACAGGCTGCAGGTTCTCTTTGCACTCACAGGCTGCAGGTTCTCTTTGCACTCACAGGCTGCAGGTTCTCTTTGCACACTCAGGCTGCAGGCTCCCCTTGCACACCCAGGCTGCAGGTTCTCTTTGCACTCACAGGCTGCAGGCTCCCCTTACACTCACAGGCTGCAGGCTCCCTTTGCACTCATAGGCTGCAAGCCTGCTCCTGGCTGTGGGAGAGGCTGACAGATGTCATCTGTTCCTGGGATGTCGTATCCAGCATCTCTGCTGCTACTGATGTAAGTTGCCTGGGTCCACGGATAGCAGCTAGCCGGGCCCTGCTCAAAGTGTACACAGCGGTGTAAAACATTTGGACACATTGTAAATAAATCGTTGCAGACATTTTACATTAGTTTTATTTTTTTTAGACAGGCTTTCCCTCCACTGGGGCAGAACATGCTAAGTGGGCCATTTGGTTCTAAAAGACTCTACTCTGAGTTAGGAAGTGCGGCAGAGCCATTAACTTAAAAGCAACAAAATCTTAAATGGTAGCTGACAGTCTGAGACATAACTACAGCTTAAAAACACCTAAGTGGTCATGCCAAAAGCTTGTGTTTTGAAACAGTCTGACAAATGTTTATTATTTGTTTTCTTTCAGCTTTATCATCCCAACATTGTACGTTATTATAAAACATTTTTGGAAAGTAAGTATGAATTGTTTCTAGTTGAGGAAACATATCTTTATTATTTATATTATATTGTCAGAAAACAAACTCCTTCAGCTATTTTCTTTATGCTTTCGTTATTAACACACATCCCTTTCTTAGGCAGTGAAATTTCATAAGTTATGATCTGAAAATAGTTAAAATACTTTGATACCCACCGTAGAGAAACACAGTGTAAACAAACCAAAATATTTAAATTATTGTACAAAAAATTGAACTGGATGTAATCAAGAAAAAAGGAACCAAATGGTGATGGCAAGCTTACTCACAGCAGCTTACCCTGCAGCCAAGCCAGTGGTGTTCCCACCCCAAGTAAAATGGAGTGGATTTCGCCTTCCAGATTTTTCAGTAGGTACCACCAGGTGGCGCCAGAGTCCGGGGTGAGCCCACAAGTGGGTTGTTTGTTGCCAATGGAATGGAAAATGCAGTCAAAACTTTAAGACAAAGCCAAACTCAGCCACTTGCTTGCAAGTGAAGTAGGTATTGCAACTTAATGATCTGTAACATAAAATCCTCAAGTATTTCTATGTGAAGCAAGATTGATGACCATACAGGCCTTTGTCCCTCACTCCCTGCTGCTTTACCAGTGCTGATACTAACCCTTTTAATCTCAGCACTCCTGAGGCAGAGGCAGGAGGATCTGTGTGAGTTTGTGGCCAGCCTGGTCTACATAGTTCCAAGATAGCTAGGACTGCACAGACACACCTTGTCCCAAAAGAAAACATGAAGTGTTCTGCATGCTGGGGCATTTGTTATGGTTTTACCCATTTCTGTTCTCTAGATGATCGAGAGTCTCTCCTGCCTCCTTAACCATTGGTTCTTAACATTGGGATAATTTCCTGTAACTGAGGAGATTATTAGCTTCTGACCGATACTGAAGAGATAAATACAAGTCATTAAAGAAACAAAATGAAACTATTTGTGTTCGGGCATCTGTACTGGCCTGCCCTTGGGGTTCTGACAGGATGCACCCTCAAGCTACAGCCACTAAGAGCACCACCTGTGCACATTCACTGTGTTCCCTTTTAAAAGGGCTTTTCCCATCTCCTGCCTTTGTCTGTCTGTCTGTCTGTCTGTCTGCCTGTCTGTCTGTCTGTCTCTGTGTTTCTTCTTCATTGCCTATCTCCCCCCCTCCCCGTCTGCCTTTCTCTTCTCTTTTGCCACTCTTGTCCCCAGAGGCCACTCTCTGCTCTCCCCTCCCACCCCCCCCCATCAATTTCCCCAATGAAAAACCTTTCCACCCAAGTTTTGTCACATGGTATCTTTCTCTCACACTGCTTTTTAAGATAACAACAAAAATACTTTAAAAAAATACACAGCTTCTAAAATTAATTGGTGATAACTTAAAATATGTAAAACATGGTGTATCAGGCTATAAATTACAGTGGTGACTATAATATGAGGAAATGAAAATGACGCTGTAGCTGAGCGCAGTGCAGACAATACATATTCTTGGCATTGTGAAGCTTTGGGACTATAAATGTCTGCAAGAGAGACCTTAAATAACAGGATTTATCGATGCTGTGCATTCCCATGAGACCCAACAGAAAGAATAGTATGCATGCATTCATGCTGCAATGTAAGTGTGGAGACATCAACTGCGTGGCCATACAGGAGGTGCCAGTCCTTTGCAGATAAACTGAGTGTGTGTGTATTTTGTGTACATGCAACAGTCAGAAAAGACTCGTCTCATACTATTGTTAATAGTTCAAATTGAATCTAGATGAAGGTATATAAAACAACAACAACAACAACAAAATAAACTCAAATAGCAGTAGCTAACAAAATCTTTGTAAACCATAAAACAGAGGCAGAGTCCAGGTCTCTCCATTCAAGAGAGGTCTAACAATGGTTTCTTTCATGGGCTGTGTTTTAATCTGTGTCATGGTAATATCATAGCGTGATCCTAGGCTAAGTGTCTATGACATAATCTATGTGACTGTAGGAAATGCAGTTTATAATGCAGTTTTTTTAATGTCTTATTTGATCTGAGGTCCTAAGAGGCAGGGCCTGTGACTTGGGACAGTTGGCTTATTGTCTTTGGCACCTTCCAGCCATTCCTTGTGATTGATGACAATTGCCAATGTAAATGTAAGTGGGGAAAGTCTGGAGCCAAAGGACGTTGCTCCTGGGCTGTGATGGCCCCAAGACTGCTCTGTGTCCTGCCAGGGCTCAGTGACTGCTACCACTGGTTTGCCGCGTGCTCTTTGAAAATCATGGGCTTGGATTTGTGACGCCTTTCCAGGGTGCTGCATTGACTTAACATTTCTGTGACCCCTTTGTGCGTCTGCATAGATGACAGATTGTATATCGTCATGGAACTTATAGAAGGAGCCCCACTTGCAGAGCACTGTAGCTCTCTGAAGGAAAAACAGCAGCATTTCACGGAAGAAAGACTGTGGAGAATATTTATACAGGTACGCCCTTCATTGAAACTTTCATTCCACAGCAAGGTTCTGAGCTGCCTTAGAGATGCACCGTTGTTCATGTGTACAGTGGGGAATCATATTTGTTTTCATTCTTACTTCAAGCTCTGCTTAGCTCTTCGGTACCTGCACAAGGAGAAGAGGATTGTCCACAGAGATCTGACGCCGAACAACATTATGCTGGGAGATAAGGACAAGGTGACAGTTAGTAAGTATAAACGTCATTTGACTGAAGGATTTCTGAATATTAGTTGAGAGTAGAACCCTACTTCAGAGCCGTGCCATTGGTCAGTAGAACTCCACAGTAGAACAGTGGAGTAGGCATCTGCCACTTGACCCTTTGGATAACTGGAATGTAGCCTGTGTGACTGAGGAAATGGCCTTTTAGATTTTAATGACATTTGGCTGGGTGTAGGGATCCACACCTGTATTCCAGCCCTTGGAAGGTAGAGGCATATGGAGCCAGAGTTCAAGGCCAGCTTCAGGCAAATAATAATTCTGAGGCTAGCCTATGCCCTTTATCAAAAAGCAAAAACAAAACAGAGAGAAAATGCTTTTTTTTAAAAAATTTTAATTGCGTTCCACATCCATGAGAGGACAGTGTTCACACAATATTAAATAGTGGCAATACCATTCTAAATGACTGATTTGCTCATATGAGAGAATGCAGTCTTTGTAGATGCTCCCTGTTTAATTTAATTCCTCAGTTAGTGCTTCTGGAGTTTTTTTCTTTCTAGCTCATAAACAGAAGCTCTGTTGATGAGCACATTAAGCATGTTGCTTCTGGATCATTTTATCAGTCTGTCTTTCTGGTGACAGACTTCCAGGGCTGCAAAAGTACAGCCATTTGTATACTTCCACATCATTTTGTTTGTTTGTTTTTGGTTTTATTTTGGTGTTTTCACCTGTAGTAGAAAATCTAATAGGAGGTCAAATTTCTTTGATTAAGACAGGTCATCGTGGTGTACATCTTTAATCCCAGTACTAGGTAGGCAAAGGCAGGTGGATTTATATTTATATATATATATATATATATATATAATTTTTTAATTTAAATTTAAATTAGAAACAAGGTTGCTTCACATGTCAATTCCAGGTCCCTCTCCATTTCCCTTCCTCCCGTGCCCTCCCACCAACCCCCCAATATCCCCTCATTTCCCCAGGGAGGGTGAGGCCCTCCATGGGGGTATCCATAGTCTGTCATTTCATCCAGGGCAGGGCCTAGACCCTCCCCCAAGAGTTCAGGATGACAGTGCATATCTCATTGTTGGATGGGAGTCCAAAGTCCACTTGTATAACCTGGATGAATACTGATCTACTACCCAAGGCTCAATAGATTACCTAGGCCTCCTTACTGACACCCACATTCAGGGGGTCTTGATCAGTCCCATGCTGGATTCCCAGGCATCAGCCTGGGATTCAAGAGCTAACCCTTGTTAGGTCAGCTGTTTCTGGGAGTTAAAGGAGCCCAGTCTTAATGCCTTTGGTCATCAGTCTTCCCTCTCTGTCACTGGATTTCTTGAGTTCAGCTCAGTGCTTAGCTGTGGGAGTCTGCCTCTGCTTCCATCAGCCACTGAATGAAAGTTCTGTTTCCCAGACTCTCTGGCCATGGGATTGTAGGCTGATACTCCCTAGATCTATGTCTAAAATCCATATATGAGAGAGCACATGCCATGTTTCTCTTTTTGTGACTGGGTTACCTCGCTCAGGATGGTTTCTTCTAGTGCCATCAATTTGCCTGCAAATCTCAGGATTCCATTGTTTTTTTCTGCTGAATAGTACTCCATTGTGTAAATGTATCACATTTTCTCTATCCACTCTTTGGTTGAGGGGCATCTAGGTTGCTTCCAAGTTCTGACTATTACAAATAATGCTGCTATGAACATAGTGGAACAGACATCCTTGTTGTATAAATGGGCATCTTTTGGATATATGCTTAAGAGTGGAGTTGCTGGGTCTTGTGGTAGGTTTATTCCCATTTTTCTGAGGAATCTCCATACTGATTTCCAAAGTGGCTATACAAGTTGACACTCCCACCAGCAATGGAGGAGTGTTCCCCTTTTTCCACATCCTCTCCAGCATAAATTGTCATTGGTGTTTTTGATTTTAGCCATTCTGACAGGAGTGAGATGGTATCTCAGAGTTGTTTTGATTTGCATTTCCCGGATGGCTAAGGATGTTGAGCACTTTCTCAAGAGCCTCTCAGCCATTTTAGACTCCTCTATTGAAAATTCTCTATTTAGTTCTGTAGCCCACTTTTTAATTGGATCCTTTGGTGTTTTGGAGATTTGCTTCTTGAGTTCTTTGTAAATTTTGGAGATCAGCCCTCTGTCAGATGTGGGGTTAGTGAATATCTTTTCCCATTCTGTGGCTGCCTTTTTGTCTTGCTGACTGTGTCCTTTGCCTTATAGAAGATTCTCAGTTTCAGGAGGTCCCATTATTAATTGTTGATCTCACTGTCTGTGCTACTGGTGTTATGTTCAGGAAGCTGTCTCCTGTACCAATTTATTCAAGGGTACCACCCACTTTTTCTTCTAAGAGGTTCAGTGTGGCTGGATTTATGTTGAGGTCTTTGATCCATTTGGACTTAAGTTTTGTGCATGGCGATAAACATGGATCGATCTGTATTCTTCTACATGCCAGCCTCCAGTTATGCCAGCACCATTTGTTGAAGATGCTTTCTTTTTTCCATTGTATATTTTTAGCTTCTTTGTCAAAGATTAGATGTTCGTACGTGTGTGGGTTAATATCAGGGTTTTCAAATCGATTGCATTGGTCTACCTGTCTATTTTTGTGCCAATACCAAGCTGTTTTCAGGACTATAGCTCTATAATAGAGCTTGAGGTCAGGGATGGTGATGCCTCCGGACGTTGCCTTGTTGAATAGGGTTGCTTTGGCTATCCTGGGTCTTTTGTTTTTCCATACAAAATTGATTATTGCTCTTTCAAGGTCTGTGAAGAATTGTGCTGGTATTTTAATGGGGATTGCATTGAATCTGTAGATTGCTTTTGGCAGGATTGCCATTTTTACTACATTGATCCTACCTATCCAAGAGCATGGGAGATCTTTCCATTTTCTGAGGGCTTCTTTAATTTCTTTCTTTAAAGACTCAAAGTTCTTGCGATACAGGTCTTTTACTTTTTTGGTTAGTGTTACCCCAAGGTATTTTATGTTGTTTGTGGCAATTGTAAAGGGTGATGTTTCTCTGATTTCTTTCCCAACCCTTTCATCATCTGTATCTAGTAGGGCTACTGATTTTCTTGAGTTGATCTTGTAGCCTGCCATTTTGCTGAAGGTGTTAATCAGCTGTAAGTGGTCCCTGGTAGAGTCCTTTGGGTCATTTATGTAAACTATCATATCATCTGCAAATAGTGAAAGTTTGACCTCTTCCTTTCCAATTTGTATCTCCTTGATCTCCTTTTGTTGTTGTATGGCTCTAGCTAGAACTTCAAGTACAATATTGAAAAGGTATGGAGAGAGTGGACAGCCTTATCTTGTTCCTGATTTTAGCGGAATTGCGTTGTTTCTGTCCATTTAGTTTGATGTTGGCTGTTGGTTTTCTGTATATAGCTTCTATTATGTTTAGGTATATTCCTGTTATCCCAGATCTCTCCAAGACCTTTATCATGAAGGGGTGTTGGATTTTGTCAAAGGTTTTTTTCAGCATCTAGTGAGATGATCATGTGATTTTTGTTTTTCAGCTTGTTTATATGGTGGATGACATTGATGGATTTTCATATGTTGAACCATCCCGGCATCCCTGGGATGAAACCTACTTGATCGTGGTGAATGATTGTTTTAATGTGTTCTTGGATCTGATTTGCCAGTATTTAATTGAGTATTTTTGCATCAATGTTCATGAGGCAAATTGGTCTTAAGTTCTCTTTCTTAATTGTGTCTTTGTGTGGCTTGGGGATCAAGGTTATTGAAACCTCATAGAAAGAGTTTGGCAAAGACCCTTTTGCTTCTATTGCATGGAATACTTGCAGAAGAATTGGTATGAGTTGTTCTTTGAATTTCTGGTAGAATTCAAGCAGGTGGATTTCTTTGAATCCAAGGCAAGTCAGGCCTATGTAGTGAGACTCTGTCTTCAAAAAAATGAATGAAAAAAATAACAAAAATAAAATTTTAAAAAATTCCCCTTAATTGGTAGGTTTATTTTTCTCCCCACACTTTCCTAACCCTCCATGGTGAACTACTTTTTGTTTAGAGTGGTATGTTACCTTTCTTCTGTTTTTTTCTGACCTCTTTATCTTCTCCTTTGAAGTATTCACTAGCTACAAGGGGAGACCCTGTTCCTATAGATTTGTAGTCTCTACACAGTTTTTTCTTAAGTAAAAGAATATTTGAGAACACACTGCTATAACCTGTAAGCTTCTCTATGTATCCCTGTATGAAGACACTGTACAATACAGCAATTTCTACAAAAAAGGATAATAAAGGGATGCATTTAAAAACACAAGGCTGGCCATTTGGTATTGGGTAAGCAATTAGTATACTGTTCCTTGGGAGAACTGCTTCTCCCTCTCAGAGAATTCTTTAGATGCCTGTAGTTCTTTATGTGGGTATGCACCCTAGCATGGGCTTTCCCTGTTTGCTTTTGATGGCTACTGTTGCGTCTTTGTTCAACCATGTTGGTGAGACTTGATGGGTGTAGCTTCTGACATTCTTAGGAAACAGTCTCACAGTAAAGTCCCTGATTCTCTAGCTTTCACAAATCTTTCTGTCCCCCTCTTCTACAATGACCCCTGACCTTAGGTGAAGGTATTGTAGATGTGTCTGTTGGGACTGGACTCTATAACAACTCAGCATTTTGATTGGTTGTGGTTTTCTGTAATGTTATAAGATACAAGTAATGCTATCTAGGCTGAGCAAGGGTGTGTGTGTATAAAATGTGTATGTATATATATGTCTGTGTATGTATGTATGTGTGTATGTGTATATAATGTGTGTATATATATAATATATGTATATATAGTATGTGTATATATGTATATATAGTGTGTGTGTGTGTGTTTGAGAGAGAGGGGGAGAGAGAGAGAGAGAGAGAGAGAGAGAGAGAGAGAGAGAGAGAGAGAGAGAACACTTAATGAAAAAATAGATCATGAATTTGAAAGAGAACAAGGACGGGTATATAGAGGGAGTAAAAGGAAGGGGGAAATGATTTAATTTTTATCTCAAAAGATAAAAAAATTAAAACTAAAAATA